CCGGAGACAACAATAAGATGGTTGGATGTAGGCATGACCAGACGCAAAAGACTACAAAAAATCGACAAGATACGAAGTATGGACCCAAGTTCAACGAACATATTCTACGAGTCGTGGGTTGATGACCACTACCCAACTAGACCAGACGAACTAGAAGATATGAACTTATACGACTTTGTGAGATGGTACGATATAGCTGCTCAACCACCTAAAGGCGACCGTGAAGTGCATAAGTTGAATTCAGGCAAATTCCTCACTAAAAGAGTCAGACCATGCTTACTGAATCACTATAAGTACAGCCCCACTCAGGATCCTGAAAAATACTACCATGCATTACTTCTTATGTTTCTTTGTTGGAGATCTACTGATGAGCTGAAAGAGTCTCATGAAACATACACAGATGCTTTTATGGCCAAGCGGACACTTCTCACTCAAGCCTTCAACTATGACAAACGTTTAAAAGACATTATTGCGGCATCGGAGAATGCAAGAGACAAAATTCAAAACCGAGTTGAAGAGATCAATGCAGAAGAAGGAGAGGTTGCTGATCCATCCAATATAGCCTTTCAGCCCTTTAATGAACCTGTCCCCGCATCCCAGCCTGTCAGGGACAGCAATTGGTCGCCGAATGACGAGCCGTTTGAGAAAAAATACCAAAAACTCAATGACGACCAAAAGAGAGTGTTTGATTATGTCAAACGAGTTGTTGCAAACTCTGATGGGACAGATAAATTTCTCAGACATTTTGTAAGTGGTGTGGGAGGTACTGGTAAGAGTTTTCTCATAAAAACTATCAGCTCTTGGACTAAAAAATGTCTTCAAGCCTCTACATCAATATCAGCTCCCACAGGACTAAGTGCTTACAACATCAATGGTTCTACGATCTACAAAGTGTTTCAGCTGCCAGTTGAGCATGGAAAAACTCCAAAGTACAAAGCTCTTACTGATGATGTTTTAAAAATGTTGAGATCCAACCTGAAAGATGTGGTGCTCTTCATAATAGACGAAGTGTCCATGGTCTCCAATCTAACATTGATGTACATAAATCTCAGATTGTGTGAAATATTCAACACCTCAGACCAAAGTAACGGCTGGTTTGGTAAAAAACATATACTGCTCTTTGGAGACCTTTTACAACTTCCACCAGTACACGAAGACTCCCCATTCATTGAACTTGACAGTAGCAAACTTAGTTCTTTTGTTGGCTCTCTGTCTTGTGTTAACATCTGGTCTGAACAGTTCTCTTATGATGAACTTACTACAAACATGCGACAAGCTCAAGATTCTAAGTTTGCTGATGTGTTAAGCAAAGTCAGAGTAGGCAATATGACCGTTGAGGACATCCGTCTAATTGAAAGCAAGAAAATACATCTTAATGGAAAAACTGCTTGTGAAAACCTTTCTCTATTAGGAGATTACTTGTCTGCTTTACCCAACAATTCTGTGTGTCTTTGTTCAACTGGTTACCAATGCTCCATAATAAATGATGAAATGGTCAATAGAATAAGTGGTCCTGTTGCAACATTTGCAACAGTCCTTGTTTGTAAGTGGTCCTTGTTTGCAACTTGGTTGCAAAAGACTCAGTTGACTGTCTACCTCGTCAACAAAACAAAGTTAAAAAGATACTGTCCTCTTACAACTCTGACTGCAGCAGAACGGCTGGTATGGAGAACATTATTCCTATTAAGGTTGGTGCTAAAGTTATGTTGCTTAGAAACATTGACGTCACTGTGGGGCTAGTTAACTCCGCCATTGGAACAGTAACGGGGTTGAGGTTTAATACAGACAATTCTGATGACGTAGACTCAGTGACAATTAACTTTGATTGTGGCATTACCCATCACCTACAGCGAGTAAACGTCAAGTTTCAAGTTATGGATAACGCATTTGTGTATCGAGAGCAATTCCCGATATCGATGTCCTACGCGGTTACAATTCACAAATGCCAGGGCCTCAGCTTAAATAGCGTAATAATTGATATTGGGGAGTCCATATTTACATGTGGCCAATCATATGTTGCCTTGTCACGAGTGACTTCATTAGAAGGGCTTCATCTTATTAACTTTAACCCAAGAGATGTGAAGCCTCAGAAATCCGCCATTCTCGAATACAACAGACTAAGGCAGAAGTACAGGTCTGACCTTCCACTTTACAACACAAGTTGTGACTCCTCTTCGGCTCCTTATGTGAGAGACAGGAAGTGGTGCCAGACCAAAAATGTCGAAAAAGTGCAGGATGAGAGTACAAAACCGGTACCCTCTGCAAAGACTACCGGAAGATCGAGAGTTCAGTCAACTTTAGCATTAAAATTTATTTTTTTTTTTCAGAGAAAAGAGTATTTTTATTTGAACGGTTAATTTTCTACAAAAATAAATAAAATCTAACAAAAAACCACTAAGTGGTAACACTTTCCCCGCCAAGTCAGCAATCCAAAAAAGATAATAAATCATTACTTTTTCCGCCAAGAAAAACAATGTAATGTATGTAAGTTTGGCAACTTGGCGGCAGACTTTTGCTTGGTTTTTTTTCATTTAAGTTACGTTCGTGGATAATTTCACAAATCAACTTCTCTAATTAATTAGTCCAACTAAGTATAATAATTTCGAGGTAATCAGTAAATATAAAACCATCACTATTATGATTTTATGAAATGTGGCACAAATAAGGTCAAGTTTTGTAAAATAAGCTCTCACCTAGCAATGTACTAATGGGAGAGATACTTGCTCAATGAAACTAGTTTTATGGTATTTTTAAAGTGATCGAGCAAAAGTCTGCCGGCAAGTTGCCAAACTTACATACATTACATTGTTTTTCTTGGCGGAAAAAGTAATGATTTATTATCTTTTTTGGATTGCTGACTTGGCGGGGAAAGTGTTACCACTTAGTGGTTTTTTGTTAGATCTTTTTTATATTATGACAAAGTTTGGTTGGTTAGGTTAGGTTATGACAGTTTAATTTTATAATAAAAAATTATAGAATTGATTTTATAGTTTTTCTTTAATCGACACGAGGGGCTCTCCCACAATCCCCCACTTCTTCGTAGAAGAGGTTCTCATCAGTTTGTGACCAGCCCCTTGAGACCCTAGTAAATTCAATTTGCATAAAATTGGCATGACAACTTATAAACAATAACAGCAGTATCAGCAACACCTCTTAATTTCTAACCTAACCTAACCTTTATAAGCGGTGGGAGTAGCTATGATATTTTATGGTGAAAATCTCAAAAGTTGTAATAACTTTTAAACCATAGTCGTTACAGCAATGGGAGTGGTACGATTTTGTTTAGAATCGCAAGGACCATAACATACTAAATTTTTATAAAAATTGGTCCAGTTGTTTAAAAATTCACTTTCTGTTATTTCATGGGAAAATCACATAAATTACAAAAACTTTTGAACCTTGATTTTTACGGCAATGGGGGTTTAGTTGGAGTTAAAACTAAACATAACATAGGTACATACTAAATTTAATCAAAATCGTTGAGGCCAATCGTCGTAGGAAACAGAAGAATCAGGTCATTTTGTAAATAGATTTGGTTCTGCTATGTTAGTTAAAAGATCTGTGACAAAACGTAGATTAGAGTTAAAAAATTTAACGGTTTTTACAATTAATGTCTGCTATTGAATTTCCTAACAGAATTCCCTCTAAAAATCCAAATTTCTAGGTAAGTATGCATGTGTTTGTGGGCTCAGTTGGGAACACTTGATTAATCTGTGTTGGAATATTGAGTAATTTTTATGTTAAAGTGTTATATTTATCCGTCAGTTTCCTTTGCCAGGGTTTCAGTGGTGTTTCTATGTTTGCCTTTTTTATATTTAGGTATTTTAGAACAGAGGTAAGGTATTTCTTTTGAAATTAATAGATTTTTTCTGCTATTTTAGGTTTCCAGAGATGTTTTGTGTAAATATTTTCTCCTGTCTTTTATTATAAAGATTACTATCTTTATGGAAAAGCTTGATGTGACTTGTCTTCAATTTTACTTTGGTTTTAAAATAAAACTTCCAAGTTCAACCGAAAAACATATTATGTAATATAAAATTATTTTGAGATGGCTGTGATACTTTCATTGACTTTGTCATTCTTAATTTTATCTTGTTTTATATTTGTACTGTGGTGGATTGTGAAATAAAATTTCTACAGAAACAACTCCTATTTTTGTTTTAATCTCCAGTGTGGAATATAGAGAGCCATGTGGAAAGTAATTTTTTCAATACTTCAAAATTAAACTGCCACCAAAATCAATTCTTTTCATTTTTCAAGGTAAGCTATTTTTCTGTATTTCTATATATACTAGGTGATATGCACTAAACGAAATGGACAGTAGGTGTAAATCGGAAAGTTGTCCATCTTAACAAAACGCTTAAAATTATATGCTATTTGACATACGTTGCATTTTGACTTTTTTTTATTTACGGGGGCTCCAACATTACGAAAAAATAAAATTTTTGTAAAAGATTATCATTTTGAATGTTTTTACATGTGACACGTCAGATTACAAATTTTCAATTAGAATGGAAAAATGTTAAGCAGTTTTGAAAATACAGTGTATTACATCAATACACAAAAAATTCACAAAATGGCCGCTTTTTAAAACAAATTGAGTTCTGTTTTCACCAAAATATTGCTACCTTTCTAAAAAATGTACAATGTGATATAGGTTGACACAAGAAAATTTTGAGATTCGAGCTTGTGACCTTCATTTTCTGAACACCCTTTGCTTGGATCATGTCCTAAGTATTTTAAATGGATTCTTCGTATGTGAATCTAGGTGAAAATGTACTGTCTATTTTTTACTTTCTAATTCTATACAGCTCATGTATTGTCCAATATTAATTATGCTATGTGCAATATGAGGAGACTGGTTTGGCATGTGAGCAAACTGTTTATAAAGACACGCTAACTTATGATCACATCCATGCAATAATAATGCAAAATTCAGGGTTCAGAATGTACCTATGTGGTGGATAATGATGTCACAAAATTAAAAAAAGACATTTTTTATCTTTGAAGTAGTTTATTAACTTAAAAAAAATTAGACTGCAAATTTACAAATACGAGAAAACAAAATAACCTTACTTATATGAAATACTGTCACCTAGTTCAAACATGACTGAATAATTTAAGGTTTCGAAAATATTTTCTCTAGGCAACTACCGTTTCTTGGTTTAAAGGGACAGCAGGATAGAGCATAGGCTTGAAAGTATCACAGTTTCGGTTAAAGCTGAGCTGTAGTGAAGTTTCTAGACCTTGAATCAAATTTGAGTTTTTCCCGTAGAACTGCTCGAGCTCTTCTTTCCGTTTGAGTGCAGGCTTCTTTGGTGAAGCTTCGACCTTCTTCTCACCTGTTAGGTGATAACATTTGTATATTACAATTAAATACAAACATTAATTTATCAAGTAGAACTATAAAAACTCTACAAAAATAAGTTAAAAAATTAAGACGTTTAATTAAAAAGTAAAGTCAAATTATACCATGAGACTAACCAACACAAGTAGACTTCTCATCCCATTGTACATTTTGAGTCAAATTTGTGTGTAACAAATTTAAAACCATAATTAAGAAAATCGGTTGGGTGGAAGAGTCAAATTTACTCGGAAAAGAAAAACCAATATTTTTTTAAAATATAGATGATTGTCTGTGATTAACTATGTTAATCCAACACGGAATGTACCCTATGGCCAAAGATTTTAATTTTTTGAGGTTGTTCCTCCTGTGGTATCCATATTTAAAATTTCAGGAATACAATTTTTACCTATCTATAAATAAATATTTTAAAAATGTCCTACCTTCTTTCGCACGAGAATCAGCTGTAGTATTTTTCTTCTCTATTTTTTCTTTTTCTGTAAAAATATCATTTTAAACATTATTATTTAAAAATTAGATTTTCATAATCTTTAAAAATATTCAATATTTTTCATCACACTATGATGTTTTTAGCTGTTTTACATACGTTAATTGGTGGCTGAAAGTTACGTATTGCTGGCATTGCCAGCTGTCATTGTTATTTGGGGACCGAGCAGGTTTTTACATTCCTAGGGCCGCAAAATTAGTGATGTGCGTATCGATACACCTATAGCCAATATCGTATTGTTTATTTATTAATATAATACTTATTTTTAAGGTAAGAAATTTGTCTTCCCATCTTCCTCCCCTCAAAAGTAGTAGTGGAAATTTGATATTTTACCCTAGCATCTTCAAAAACACTGATAAACATGTATTTTCAGCTAGCAAATAACCTCAAAACTAGGGCCACCATTAATGGAAGTGTGGACCCTCATTATCCATATTATACTATTTAATATGTAAGTGGCATACCCACCATCAAGTACTTATTGGTTCAATTAATTATCCCTGTGTAAAAACTAGGACAACAAAAACAAATTTTGTTCCAATTTGGTTTGCCGGAATTTGGAGGTTATGTAGGTATGTTTGATACAAATAAAAAGACACAGGAAGGAAATGGCTTTTCTGAGGTAAGATTACAAGCACTAACCCTCTTAACAAGCTTGTAAGTAACATAGTATTTGTCTATGCAGCATGTATGTTTGAGATATTTAAATTTGAAAAAATAATATAAATAAACAATACGATACGATATTTTATCCGATACAGATAAAAACCGATACATGAGGATACGATACGATACACGTATCGATACACCACGTTCCGATACGTATCGATAGGCAGTATCGATACATTGACCCGTATCGCACATCACTATGCAAAATCAGCTGCCCACTTACTTTCTTAAACATGGATGCATATTAAAAACAAAATCAGTATCCATAGCATTGCAATAGAATTGTTATTGTTACCGCTGCCTAGCAACTGTTTATTGATATTTTTGCTGATTCCTAAAATTATTTTTTCTCATAACCTTAAAGTTATAGTTGTGTTAACTATCAATGTGCATCATTATTGTGATGAATAGTGTAAATAGGGTAGTGTGGTGAAAAACAGCGTTCGTACCACGAACCGAAACGGTTTTGCAGCTCTCGATCATTTAAGTTCTCGACTTTGTCTCGAAAATACCTCATTTTCGGCCATAGGTACGAAATATACTATTAATAATTGTTTAATTTTTTAAATTTGCTTGTTATTATCTATGGATTTTGGTAGATAAGAGCAAATATATTACAATAATACAAAATTAAAAGAGATATATGTAATAAATTAAAAATCAAGCAATAGAAATTAAAAAGACTAAACCCTCTCGTTTTATGAACCGAAACAATAAAATGTACATCTTGAATATACATACCCAAAATGATATTGATTGCACACCTTATAGTGGAAAAAAATTTATTTTTACCAGAACTATTGTTTATTCATCATCAAACCAACTACAAAGTACAGTGACTCACTTTAGACTTTGGGTTAGTGACTCACTTTAGACTTTGGGTTACTCTTCTTACTTGATCTTTGCTTACCAAAACGTGTTTAGTTCATATTCAAGAAAGTCTAACCTATTGATCACTTTTTGAATACATACTTAAAGTAAGTTTGTGGCGGATACTTGTTTCTAAAAACTCCACCACGTCTTCCGTGAGATTGAACTCAATGTCAGAGTTCAGACCGAGATCAGATGTGGGCTGACTGCGTTTACCTTGTTGTCTGCTGTTTGAAGCTTTAGCTTTTGGTGATTTCAACCCAGGGATCTCTGGCACTTCCATTGTTGGTGTCTTCCCACGTTCCTAGAATTGTAAAAAATCTAAATTAAATTTACCTGAATGACGCAAAAAAATTACCAATTTTTAAAAAGGTTTGAGTAAGGTACCTTCTTTAAAAATGCTATTAGTGTGTATTCACTTAAAATGCTAGGATAATAAAATATCTTGTCACATATTAATCAAATTTGTATTGATTTGTATTTTCAGATTTGTTTTACATATACTAGGGCCAAACTGGTTTCTTCATATAAACTCAAAATACCCCTGCCACACCAAACCTGCAGACTGAGCAAATTTCAATGTGGCTTATTGGATTTTTACTGTAATATTTCTATAAACAAGACATATTTATTCCCAATTCAAATAACATAAGAATTTTAACGAGTAGCCTACCTATGTTTGCTATGGTTAAGGTAAAAAGGTTTTTTATACCTTATGTTATAAATGTAAGACTAACTTAATTCCCGTCAGAAATCAACAAAATACATATGGTAAGGTAAGCACAATAAGGTAGGCACTCAAAATACTACTCTTCAAAATTTATATTTTTTGTTGAGCTATGACGAGAATTAAGTAATTTATTCTTTAAGTATGGCCAACAGCTCAGGGGCTAGAAACAGAGATTTTAAATTCTTGTAGTAGGCCTATAGGTTGAAAAAAATCAATTTTCCAAATTTGATCAACATCCATAATCAAGGAAACTTCCTTGTTCACCATAAAAATAACATGGGAATATTTGTAGTTTTTTTTCTGTAACCTTTAATCTTACCCATTGATCCCCTACCTATCACAACTTCAAGATGGCTGTATTCGGCCCAAAAAACCCAATCAGTACTAAACTCGTCATGGTTACATAACTATTTTTGTAGGCCTAATAATAAATCATCATACTTATATTTCTCATATTTCAAACCTAAACATATTATCGAAATCATACCAAGATTACTCAAGTCCTGTTTGTTCACGACACACACGTAATTATATATACTAATTAGAACAAACAGTGTTTTTTCCATTTCGGACTTCAAAATGAAAAAGTAAATCGGTCCTAGGTATAGGTCTTAACTTAGGCTGCCTATGGTAATAGCTAGCCTACTTCCTTATAGGGAAGGAAATTTCAGGCCCCCAAGTGGTTTTTGACCTCAAAAAAGTAGGAAAAGTAGGACATTTTCAGCAAAAAGTAGGACTTTTTACTGAAAAGTAGGACTTAATTTTACATACAAATCGAACTTTTTTGCTGATACAATATATATTAAAAACCAAATAATACTAGCATACACAATAGTTTATCAAATAGAATAGTGTATATAAATATACAGGGTGTTTCCAAATTGTCTGGACATATTTTGTGGACTTGTTTCTGGGGCTAAGACAAACATAAAATTCCATATAAGTATGCATGGGTCTAAAATGCCTACATTTTTGTTGGTCAGTCTGTTTGTGACATTTAAAAATTATTTTATATCTTGGGCATATTTCAAGATAGAACTTTTAAAATGGTTATAAATGTGTATTTTAGAAGGTGAAAAGAGCTTGCAAAGTTTCGATCCAATATCTCAAGCCGTTTCAATATGGCAGCCATTTAAAATCTTTAATGCCAAATTTCATGAAAACCGTAAATATTTATAAAATGGTTTCCAGGATCAAAAAGATAGAGAATTCAAATCCAAATCAAATGAGACCTTGTTTGTAAAATCGGATGACAAACAACCATAAATAAGTTTTTTTTCAACATTCGGTTACACAGTTTAATAGCACTACCATACTGTATTCTTATTTGTTATTTTTCAGAGCAGTATGGGTAGTCCTATTAAATTGCGTAAACAAATTTAGAAAAAACTGATTTGGTTGTTTGTCATCAGATTTTAAAAAACAAGGTCTCATTTGATTTGTATTTGAATTCTCTATCTTTTTGATCCAGGAAACTATATTCTAAATATTTACGGTTTCAAATTAGATTTTGGCATTAAATATTTTAAATGGCTGCCATATTGAAACGGCTTCAGATATTGGATCGAAACTTTGCAAGCTCTTATCACCTTCTAAAATACACATTTATATCCATTTTAAAAGTTCTATCTTGAAAAATGCCCAAGATATAAAATAATTCTTAAAAATCACAAACAGACCGACAAATTAAAATCCAGGCATTTTAGACCCATACTTATATGGAATTTTATGTTTGTCTTAAGCTGGGTTTTCCTAGGCGCGGAAGCGGAGAGCGGAGAGAGGAACGCGGAGAGCGGAAAAGAAATTAACATGGTGTTCCGCTCCGCTTCTGGGAAAACAGAAACATTAAATTACCAAAGACAAGTGGAGTCCGCTCTCCGCGTTCCTCTCTCCGCTCTCCGCTTCCGCGCCTAGGAAAACCCGGCTTTAGCCCAAGAAAGAAGTCCACAAAATATGTCCAGACAATTTGGAAACATAACTAAAATAATTCTATATATAAATTTTAAAATTAATATCAATAATTAATTATTTTTATTTAAAAAATCTTCAACTAAAAGGCTGGATAAAGTTTTAGCTGAGATTGTACACCAAATATTCAGAAGTAACGCACAAGAGAAATTAAAATGTTAAGGTGTCATTATCTACAGTCATCACGAAAAAATATTTAGGACAAGCAGCATTAAATAAAGGATAAAAATAAATATGTTTCCTTAATGTTACCAACCAGCCCTAATTTGTGTTTAAAATGGTGCTGTAAATAAGAAATTTGTTCTTTTTTTTATATTATTTAATATTTCAGAACTAAAATTAATATAAAAGTAAAATGAATTTTTTTGGGTGGAAAACAGAAGCATGAATAGTTATTTAAGTAGGCCTATAAAGTACGGAACTATCTATATAAATAAAATTAGAGTTTTGTCTGTACATTGCTCAGAATCATACAATTGTAGGTTATTTTTACGTTTTATACATTAAAGAAGCCGAAACAAGTCTCATCTAAATTTCTGTCTGTCTGTCTGTCTGTCTGTCTGTCTGACACACTCAAGATGGCATTTTACGCAATCTTCTCCAGGAAAACGAGAGTACCTATCAAGACCCAAGTCATTTTAATGTATTCACTGGATTGGCGAGAGTGTCTTTAGCCATTAAAATATGGTCTCACTACTTTGTAATTAAAATTACGGCCGTTCAAAAATGCAGTTTTGTGCGATTTTTGTCAAGTTTTCTTCCAATTTGTATCACATAATCATCTACGAAACAACGAACAGCTGTTCGGATCAAGATTATTTTTTCTAGCTGTCACTGAAATGTTTACAAATGTTGTTTACAAACACCACAACCATTTCCGATCACGTTTTGAAGGCAAATCCCATCCAAGTGAGATTAAAAACGTTTTTATTACATAAAGGATTTAATTAATCGCAAGTGGAATAATATAGTGTAACCGTAAATTAAATAACTAGGCATCATCCAGGTCAGGAACCAGAAATATGTGTATACAATTGTTTCGGAGTTTTGATAACCAGAAAGAAGACATTGAATCAAGATTGAATCAGTGTTGTATACGGCTGGGAAACTTAAATTTACTAATGACCGTCGCCAATAGCTTAGAAACAATGTTCCACTCATTGACGGCTCTTCAATGGCGGTTGTGTAAAGTGTAAAGCAAAAAATTACAACTGCAGTGGGTGATTGTAACAGAGGTTTACGGATGATGCTGAACTCGATTTTCCAATGTGTCACTTTCTGTTCCTACCATTGACTATATAAAGTCAATAGTTCCTACTCACCGTGCGATGCAATCGCTGGACCATACAGCCAATAGGCCCATAGCCCTTCTCTTGGGTACGTGTGGTACGTATGCTTACCTAATTATTTATAACAACCCTTTCGACAACGATCCTTTATATCGGTACTTTTCCATAGAATACACGGCCTACCTAGGTACTTGAGAAATAAAATTATAAACGTCCAAAAACCCAAGGTTGTGTGATTTTTGTCACATTTCCTTATAATGTTAATATATATATACCAGCAACCATTAGAGAATACGTAATCTATTAAATAACGGAAAGTTATGTTGTATAAGGTTTTTTTTCAAACTGACACCGATAAGTTTACATTAAGAGTTGTGTACAAATAAAGCAATTAATGGGAAATAACTTTGATTGCTGATAACTTTTACGAGAAAATCCAAAACCAAGAGATCAATAACCTTGATTAACGCATATAATTGGTCGGCTGTACTACAGTTCTTAACTGTAAACGTTGGTTTTTGGTACGGTACTGGTTCTTTTCCTTTTAACCTTTAGTAGCAGCAAGAATCATTTTTACGTACCAACACATCACAGTAATTTACAAATTAGTTATCGTTGGTGTTGCACCTTATTTATTACAGGCGTAGGCCTATTCAATTTAATTGATGTCTTAACTGTATAATTTTTGCTTTTTCTGTCTGGATTCCAAAATGTTATGCTAAGAAAACTACTGTATAACGCATTTTAGTAAAACATTTATTCAGCAAACCATCATGAATTGTTCAAACGCTTTGAACGTTGTTTATGTATCAATAGTTCGTGGCCTATTTTGGTAATTTTTATTACAAATTACCAATCTAAATCGTCTATAGTAGGCCTACTGTACTTCATTTCATATAGCAAACCGATTCAGATAGCATTTCGACAGAATTTCGAGTCATCTCCGGTCCAAGCAAATATAAATTGTTATGATCAAATTTTATGGCATTAACAAAGATTTCAAAAGTACTAATTTTATATGTACCTTTTTATGCTTAAAGCGTAGCAGATTCCCTAATTAAGTTCGGTATTTTTGTGTGTATGTATGATGGTAACGCATTAATGTCCTTGTTTCTCAATGTTTCACGGAAAGGACAAGAGCGCCTTGATAATGAAAATGTCAACCCGAATAAAGTGTTAAATTAAGAGGTTGAGGTAGTACCTTAAATACTTTTAACCATTATGTTATAGTCCTTTAAATTCTGAACAAAATTGTACAAATCCCATTTCCGTATATTTACTCTCACCGCTTACACATGATAAAGGTTGTTGACAAACTTATGGGAGAAAGTATGTGTCAGAATGCTGATACCGTTTATTTAGTTTAATCATTGGATATAACATATGGACCAACAAGATCCGGGTGACATTTAATTGCGAAGCATTAGTTTTGGCTTGAAACTGTCAGATACTGTATTTGCGAAGGAATAGTTTTGCCAGCATATCTGAAAGTATGCAAACCAACTGCTGTGCTTTATATAAGAAGGTTTTAACTGACTATGATAAGATCCCCGTGCGTAGAACGGGCACACAGCTAGTATATAATATAAAATTCTAAAAATATGTTCCAAAAGTATTTTGAATTAGTTAGATTAGAGCTATCTTAAAAGTAGTAGGAATGTTTGAATTGTAATGAGTAAAAACTATTTGAGCCAGTGAGACTTGGACATTTAAACTTGAACTTAAGCCTTAATTTATTTTGAATACAGTTATGTCAAAAATCATGTTTAGGCTAATCAGGGAAACAGTGGACCGATAAGTGCTAAGTTAACTACTTTTGAACTAGTATCCCAGGGCTCCCCAGGAGCATTGATTTCCCCTCAGTTTACTTCATTGGGGAATCTAAAAGACATGTCAGAATAGTAAGCACTGATAATAATCACAATTTTTATTTACTATCACAATAGTATTGCCATGTCTTTGAAAAAAAAAATGTATTCACCCAATAACAATGTTGATAAGATTAACTATACAGATACTACCAGTACTGGAACTTATAAATTAAAATTTAAAATCATTTAACAGATTGTTTTATAAAAAATATATCTCAGTCAGTCATACTTTTTAGGAAAAAACTTCTCATTGGGAAATATTGATAAGTAAACATTAATAATAAGTGTAATAAAATATCGCAAAATCGACATAATTTTTATAAAAAAGTAGGAAAGTAGGACAAATGTGTAAAAAGTAGGACTTTTCCTACTTTCCTACTAAAAAGTAGGAAAAGTAGGACGACTTGGAGGCCTGAAATTTATGTCGGTATTTATCAGTAAAAAGGATAACTAGGAGCAACTGAGGAGGATGCAGAGGATAGAGCAAGATGGAGAGGCTTTGTTGGTGCGGCCAAATATCTTCTTAGATATGCATGGCCCTGGGAGTAAGAGTAAGAGTATTTATCAGTAAAAAGAGTAAAGATCACACCACTCATCTCCACTCCATTCATACATGGCTTAAAATAGGTGCCTACCTTTGTATAGTCGCCATTTTAGTTCAAAGTATTTGCGAATTGAGTGAAATTTTCATGTAGACCTTATTACCAATAGCTTTCACACATTATTGAATTGAAAAGAAACTATTTGTAATTACAAAATTAGGTTCTTAGGAGATACCTAAATTAGGTAAGGAGATGCCTACCTATAAAGTGAATGCCAAATAATTTGACAAGACCTAAGTACATTGGTAGAAATAAAAACATTGTGTTGATTAGTTGATTTAATTTAAACATTCTTAGAAAATGAGCGTACAATAACCTAAATTTGACTGATTAACTTTTATTCAAAATATCTGATATTTTTAACATCCAGAATTGGCCCTTAAACTTGCTTGATCAATCAAAAAATTTTTAAATTTTATTCAGGGGAGCGAGCTGGTCTAGTGGTTATAGCGTGGGGCCTGAGGTCCCGGGTTCAAATCCCGCCAAATCACCAATGGATTTTATCTAGCCTAAGTGATAATGCCGCAACCCCTAGGTCTAGCCTGAATGTGAACAAGAATCCCAGGCTCGTGCCTAGCGCTCTAGGAAAATATCAATTTTTATCTAAGAACAAAAGGAGAAACACTCATTATACTGGTATCCTAAGTTCTAATAGATTAAACCAATTAGATAGAACAAACCATTAGGACCTTAGAAAAATCATACTTACAGCAGCAAACACTATGTTTTCTTTGATGAGTTGATTTATCTGATCAAACAGCATCTGATTTTCAAATTCCAAAGCAGTACATCGAGACTGGTAATAGGCTAACTTGTGTTTGTCCTGCCAGTCCCTACAACCTCGAACATAGTTTTCCCATTCCCAAGAGGGTGCAACATGTTCAGGTTCAACAAACTCTGGCATATCTCTCATATCAAAATACGGTTGAGGGTTGGCTCTTTGGAACGAGTTACTTCTCTCTCTGCCTCTCTTTCGCCCGTCATTTAGAGGCGGGAGATTTCTTGGTGAAGGATTTCTTGGTGGAGGAGGTGGCGGCAGAGGCCTTATAGGCTCTTGAAATAGTGGAGTGTCTATTGAAACGTTTCTTGGAGTTATCCTTCTGCTTTCACCAACTTGACTGTTCTTTCCACGTCTTCCTCTTCTCCAGTTGGTTTTCTTGCGCTTTGCTCCATTCATTTCTTCGCTGAAACTGTTTGAGGTACGTCTAGAATCACTTTGATAATCTCCGTAGTCATAGTAGGTTTCTGAACGCTCGTAGTAAGCCATTAGTTCGGGTTCTGTAACATGATCAAGAAATAAAAAAGATAGCCTAGTTTGTTTACAATGATTAGGATTATTGAGGGTTACCGGTAACTTATATACCGGTAATGCCAAATAATCCAGGGTGACACCTAAGGTTGTCAGAATTTGATGGTCATCAATTGGTTCAAACTAGAACCATAAGAAACCATGCCAAATTTGTTCCTAGTATGATATTGTGAATATTTTTGACAAACTAAGTTACTTACTGTAATTTAACTTAGGGCCTAGGTGAGTTAACCGACAAAGTGCTCATCGTCGCAATTGCGACGATATTCATTGACGTGTAACTTATAGTGTTAAAGTCGAGATCAAGATGACCATGTAACAGTTCATAAAGTAGTTAGCCTATATCTCTGTTTTGAAGTTGACAGAAGTAGGTTAACTAACTTATTTTATTTATAGAAGAGGAAAGAACGTTCTATCTGAATATTATTACTTTAGCGGTTGTTGGAAAAAATAAAATGCTGGCAGACCTGTTTTTCAGCAGATGTTTAATTGGACACCTGTTCTTCTGTGTTGGGAGTGGTTAACTTATGTTGTCGTAACTTAGGCCCTAACTTAATCTTTAACTTACAAACTGTTGTAGAAACCTATTACTTACGTGTTATATATTAGTGGAAAGAAGATAAAATTTGGAACATTTTGGCTACGGGTACCTCAGAATGTTGATTTCATCACACCCTTTGGGTATAACTTGTGAGTTGCTCTAGGATAAAAAAAAACTTTAAAGAAATGAAAAAAAGAAAATGATGTTCGCCCTAATTCAGTTAGTGGTGTTGGAAATGAAAACAGTCAGTAACTTATGATCATTTTGTTATTATTTCCATGTAGGCCTTGAACACAATTTCCTAAACAATTTGACATGCTTAACTTAGGGCCTACCTATATATGGTATTTTATGAGTTAAAAAGACAATTTTTGTATCCATTTTTCAAAATGTCTGCGCAAACCCCAAAAATGGTTCTAAGCGCTAAAGAGGATTTGCATTAGGCTTAGCACTAGGAGGATTAAAACTTATATAACTTAAGTTAAAAACAAGTTAAATTAGCCTGACATTTTTGTGAACGCAGAGGATATGTGTAAGGTAACCAAACGTGGATTAGACGTCCGGCACCATTAACAAAACGATACGATGTAGGCCTAGAGCCATTGGTGATCGTGGTGTAGTGGATAGAGTAACTTACTGGGCTGAGGTAGCCCACTAATGGTATCTAAGTTAAATTATATCGAATCTCATCAGTGAGACTAACTTTTTGTCAAAGATTTTGCTTACAATGCAATTTCTTAACTGTAGGCCTACATCTTTTGTTAATGCTGCATATAATTTGATGTTTTTGGTGATAAATATTTTGTTACCTAATTTACATCAAGGTTCTGCCTAGCCACTAGCCTATCTAGGAATAAAACGCAAAAATAAATAACACCGATTTAACTACCTAGGCCTAACCACATCACATCTTGAGTTAAGTTAACTTAACTTGATGTCATAAGTTGCTTCAATGGTGGTAGACCTCGGGGAACATTTTAATTTACTCCTGAGTACAAAACTCTCTGAAATAAACTAGGCCTAGTTTTATAGAAGTTGTAATTTAAAATAAATAACAGACCAGCACTTAGTTAGGCCTAACAAACAAATAACACAACACAACCGGCATTAGCAAGTTTTACATCCTCGCTGTTGAGAAGAAAATTAGTGCGGTTTCTACAGATAATGCTCTGAAAGTAAAGATCTGTTATATATTTTTACTGCACCAAATAGAAACAGCAAAAAGAAATTCCATATATTACAAACATTAAAATATTAAGAATATACTTATGTGTTACTAACCTTAAATACCTAAATTCTTGACTTGAACTTTCCGGAACGACAGCCAGCCAGCATTAACAGCTAACAGCAACAAGAACGAACAAGGACCAGACGACCGGACCAGACCAGAGAGAGACCAAGGAGGAAGGAGACAGGACAACAGGAGGAGCCGCAGCCGATAGATATAGAAAGAAGAAGGCCGGGACGAAGGGGATAGCGCTGGGTTCACAACGATATGGTAGGCATTCGGATAAGAATCGACCTTGTTTTCTACCGGATGACAGACATCGACTCTTTAGTATCGGATCCGGCTATCTCATGGTGGAAGATCGAAGTACAAGTAAATTATTGCCAATGCGCTGGTGCCTTCTGCTGCTGCTTCTAACTCCTCTCCTATGCCTGTCGTCACAAACGTCATAATGTGCCCTTTACGGGAAGACCATAATTTAATTCATAATATTACAGTGAATGCAAATAAATAAATAAGTACATCATAATATCTGAACCTGGTAACTTATAACATTTGCCAATGAAAATGTTTAATCCTAACATTAAGTTACAGTAATTAAGTAGCCTACCACGGCTGATAACCAGCATGATGAATATAAGAACTTGAATAGAAGAACATCACGGAGGAATTTAAAAAATATTCCAGTAAACCTACGCAATTTCGGCGTCCTAACTTGTCTAATTCAATAACAAATTGAGCTGTCTTGGGAATACACATTTCTCAAAAAGCCCGTTTCTAGGGCTCAGATATTGCAAGGAAAGAAATATTTGAATTCTCAAACTGACTAAACTGAGCAGAGGGCATATTTCATGAGTTGAGTACAGTACTGGGTTGTTGTATTTAGTCAAAGGTAGGCCCTGCTGGCTATTAAAACAAGCAAGCTTAAGTTTAATCCTCATACATATAAGTTATAAAACAGCCATCAGTATAGGCCTAGGCAATGTTCGGCCCAAATTTTGACAAACTGTTCAGGATTGAAAATGTGACCTCAAGATAAGTAGCGAGTTAATTTAATTTACCACTTAGCCTACTGTAAATTGAAGATTCTATTAAATTCAATAAGTTACAAAGTTAATCATCAAGCTACCTTTTAACCCAAAAAATAATAATAATAAATAAAACGGAACAAAGTTGAAATAAATTAAATAACTAAATACTAAATTAAAAATAATAAAAGAAATATTATCCTATTCGAAGGCTAGTGCTAGTTCTTAGTTTTTGTTGTCTCTCTGTCTGTCTTCTCTTTCTCTTTGTGTGTCGAGTCGAGTCGGCTCGGCTGCTCGGCTCTAGCCACGGCCGCCTTTAACTACAGGCCGCGGCCTGGTAGAATTGGCAACATCGCAAGTGGTGTTGTTCAGTGACAGATGTCCCATAAGATAACATGGCAGACAGGTGACATCAGTTCATTAATTCGCACATTATTGATTTCATTTTTAATTTATGAACATAAATTTATTAAAATATCAACATACAGAATTGAAAATTGAAACAATATGAATTAAAATCTATATCTGTACATTTTTAAGCGGAGTCAATATTGTCATAGTTAGTAATCAATCTTTCGTAAATACAAAAATACCATTAGTTGCTTCCAAAAAAAATCAGCTGTTACAACACCACTTGCGACGTTGCCAGTTCGAAGGCCGCGGCCTGGAGTTAAAGGCGGCCGTGCTCTAGCGCTCTAGGAGGCAATCGATTTACGATGTTCGATAGTAGTTCATTTCATACTACGACGATCGATACTTATCCGAATGCCTACCATATCGTTGTGAACCCAGCGCTTGCGCTATCCGGACGAAGGAGGGAAGGAGCACAAAGCGATCGGTGTGGGCAGATTTTCCCATCCTTGTTAGTCAGTCGTGACGTCATCGTTGATGCGATGCAGTTATCGTACTGGTATCGCATAGCTCCACAAGTCAATAGTCGATATCGAATACCCCTAATTTACTTTACTTGAGAATCGCTGAAACGAAACGCTTCCATCTTCTTTCTCGAATCTTGCTTGGTTAGGTTCAGGACTCTAGATTCTCGTTCTTTGGTTCTTTCTTTGTTTTTGTTTGGTTGGATTGCATGTAATGTCGACAAGCGTAACGAAAGAAAAGTTGTTAATCGTGTTTTCAGATATAACTCACTAGTTTAATTTTTAATTTATACCCGTACTTAACTTACGAGAAGTTGTTTTCTGGATAGGCCTAGGCCTAGTTTAACTTAAATTATACATTTTTATATTTATATGACTTAAGTATTAACTTAGGCCTAGGCCTATTAGAGGATTTTAAATGGAGGCAACAGAAGATAATAATGATGGTGATCAAGTGGAATCGAAATTACACTTTGTTAATACATACGACCAATTTTCTATTAAAATTGCAAGAAACCGAAGTATCTACGTATAGCAAATTTGTTTGCAGGCGTGCTTGTAAGCAGGATTTTGGCCATAACCTATAATACTATAATAGCTTCAAGTTCTTGTTTATCTTTTACTTGGTCACAAGCCAAGTCCAACTTGGTTATAAGCTCCTTATTACCGATAATACAATTAGATTTGCATATGAGCGGTAAATTTAATTTACAGACCGTTCTATAACTTTAGTTTAAAAGCGTTTTCTACTGTGACTATCACAATCATACTTCATATTCATATATTGTAGAGAAACAACCTAAACCTACATTAATAACAACCTACAACCATAACCATCAACCATGATGTTATGTTAACGAATTCGACGCGAATAACGATCAAATATCGATAGACGATATTTAGAACTACATCGACTTCCCGAATCGATCGAATCAACGTGACGTCACGACTGACTAACAAGGATGGGAAAATCTGCCCACCAAAGCGATCAGTGTTGCCGTTGTGGTGCTGCCAATCCAATTCAAAGAAATTACCCCCCTCTTGAAACAAATTACCACCCTTCTTAAAAAATAACAGTAAAAGCCCAAAAGCGTGTACAGATTTTAAAATAGGCATTTTGATTGAATTATTGGCTACTTTGTATTTACACCAAATTATTATATTCAAAAATAACTAATTACACAAGTTTACCAACATTTTAAAACTTTCTCTTATTATTTTAATAAGCTTTTATTCTAAAAGTCAAAGAAGAATTCAAAGAACATAAGACTAAAATGGTAAGTGACTCCCCGTAGATAAAAAACATGCTGTAGATAAAACATAATCCCTTGGTAGATACAGTAGTAGATTTCCCATCATTATGTAGCCCAGTCAATGAATACAATAAAACACCATTTTCGCAACTAAATGGGGGGAAGCTGGATTTTTTATATTTGATAGAATCTTATGAGAGGTGTATTTTCCCCAAATTCTCCACTTCTACCTCTTGAGCTCCAAACCTACCCCTCCACCTCCACTTCTACCCCACCCCCTCCAAACCTAGAAATTGCAGTGTTTTCACTTAATTGACCACAAGTAGAATACTGTTAGCTATAGTGTTGCAATTTATTTTGTTTTATTTCTGATTAGTTTTCCCAAAACTTTGGTATTCATAATTTTTTCCAAACCCAGTACTTGGAAAGATGGTGAAGAAGCTGGGCGTCGGCAAAGAGAGCGCATCGTTGAATACGTCGTATGTGCGCTAGTTGAACACCAACACCTTTTCGCTCCGTCGTAACTCAATAACTCAATAACTCATTTATTTAACCAAAAATAACAATTACATGCATTGGTCATGTCATTTAGCAAATCATACAGTTTCTTGACTTAAATAAGAAATAATAACTGTTCTTTTTTTTACACTAAGGATACCTATGATCAAACAAGTTTGATAGTTTATTTTAGCCGTCAGCCAGGAACTTACGGACGCTGTAATAAGCTTTTTTTAAAAGAAAAGATTTTAGGGTTTTTTTAAATTTCAGATGGTTTGATACTGCTTTGAGGTGAGAGGGAAGATGGTTGAACATTTTTATTGCATTATATCGGAGATGGTTTTGAAAGAAGGAAGTGTGGTGTCTAGGAACTGGGAGGGTATTTGTGGATCTCAAACTATAATGATGGTCTGTTGGAGTGTTAAACTTGCCAGTGTTTTGGTGCAGAAAGGATAATGTCTTGTAGATGTAGAGACATGGGAACGTTAATATTTCGGATGATAGAAAAACTGGTTTACAAGTCTGACGTCGATTCATTGAAAAGATGGCTCTGATTGCCCTCTTTTGAAGGCGGAATAAAAATAAGAGTTCTTTTGTTCTCACACCCCCAGATAGGCAAGGCGTACACGAGATGAGGGAAGATGAGACCGTAATAAACAGAAAGAAGGACATCGGGCTTAGATAGCTTTGCAAGGGTGCGGATGGCAAATATCCCTGAACTTACCCTATTGATGACGTATTGAATGTGGTCATGGAAATTAATCTTCTCATCTAAGATCTAGATGTTTTCGTCGCATCTAAGCCCAGTAAATAAACGCACAAACTGTCTTTTTTCGGAGCTAAAAAGTGGAAAGCTGGAAGCTGGATTTGTTATGTGAAAGAACCACTTAAGACGTGTATTTTCGAAAAGTAGTGTCTCCTATTCTCCACCTCGAGCTTTTACCCCACCCCCTGCAAACCTGGAAATTGCAGTCGTTCGTTAACCTTCTTGAACATAATTCAAATTCTACGCGTGCTATCGTATTGAAATTTAATTTGTGTAATTTATAATTTGTTTATCTATAAATTGTGTACCAAAGGTATTCTTCTAAAAATTATTTTCAAAGAGATATACCATTTTAACTTTTTGTTTTACCCTCTATATATTTTTTCTCAAATAAAATACGCAAAATGTTTCCAAAAAAATGTTAGTACCTTTCTTATGGTTTACAAATACATATTTGGTTAGTCGTCTGGCCGAACTGATTTAGTGTGGGGCGACGGGGGGCGTCGGCAAAGAGAGCGCGTGGATAAAGCATTCTTTGATGCATCACCCTCAGTCGTAAGTGCACTGGCACCGCTAAATTCTCAACTGTTTGATACAAATCCTAAGACTTACTACTTTGTACTTTACTACCAAAACATTCTGTTTTCAAGCTAAACTGTGAACTGCAAAAAACCCTATTATTATTTAGATAGAACCCAATCATTAGTACTATTTATTATTGTCAGTTTTGGTTCAGGTAAATTATTGTTTTCCTACTTACTTGGTATACTTGTAAATTTACAATGGGATGGGAAGTTTATTGTGTTGGCTAGTCTATGATAAAACCATCATAGATAAAACTAGTCTATGATAAGACCCAGGCACCACCAGTAAGCTTTATACAAAAATAAAGTTTATACAAGGGTCCGGGAAAGAGGAAAATTTTGGAAATACGATAGAGTTATGGATATTGAAGTTTCGTCCAATGGTGATACTATAATTTTTAAAAGGACATTTTACAATCGGATGAAAAGTGAGAAGTCTACCTGCACTACATATTCAAAGACAAATGGTGAAACGCATAGCTGTGTGAAACCATAGATAAATCATACTCATACTCCCTTGTGTTGGTTAGTCTATGGTGAAACGTTACGACATAGATAAAACATGTTTTATCTATGGTTACGATATGTAATTTTTCTCCCAGATGCTTAGAGGGGGAAAATTTTAGTTGCTCCGCCGCTCCGCGTCGTCTCTCGTCTGTCGTTTTCCGGTCCCATCTCCTTCTGACGCTGAGGTTCGTCGTCTGTCGGTCTGTTTGGTCTGTCACTGTCCTGTCCCTGTCATTGAGATATAGATTATACTGGAGTCACTACTCTCTGGTTAAACGTTGGAGAAAAACGTGCCACAGTTTTGGCTGGTTTGTTTTTGGTGTTTCGTGTTGTTAGGTTGGCCGTGTGATCGGTTGGTGGGATGCTGTCAAATAATTCCAATTCATTCTAACCTAACCATACTATTTATTTGGGGTTATGTTATTTCAAGGACTTAAACAACTTATTTAAGTTATTGTACGTTAAAACCTCTGTATCTGTTATTTGAAACATTATATATTGTTTTTGTTTGATAGTAAATAAATACTAATTTATTTACCTCTTTTCAAGCTATGTGGTGAAAATAGGCTAGTCAAATTTCCTGGTTTGGAGATATTGGTTTAGGCCAATAGCCCTATGGCATTTGATTAAATAACGACTATCGGTTTATGATCTTGTTTAAATGGGTTGCTCTTGCTCGTAAAATAAATAAATAAACTTATATTTCAATCATAATGTTGAGTAGGTTTCCATAGGTTTTCCATTACAGTTCTCTAATATAGTTATGGACTGCGAGAAATGGCCTGAAGGCATTTTAATTAATAATTTCATAGTCTCTAACAGACATGGGAACAACCAAACCAGGCCTAGGCCTACACTTGATAATGGGTTGCCTGAAAAAAACGTGTAGTAGACTCTGATGGATATAGGGAAGCAGAGTTGAATAAAGATAACCCTAAAAGATTAAAGATTATGTTTTTTAATGGAAGGTCTATTTTTAATAAAATTGAATTATTAGAATCTCTCTTGTCACAAGATAACTGTGAAATTATTTGTGTAGCTGAGACTTGGTTAAATAATGTGAAGAAAACCTGCTTTAAAATTGGGGACTATTCTATGATAGTAGATTACAGTAGAGAATTAAAATCTGGAGGTGGTGTTGCCATTTTTACTCTAAATAATAACACAAACAAAGTAATTCCAATCAATAAACTGAAGGACCTCTCAGTAGAAGAGATTTTTGAGTGCTGTGGAGCAATCGTTAATTGTTGTAAATATAAATTTGTACTTGTAAATATCTATAGACCGCCATGTGAGGCGAATTTTTATCAATTTATTGAACTCCTTGAAGATACCATAACGTACCTAAAACGAACATATTGTGACTTACCTCTGGTGGTCTGTGGGGACCTAAATGTTGATTATTTGACAAGTAGCCTACACAGAGACTACTTAAATGATGTTTTGCAGTCAAACGATCTCCATGTTACATTCAATCAATACACTAGGATCGACCCTAATTCAAATCGACACAGCCAACTTGACTACTTTATGACTGATATTCAGAGATGCTCTTATTCCATAGATGTTTTACCACCACTTCTCTCAGACCATAGCATAATTGTTTTTAAATTGGATTCAAGAAATTTCAATGTTGTAAAGAAAATTGAGAAGAGGAAAATTACCAAACCCAACCTAAACACATTTGAGTTTTTAATGAAAAAACAAAGTTGGATCATTGATGAGTCAACCAGTGATGTAGATAATATTTTTAATACTTTTTATTCCTCCTTTTTATATGTTTTTGACGTGTGCTTTCCCAAGGCCATATATATGTGTAAGGACGACTCACATGTTAGATGGATAAACCAAGAAATAATAGAATCCCAAGAAAACTTGAAAGAATTGTACTGGCGTACAAGAGACAAAACTGATGATAACAACAAAATAGTATATTCCAATGCTAAATATCAACACACTTTATTGCTCACTAATAGTAAGAAACAATATTTCAAGAATAAAATTGACAATGCAAAGAACATCAGCAAAGAGTCATGGACTATTATTAGAAATCTAACATGTGATGATTATGTAAATAGTTGTAATATATGTTTGAAAATCAATGACGAGCTCATCACCCATCCGGGTAATGTGGCAAACATTTTTAATGACTATTTTGTTTCTGAAATCATCAAACTGACTGGGCCGGTTAGTGAAACAAATATAGATTTTAATGATAATTTATTGGAGAACGATTTCCATTTGTGGCCTACAAGTGAGAAAGAAATAGCTGACATCATCATTAAAGTAAGCAATAAACATAGTGCTGGAATAGATGAAATACCCTGTAGTTTGTTGAAATGCTGCAAGGACATCATTGCTAAACCCCTCGCCATGATAATTAACAAATCGTTTGAACAAGGTGTCTTTCCAGAAAAAATTAAAACCTCAAAGGTTGTGCCTATCCACAAAGGTAACGAAAAAAATCTCGTTAAAAACTTTAGACCGGTAGCCGTACAGAGTGTATTCTCTAAAATATTTGAAATTGTATTTCTAAGAAGATTAATTCCCTTTTTGGATGAGAAAAACCTGCTTAATGATCATCAATTTGGTTTTAGAAAGAAGAAATGTACTACTGATGCAATATTTGACTTAATCATTGATTTGTATGATAATCTTGACGAAATAGGAGATCAGCTATGCATCTTCTATGACATGACTAAGGCGTTTGACCTTCTTTCACATGAGATACTGTTAAATAAATTAATCAAAATTGGTATCAAAGGCAAGCCATTACAATGGATCTCTACATATCTCAAAGACAGGAAACAAGTAGTCAATGTTAGACATTCAAGTCAAGACGGGCTATGTCGCCACTACCGTTCAACTCTATCACCTAATATTAATACCGGTGTTCCTCAAGGATCGAACTTAGGCCCTGTCCTATTCTTCCTCTACGTCAACGACCTGCCTGATTCAATAACGACAGGAAAAACCTGGTTGTTTGCCGATGATGTTTGCCATCTTGTAAGAGGTAGTGATGCTCGATCCTTAAGAATCAACGCCCAAGAAGGACTTAACGAAATGAGTAGTTGGTGTAACGACAATAAACTGTTACTGAATAGAAGTAAAACAAAGGCTCTTCAGATACACAATAGGAAAAAACCAGATTGTTGCCCTTTACTGCGCTCAGGAGGATCAACCATTAACATTGATAATTCCGTAAAATATCTTGGCCTAACCATCAGTGATGACCTGAGATGGCACAAACATATCGACAACATATCTGTGAGACTCACGGCAGTTTGCTATATGGTTCGAAGGCTCCAACCACTCCTGGAAAAAGAAGTACTAATGAAGATATACCATGGCTGTTTTCACAGCATCATGAAATATGGGATCCTACTATGGGGAAACAGCCCAGCTGCCCAACGAGTACTTCTCCTACAAAAAAGAATAATGAGATCTATTTTCTTGGAACCATTTCTCGCACACTGTAAGCCACTGTTTGAAGAAGCCAAGGTCCTTACCATGACAGCACTTTTTATCCTGGAGTCAGCACTGAGTGTAAAGAAGAACCCACAACTGTTCCTAATAAATGCAGCATTCCACAACTACAACACAAGGCAATGTAAAAATGTCCACCTAACCCAAGTAAACTCCACTTTAGTAGCAAATGGCCCTAAATTTATGTGCTCCAAAATCTATAACAAGATCCCAACTGAAATAAAAAATATTGAAGAAATAGAAAAATTCAAGATGTTACCGTACTCAAGAATTATTTATTGAAGAGGCCATACTACTCACTGACAGAGTACTTTGAAGATAAATGAAAAGGCCAATATTTTTTTGACGACCACGGCGCAGTGACGCTTCCAGTGGGAAATCTTCAAGTATCAAGTAAGTATCAAGTAAGTATCAAGAGTTGGCAGAGTTTTGTTTACTACTGTATCAACAAAACAAAATGACGCCATCTTGATCTTGCCTCTAATTTGACAAGTCCCACCAACCCGATCACCCGGCCAACCTAACAAAACGAAACTCTGAAACAAAACCAGCAAAAACAGTGGTACGTTTTTAAAACACAGAGTGGTTACTCCAGTTATTATTATAGCTCAGTGGTCCCTGTCAGTACTCAGTGCTGTCTGCTCCTGCTGTCACTTCCACTTCCACTTCACTTGCCTCTATTAACCAACTAGTCACAAAGTTTAACATTTTGCTGTTTATAAAAGAAGAAATCAAAATTTGGTCTTTTAATTAAATAATCATTACATATTATAATTTTAAAACATTTGTTACCCTGAGGAATTATATATAATTTTTAAAATTAAGAACAGAAACGAAATATGTCTAGCTCTCCGTAATTTTAGGTTAGTGTCAAATTCTAGTGGTTTGTGGTTTTTTTACTGTCAGTTCAGTTCAGTAGTGTTGCAGTTCATCAGCAATTGGTTCTTCTATTTTGATTTGTTTTATTTACTTTGTTTGGGTCCCTGTTCTGTTTTCAATGCATGCACATTATTTTCAGTTGGATTCTATGGATGACGAAGAGAGATCATTAAACTTGTGTTGTTGTGAATATATTGATGCAAATGATGAAAGAAATCACATATTAGGGTGCTGCTGCAACTGCTCTGAGCTAGACATGTGTATTGATAAGTAAGTACCTACAGCATGAAACTTGAGCCTAAACTGGAGGTCAGCATTTTTACCAAAAATTGCATGCCCTGAATGAAGCCTAGCTTGACTTAGAGTGGTCCATATAAAAGTGTTTCTACCACTGAAACCTGCCTATCTATTTAGCCTAACTAAACAATATTAGTAAATTAAACTGAATCGGGCACATAACTTAATGCCAAGTTAGCACCTTTCTTAACCCCCAAACCCCTCCCCCTATTGTGCACAATGAAGATCGTTGTGGTACAAGCAAGCTCTGCAGAAGGTCTGAAATCCACCAATAAATTATCTGTGCCCTTCAGCTTACAATTAATTATCTGTGGCCGGTGCTCTCCACCAAGCACAGGGATCAAGCCGTTGTGGTACTTATAAGAAGGTCCGAAAATCCACCAATGCGAAGGAGCAGGGCAGCTGGCAGTCTGCTGATCCACTTTGCAATTGAGCAAGGCGCTGAGCAGTATCAAGACTGACGTTTTCCCCAGTGATTCCCTAATATTTCTGGCACTGGGCCCATCTGGGTCCTTGACCCCCAGAAGATACCGATCATGAATTCAGACGTGAACAACGGTTTTGTGAGGGTGCCTCCGGAGCAGAGTCTAACTTTTTTCCTATCATAGAATTTTGAAAAATTTTTCTGGATAATTTTGAAAGGTAGATTGTGCCACTATTAAAAGGGTCCTATTAATGCAGACTCAGTCAAATCATATGCCAGACAATAGCCTATATCCTGTCCTGATACAGACCAGCCGCCAGCTCGGCCTGTCTGTACTGTCCTATCATAGCAGGCACGGCAGAGCACACCTTCTTCTTTTGTGACAGTTGGCATCCCCGCTGAGCCTCTTTGATCTTAGAGATTGGCGTTGAAATCACTCCCGACAATCACATCGTTGGAGCCATGCTCCAGGGAGAGGTCATCTGGAACTGTGCCATGCAGTTCACTGAGGCCATACTTTAGGCTAAGAAGGTCGCTCTCATTCGGAAAGCCCTAGTGGCATTGGCATAGTTAAAAAGACATAGCCTGAAGTAATGTGCTAAACAGGTCCAGGCTAGTGTCCTAGGAGATGAGGGTTTTTTTAGCTGGTAGTCCGGGGACTAGTGATGTGCGATACGTATCGTATCGTATCGGAATATCGCGATACGCGAGGGACAATACGATATTTTGATACGATATTTGAAAAACGATACGTATCGTATCGCCTAAAACGATATTTGTATTTATATCGGCACATAGAGCGATACGATTTATGTCAAAAAGATATTTTTAAGCTTTTTTGTGCAGGCCGAGCAAACTGCAAAATCTGTACTCTGTGGTTGTGTAGTTTGAAATTGGAGTTTTTGACGTCTGTATTTTTGGTTTTTACTTGATAATATACCAGTCCCATCCCAGTCCAGTCCATTTCCACTAGCGTGCTATCTAGCACTAGCAGTCCAGAGTGTGGGAACTGTCTGTGGCAATTACATTAATGTATCTGCATCCTAAAATGCTATGGGAAGGATAGGGAAACAGGTCCAAGACGTAGGGAGTTGTGAAGGAAGTAGTAAAGGTGAGCAGTGTGGAATGGAAATGGATTAATGTATCTGCAATACTAAGACTGTTTTCAGAGTAAACTAATGATTTTCCCCGAGCAAAGCTTGGTCCCAACTCCCCAGGTACTTATATAAATTTGCCGTTTCTAGGTTAGGTAGGGGAGGAGGGAAACGATACAATACGTATCGTTTTTCGATATTTTTGACGATACGATTCGCGTATCGCGATACAGACGCCCGATTCAATTTGGCGATACGATATTTTTTTACGATACGTATCGTATCGCCCATCACTACCGGGGACATTGACCCGCAGGAGTCCGGCACTACTGAAGGGACATTGAGCACCTCAAGTGCGTAAATTAATTTTTACCTCCTCCCCACAAGAAAAGGACAAGCCAAACGTGCAACTGGTTACGTAATCAATCAACAATAACTAAAATCGATTTGAAAAAGATTAACGATAAATAAAATCTGTATAGGCTAGTCTTAAATAAATATTAAATGATATAAATTAATAAATTAGAGAAATATTCAACTAATATATACATTTACAGTACCTAGGCCTATATGATACTATTATTAGCAGTTTTATTTGAGAATGCGGTAAAAACAAGGAAGCAAAAAAGGGAAACAACATCAACAAAACATAAGCTCCAAACAGCTCTCTGACTGATGATTATTAACAGTCTGCTTCTGCTTCCTTTCTGCTTTCTTAATTAGGCAGACGCTGTTAAATGCACTATTTCTTTGTTTAAATTAAATTTATTAAATCTATTTTAATTGTCAAAAATATTTATTTTCATTGTAAAAGCGAACCACTAACAGCAACTTCTTTCATCGTCCCATTGTATTTTGGGAATTTTTTACTTTATCCTACAACATTAAATTTGATCAAGGCTGGCCAGTGGGTAGGCTATTCCTTTTTACTTACCCAACCCCCTACTTTTAAATTGCATTAATTTTCGCTGTTCATAAATTAATCCACACAGCATGGTTTAAATATTGTAATTAAAATTTGGCTTTTTTATACTGATGTTTAAAAATTTTTTTTTTTTAAATAGTCCTATGAAAAATTATAATTTATTAATAAAAAAACAAGAATTATCTTTTCTTTTGCGTGAATGTACATTACACGCAATAGATGCAAGTCAAATGGATTAATGGATATAATAGTAATATTAATAATAGTAATAATAGTAATATTAATAAGTTTGATAAAGGTAAGGTCAAGAACAATAAATAAAACAGGTAGGCCTAGGCCTACATTGTGAATATGTATGCAACGCAAGAAGGGCATCTTAAAATTATGACAGATCTTCAAGGAAAATACAGTGGCATAAAAATTACGCTGCCCAGAAATTAAATGTTGAGATAATAAGGCAATGTAGAGAAATGATAAGGAGCAATGAATGGAGGGCGAATAACAATAGTTGACTAAGATCTCAAAGGTCAGGTTGTTTGCCCGGCTCTGTCAATCTATGCAGACGTTATTTGTACAAACTTGTGCGTCACCTGTCACTGTTCACTTATCAGTCACTTGTGTAGTTCAACATATAAATGTATTGCCACTGTAATTTATTTACTGACAACAAAATCTACAGTATTACCAGATGTTTCCATTGACACTTAAATTGACGTCAATTAAGTAATCTGGTATCAGTTAAACTTGTCTTATTTAAGCGTGAACTAAAAATCAGTTATTAAGTCAGTTAACTATATCTATTATGTTTTTCAGGTTATTTAAGTGTCAAGGTATGGCCCCTAGAACATTTGCTCGTCTCTTTTCTGTGCTGCAAGACAGATTCCGCATCCCATGGCGGGGAGGTGCCCGACAGCTCAATATTGACTCGATCATCCCTATCATTCTGCTCCCGGCTCTAGGCTACATAGCTGCTCAAGGAGTGTGGATATCCGTCGTAGTATTTACATCGCTTCCGATATTTCTCATCTACACACATTACATATTCATGAGAATTTCTTCTCAGACAAAGTTCTTCTACGTTTGGACTCTAGTGTCAGTGATACTGATTGTGAGTGTGTTTGAGGTGCCCGTGGTGGTCACTTTAGACATTCAGCCGGAAGAACACAAGATGTTTTTATTATTTACAATCTTGATGGTCTTTTGTGGTGTAAAAACTCGACTAACTGCTGAACAGTCGCATGTCAAAGGTGATGTTAAGATAGATGAGAGTTTACTAGAGTGCGCAGTGTGTCACAAAAGCGTTCTGCCGAGAACGTTTCACTGCTGCATTTGTCGGACGTGTATCATCAAGAGAGATCAGCACTGTGCCTGGTGAGTCGATGTTCTTACTTTACGACTAAACAGTTTGGGTTATTTGTACAAATCATGCAATATTTCTAGAAATACTTATTTTATTTATAACCACTTTTGATATATTTGTCCCACAAAACAATCTTTAATAATTTAAAAATTAAAAACCTATATTTTCAACTGGTTTTTATTTAAAGCACTAAAATAATGTGGAAAATTTAAGATTTCCAGTATTCAACATATTACTTACCAGTTTAAGCTTAGTAAAAGATGCTTTCCAGGTTAGACTGCTGCATCGGGGAGAGCAATTATCGCTGGTTCATGGCTACATTGGTGACTGCAGTGTGTCAGCTAGCTCTGTGTTCTAATCTCATCCTCACCACGGCCTGTCATCCGTTCACAGTGTTTGCAACGATCATGCTTCCAGACGACTGCAGCGACGTTTACTTTGACATTCTGTGAGTAACGCCGGGTTTAAATACTTTTGTTGATGATTTTAAATTAACAAATATTAAGTTTTGTGTTAACCTCTTTACCACACCATATAGACCAGCTGTCTCCAACCTACAGCCCACAGGGCCACATCCGTCTCATGAACAGGCTATAGAAATATATAGGCTATGATTTCTATGTAATTACATACACTGATGACCCCACCATTGCGGCAACAACTGGACAGGCCGCCTGGACACTGGGATTTGTTGGTTGAACAGCCTTTTTGAAAACAACCTTGAAAAGTAAAAAAAAATCTGTGATTTAATTTGACTAATAAAATTATTATTACATTAAATCTTTTTAAATCCTTAGAACTTAGTTGGGCTAATGTAATTTGTTCTATATTGCAGATATGCCACCATTTTTGTGACAGCCCTGTATGCCATCCTTGCCTTGTTGTTCCTGATTGTTCTTCTTCTTCACGAGTGTTGGCTCATTTCCCTCGGGATGACGGGTCACGAGTGGCGCAATGTCTCTGACAGAGTTTGCTGTGGTGTCCGTTCCAACAGGCCATACAGTAAAGGTTTCTTACGCAACTGGACTGATTTCTTTTTAGGTAAATAGGCTAAATAATACATTATTTAAGGTAGTATGTCTGAAGTATTGTATTGTTTTTATATCTTATACCGTTTAGTTCCGTAATTGTGTTGCCTTTCCTCAACGGTAAAATCCAATCCAATACCTACAGTAGACTCCTTGTTGCTTGTATCTGTTTGATTCACACTTAGGATGGTTTTAAGTAGAGCCTGGGAGCCAGACTAATTTTCTTAGATTTGGGTAAAAATCGAGTGTTAAATGTTTGTGAGTAATTTTTAGCAACCGAAGGACCATTTAAAAATACCTGTACAATTAAATCGTGAGTAGAGAGTTCCATGCTGAGACGTCGCTGCGAAGTGAGGGCCCTCAATCAGTCTCTTAGTCTTCATGGTGTGGCGGACGAGGTGTTGAGATGATCACAATAATTACACTGAATTTAGAGGAATAAACTATACAAGAGTAAAAAGAGAATATTAGAGCGTTGAGAGAAAGACGTGGTCACTACCATGTCCAAGGCACATCAAACCCGACGCTGATCACTATCTAGCCGGTCGGGGGAGGGGAACATCCCGATCAAAGTTCAATTCTACAGGTGAGCGTATTGAAAATGAAAACTCAAAGGATTGGATTGCTTACAATAAAATAAAATCTTGACCTCGATTCTAATAACTCTAGTAAAAACCAAAATATATATAATTTGTTTGGTTACAGAAATATAAAATAAAATACCCTGCAATGTGCAAATAAAAACCTTTTAAACCTTACATTTTGTACTTAAATATCCAACATCGAGTTGGGTTGAAATGAAAAAAAATAATCAAAAGTATTGGTTGCTTTAAAAAGTATTGATTAAAGAATATTAATTGTAGGTCTTTACTACCATTGGCTTATACATTATTGTACATTACATCTTTCAAGGTCACAGCAAAAAGTTCAGAATCCTCTGCAATCACTGAGACATTATCAAGGTCTCCTATGACCACAACAAAACCTTGAACATCACACTCAGCATACAATTTCTGCGGTCTCAGAAATAAAAACTCGGATCGAAAACCGAGCCGCTTGCACATTTCACATTTCTATCATTACCCGACCCGAGCTTTGCCGACTTGTTGTCTTGACCGATATGTAATTCAGTATGTATGTTTTTCTAGGTTCTCGCTCAAAACAAATGTCAACAATGATCATATGAAGAAGGAATATCGTGAGGAAATCCCTCAACGTAAGACTCTTAAGAAATGTTCACATATGACTTCTAAAGTCATCGCTACACATCATTCTAGTCGACTGTTTGTCAGTATGAATTGTTGGGTAACTTGTTATGTTACATTTTATAGCGTTATGTATTCGTTTAAGTTTTTGCTTTTGCATATATTTGCAATGATTACATTTAGAGGTGGAAGATAAATACTACAGAGAATTAAGGTACTGAGGTCACCGTGTTGTGCATGTGCATACGTACACGCTAGGGCTATATACTTGTGTCAAGCAATGAAGAGCCTGAGTGGCAATCACTCTGCGGAAGTTCCTATTGCACAGGACACAGGGTCTTCCTTCAGCAGGAGCGTTTTATTACGTGATGAGGAGGGGGGTCAGGAGAAGCTACGGTGTGCGGTGTTGGACTTTACCCTAGTCACCAGTGACTAGTGCTAGACACCACAAGTGCACCATTGAATGCACCTCTGTACCTTACTTCTCTGTCTGAACACTTTAAAGATAATTAATGATTGTACCATCAAACTATTTTGACCAAAGATACTGCTATGGCTAAAAATGTATCCTTATCCTAGTTTATATGTAATCGTTTAGGTTTATGCCTCTTAAGTGACTTTGTCAGAATTTGCTCTGATGTGGAGTTTCTTGGTTATAGACTGTTGAGATTTATAATAGATATAATTTTCAGGAGCGATAGTCACAAGGTGGCTGGGAAAACTAGATTTGAGTTGGGTATTTGTATTAAAGACTGGGAATGGATAGGGTATTGAACATTAAATTAGCAATTACATATTATTATTGTGGTTAATAACTATAACTAATAACTGTTTACCAGTTTACTATGCCATAATGTGCACATATAGCAATCGATAGTCTATAAACTGATTGATTTGAACCCCTTACAGTCAAAAAGTACTTAATAAGACACATAATTTGACTTGTTTAGCTCATAGGTTCATTATTGTACAGTATTATTTTTTGTAATACACTACAATACATGGTCCCACAAGAGTCAGACAGTCAAGAGTAAAATATAGTTGGACCGCTTAGAAAACGACCTGCGCGCTAATGCTAAACCAATGCTACAGGAGGTCGCTTTCTAAGCGGCCGAACTATAATAAAGCATGCTATCTTGTACCTTGAACTGGGTTTTTGGTAGTTGATGAAAACAAATTACCAACATTTAAAACAGCATATTTCTGATGATTTGAAAATTTAAAACCTTAAAAGTCACGTTATAGAAATCATGGTAGCCTACTCTATGAATAAAGGGGTGCATAATTCAAATGCATTAACCTAAAGTTATAATTTCTCTTTTTGATGCTGACTTCTATAACAGTTTGATTTGTTAAATACATTCAGCATTTATATTTTAATTTATAATAAAACTATCAGTTTATCTTTTATTTTGTTAATTAATTTTGTATATATTTATAAATTAATATACTGCTTGACTTCAGTTTTGAAGCAAATAAATACTCTTACAGCAATAAGTACCAAAAAATGTATAACACGAATACCGTACTGTAATGTAACTTTATTTTTTTACTGTACATTTTTAAGACCTAGGTTATTTACTTTAGAATTAAGTTATTTAGCTTAACCATAATTTAAGAAAATTTGTATTAGTATTTAACGTCCAATAACACAAGACTGATTGTTGGTGGCTTAGATATTTTTTACAGTGTATTTAAATATTGTGGCAGTATAGAATTTTTTCAAAAATAGCTGGTTAAATATATCATAATTTAATTTTAAAACGCCATTTCCACATATCATTACTTGATATGTTTGGTTAAATTTAGATGAATCATGGCTTTAAAGTCAAAATATTCGGCCCAGATGTTAATGGTTGATTTATTTATGTGTGAGAAATTAAAATATTCTTTTCCTGCAAAACTCTCTCTGAGTAAGAAAACCCAAAACCCTTATCATTGTGTTTTCATTCATTATGATTTAATAATCACGTAAAAATTCATTTGTAAAATTTAGTAGATTATGGATCTATGAAATGTATTGATGTTAATTAAAATCATGTAAATTTTGACTTGTACAGTTACAAGATATGAATTTTCTTATTGTTAATGTTAGCTATTTTTTTTAAGTCTGTTAAACGTTTAGACTATGTACAAGCACAAGAATGGAAAAGCGAATAGGAATCTAAGTTTTAAAATTAAGTGGCAACCAAAAATATCAGCCTGATTAAATAAGAAGTAATGTCACCTTTAAGTCCTTTTCACAATGGTTTATAGCTTTAGAAATGAGTTATTTTATGCATAGTGAAAGAACATTTTGTAGACACGTATCAATCCTCTTGTTATTGTTATTGCATTGCTTACTAGGTATCAATGTCACTACTAGGATAACATTTTAAGAACAGCTTGGTTCCTTCTGCTTTTCCGCACAAGTCTTAACTAGGTGTTAAAAAAGTAGGTAAATCTATTATGTAATTGTGCACAAATTAGGACATTGTATAAGCACAAAATGGTTAAGCTACAGCAAAACTTGTGCTTTATTCCTGAATGAGGAGCTGTGATTTTAAAATATCTTTAGTAAATAGGCCTAAAGAACTGCAGTAGGGTTTTTATAAATGTTTAAAACTCGCTATTAATATATTTATTTTGTTATTTGTGTAGGAAGTGCCTATAAAATATATTACTTTAAGAATTTGATAAGTGTTTTCTCATTTTCCAGATAAGTTGTACATATTTTTTGTTAATAAACAACTTTTCACCTTAAAGTTTTAGTAGTGTTCAATTCTTCTACTCAACATAAAAACAGAGGAAGTGATGAATTATGGTTGAAGAGCCAGCCGTAGACTTGTGCAAAAGGTGCGCCCGCACAGGTATACTTAGTGCAAAATATAAAAAAATTATTGTGAATTTTATTTCAATTATGAAAAATGTAAAAGAGAGAAGTAATACTAATATTACACATTGAGATGTTTGTTATTATTGTTGGGATTAGACATTTTTGGTAGTAAGGGGCTCCGCACCGCCCAAGACCAGCTCTGGGTTGAATGTAGGGAAGAGGGCTAAGAGGTGAGTAGGAAATCTATTTCGCCAAAGCCTACGGTTTCTCTACCACTACTATGCGTTGTTTTAATTTCCGTTTTACTCTGAATTTTTATATGAGACTCCAGTGTATGAAATATACAAAATTTACTTAGGTAATATTTATTTGCTAATAATTAGGGTAATCAGAGTAGGGCTTGGGTGGTTGGGGCTGGTAAGAGTAGTTGTACGCAGGATACTGATTGTACGGGGTTTGAGATTGTCTGGAGGGAGTGTTGTACGAAGGCGCAGCCCCGTAGGAATATGAAGGAGCCCCATAAGGAGGAGCGTAGGGTGGGGGTGCTCCATATGGAGGTGGAGCAGCCCCATAAGTCTGTGGAGCACTGTAACTCTGCGGAGGTGCTTGTGCTCCATAATACGGGGGTGCTCCGTATGATGGTGCCCCTCTGGCAGCGGGGAGCTTGTAGGGACCAGGGGGAGGGGGACCTCCGGCTCCCCCGTATTGGGGACTGTAGGGACTCTCTATGATGAACACAGGTCCTTTGGACTGGATGGAAACTGTGTAGCCTGCTCCAAATCTGCCCTCTGAAACAATGTATTCATGATAATTGTGACAAAAAAAAGGAAGTAAACATTAATTTCATTTTTAAGTGAATTACCCCCCCCCCCAGGGAAGAAGCTATTTTTTACAGGTTTTTTTTCACAATCCAGACCTTAGTTGTTAGGTCTAGCATCATATTTAGACATTTTGATAGACAGCATAATTTATTGATAGTTCAATGACAGAGGTCTACAACCTCTCTTGAGATGGAATCAACCTTCAGATTTGAAAGTGAGCACTATATCCGCTTGGCTGCCTAGACAATTGTTGAATTTATGAAAAAAAATTGGTTCATTACGAATCCACTACACACTACACTACACAATCAGATTTGTTAAAGATTTTCTATTCAGCATTAGTGTAAGCAAGGCCACACTAAAAAAACAGGCCGTAATGCTCGTCAAGCATGACGTCACGATAGAAGACGGCAATGACATAATGTTTGCCGTTTGTGATCAGCTGCTTGTTTTAAATTTTCCTTGGAAAATAAATAAATAAATACCTACGTCATTGCAGTCTTCTATCGTGATGTCATGCTTGACAAGCATTACGGCCTATTTTTTTAGTGTGGTCTTGGTGTAAGTGAACAAAAACATTATAACATGGTAATATATGTTTACATGTCTTTTTTTTTGTTGCAAAACCTAGAAGCGTTTTATTATTAACGTTTATTATTATAAGTCACCTCGTATCTTGTCTGACTTGTATCTTCTTTTCAAACTTTTTATGAAGCGTTCGTACAGAGACTTGGACCTGCGGGCGCCCATTGCCTGATAGAAGAACGGTTTGTCCAAGTACACCATAGAGTACAGGCTGATCTGGCTGAGGATCAGCAACTCCTGACCTTTGTCCATCACCGTCCGAGTCCATCTCTGCGTGCTGTGTTCTGCGTGGTAGAATCTCGTCGTCAGAAGGGTGTTGACCCTGCAAAACTCATAAAAATCGGCAACCTGATACAGCAACTGTAGGTTATGAAAAAGCTTGTTTGCGATTTGTGTAACTAATTACCTAATGAGAATAATAAATCTTGTATTGCAATTTTGTTAAGAGGAAATATTTTAATGAAGTTTTCACTGGGGAGACATCTTTTTTGGAACAAAGCTGGTTTCTAGTCTCCATGTTGATAAGAAATTGGATAATTATAAAAGGGGCTCAGATAAATCAGTTGGCGAGTGTTAAACTTGGCAAGCATTTTTACGGTACATTAAAAAAAATCAATCATGAGTTTCTTGGGCTCTCAACAAAACCATCAAACAATTTTACATTGCATGATAAATATTTGAAAGGTTTAAATCATTGCTTTTTAGAATAAGTAAATTCTTTTAAAATGTGTTCAAATAGTGTAAATTAATCAGAGTTGTAATTTTGTGGGTAGTGTGGAAGTAAGTATTGTGCAACTCATCCGGAAAGATGTTTACTCACATTATACCCTGTGCCAGGTTTGCCGAGCGCAAGAACTATCATGCTTGCACCATAGACATCTACTTCCCGGTCTTGTAGCCTCATGTATATTACTATCTGTTAAATTTGTTTTTTAATGATGAAAAAGAAACTTTATAAAATATTTTAAAGCCAATTTTGATACAGCTGTCAACTGACCTAAACAAATAATTAAACTACCTTAACTCACATGTAATTTAGATCATCGTTAGTGTCTTGGGCCCCAAAGCCAATCCAAGCCACCAATCCAGTGCCGATGGCAGACACCACCAAGTCATCAACTATAACCATTGTTAGTTTTTAATATACTGTATTAGGCTACTTTTTTGAAAACTTATAACGACCTCATAGGAGCGACAACCACAACTAGGCTTGACAATGACACCATAAGTGTGTCGAAACCGGTAGCCATTAAGACTGCCAAGGATTACATTGGTAACAAGGTATTTAACCTCTAAATTAGTAAGTAATCCGGAAGGCAACACCTCAGAAATTAAACTTGATTGAGTTTGCAAACCAGCATGATCGGACCATGTGAATGGGATTTTATGCGGTAAATGGGGTTTTCCCATTTTTTTTTTCATCAAAATATAAAATTTGCAATTTCTATCCAATACATTTTTTAGAGATTAAAAAACAAATAATTTATTATATTGAAGTGTTTTCATGCACTTAATGGTTATGGAGAAAATTTAAAAATGTCAATTGTTAATGGATATATTTTTATCAAACTTATTAATTTTATACTAAGCTATTAATATTTAATATTTTACAAAAAAAAAACAGACTTTATTACCCTCCCTGTAGCAGCAAACCTAGGTAGGTACTTATTAAACCTAATGTTACATAAATAGAAAAAAAATCAGGCAAATGGAAATTCACTTAGTCTGCAGGCTCGCTGCAGTAAGGGTATTTACCTCATCTTACTATGAGTGTGTTTACCAAGAAATTGTTTGATGAGAATTCAAATTTATTTGTCTATAAAATTAAGAGAACATTCAATTAGGGTTACTTAAATCAATGAATGATTCCTGGAACCCAAAAGGGTCATTGAAAAAAATGAAGTTAACTACCATGGAAAGGCTTTAGTTTAAGCATAAGAAAACTTTTAGAGATCCTAGAATAAAATAACTTACAACAAAACAAAAAATAGTTTCTTAAATCCTGTAGTGTTAAAATAAAATTGTATATTCAGTTACCAACCTGTGACCGTAGCATTTTGCACTCTTTGTAGAACAGCTCTCATTTTTCTAAAACACTGTAGTCTTTAACACACCCACTCACAGGTTAGATTTTTTGATTACACTAACAAACTACAAACGAGGCATTCCACATTACGTAATGAATGGAATGGACAGTCTTGCTCCCTTGATAAGAGTTTATTAGCATTGTTCTAGTCAGGTGGACGTTAAATTGAACTAATGATAGTAAAACTGCAATTCATTTTATGTAATTGTTTGTTTTGATGTTAAGTAAATGTTAAAGATGTGTAAATACTTATATTTATAAGGCAAAATAGTATTCAAAGGTGATGATTTCTGCTTTGAATACAAAATTGTATGTTGAATTACGGTTCTTAGATAACTTACAAAGGTAATGGATTTTGTTATAAGTAATTTATTTAAGTAAGTTTATTCATTTCATCGGAGCAGTAACACACTTGCTAATTTGTATTTAAATCTGAATGTATAATGCTGTCATGTAGAATGAAAGTAAGATGCAATTAAGAACTTTGAACCAAAATGAATGATTGAACAGAAACAACTACCGGTAATAAATAACCAAACAAAATAACTTACTGGATGAGCTGGTGTATATCTATAAAATATTGTATCATTATCTTTTACTATACAGTATAAGAGCATACAAAAAATTACTTTTTGCATTCTTTTGAAAAATATACGTTACAAAAGTACTTGAACAACGAATTAAAATAACACATCTGCCAGTCAAAACGGGTTTCTTTTTAAAATTTGAAAAAGACTCAATATTATGCCATTACAATGCAATTGTGACAAATCAGTTCTATAAGAAGTCAGTTGTATTAGACCAAGCCCGCAAAAAATCATAAAAAATAACAGAGGATTTTAATTCAAAACCCATAACACTCCTGGGCGCTGGTTTCCTTTTGTTACGAACAATTCTACCAAGTATGAATTAGATGACTTTTAACCTTTATCGGGAATTGTTTTTGGCGATGGTTTGCGATTAACAAAGTAAAACATTAGGAGAGGAATTTGTTGCGGTCATTATCAAACAGCAAGTTGTGTAACTCCTTTGGTTCTTGGTCTCTAGCACAAAGCTTGTTAGAAATACTACACCCAGCAGTGGTTCCCAAATGCTTGGTTCCACCAATGTCTTATCTCTGCCACTATCAGCAATGTTATCAAGATGTTATCAGTGACAGTGTAGTGGCGGTGAGATGAGAGCCGTCGTGCAGAGAGTTCTTGAAACTCAGATCAGAGGTAACCAAACACAACTTAAGTAATCTGATAGCAAGTTTTGTTTCAATCAAAACATTTAGCTATGTCAAACGTGTTTCAAGCAATCTTGTCCTAGTACACAAACTCGATGGTTCAAATGCATATATCAAGTTTTTAACCTCTAGTGCTTGCAACTTGCAAATCAGTCGCTATGATAGTTGAAATTATCTTACTAGATTTATAATATGTATTTGTTGTTTTTATAATCATTCCTCATGTTTTGCTGTTTTTATCCTTTTGAAACTGTGTGATTATTTTGACACTATTGTACAATGTACGTACAAATGAATAAAGATATTTGAATTGAATTGAAAAAAATAAGATTGTTATGAAGAAGAGGGATTAAACTTCTAAATGGATAATGTTAACATATTCAACAAAACCGGAAGACACTGAGTTGAGTCTTTAACACTCATTTTTAACAAAGTATAGTCAACTACAATATGATTTTCTTCCCATCGTTTTTGTTTTTGGTGAGTTGACATCAAACACATTACACACATGACATCATACACAATTACATGTATGAGGTAGAAAATCTTTTGCTATCAAGCCAGCTCCTTCTAGATGCTATTCGTGTATAGTACTCTATACACGACATAAACATCGGAAAAGGTGCATCATTTTGTGATAAAAGGGATAAACACAGCATTTAGTAGTTAGTGGAGGAAATTTACAAAATTTGTTGATTTAACCTTATCACAAAAAAACTAAGTCAGAATTGAACAAAATATTTAATAGGATGTCAATAATGTTTCAGATGGTAATTTCATCACCAGCACAGTGACGCTTGGACTGTGTATCTCAGTCACATTTCACAAGAATGATTCTATAGAGGACCTCAATTATATGTAAGGAAAATATTATATTATATCTTGCTCTATTACATATAACTGACTCAAGACACCTGAACCTTGATTGTTTTGACACCTCTATGCATACAATAATTTCTTAGTTTACTTAGAAATTAGTAAAATGAGTGTGTTGAGAAATTGTGTTTATGTTTATATATTTACTTTATATAACATTGACGATGGATTTATACTTACATTTGATGTATTCCAAACCTTGACAATGGATCTTGTCAACAATTCCATTCTTGGTTATAATAATTCAATAATTGCTTCATTTCCAACGTTAATATAAGGTTTTTCAACAATAGCCTATCTATGACTTCACAACTTTATTATATATTCTACGTTTATCAGTTAAGTTTATTCAGTTTCAACGGTTTTCCTTTTCTAGGGCCAAAAAGGTACTGAACCTTAAACTTTTCAATGACAACCTATCAAACAAACCTTGGAAGATGGACATCAGGCAGAAAGGCTATGGAATAACGGTTCTAAAAGAGAAAAGGCTCATATCAGGGTTTAACGGATCTCAACCTATCTTTGATGACGCAATGGAAACTCGATTTGCTTACAAGTTCTACAAAATGTTCATCAAGTTGCTGCGTCAACTTCACGACTCTAAACTCGTTAAAGGTAATACTAGTACTATTCTCAGGCACTACATTTTCTGTTTAAGTTATCAATCTTTTTCACCTTTTTGCTTGTGACACAACCACTACCTATAAACACAGCAAAACACAGATAATAAGTAATAGTGCATTGGAAAAGTTAAAGGTTTAAAAACATTATGATACACTTTTACCTGTAGGATAATGATTTTTAAAATCACGTTCTTAATAAATCAATGATATGAGTTGATGAGTACCAAAATACACCTCATATTTATAACATAACTTACGTAAGGGATTCTTAGCAAATATGACCTCTTTCACAAGAGTTTAATATTTGATCAGTTTTACGTTTCAATTTAATATTTCAACTTCAAAATATTTGCAGGAACATCATTCCGAAAGCCAGTCAGAGTCAATATAATTCACGACGGACCAGCTATATTCGTTCTTCACTCACCTAAAAATATGAAACGATCGCCAAGAGAAAAGTTTATAGCAGCGTACGGTATGAAATATTTTGTTGATTAAAATTGAATTTACTTTCTCAAGTTTAAATTCACTACCCTTTATTTTCTGAACCCAAAATATTTATAGGTAGATATTATATTGCAAGGATCTATGTAACACTAATAAACTTTAAAACCACACAAGGCACTAAAACCAATTGGACTACAAGACCTATTTATTAGCAAGCACTCTTTTGTACAGAACTACATTGTCCGAGAGAAGTGACGTGGTTTCATTGACAGAAAGTCTCCTCATGTCGTCCCAAGATCTCTCTGCCAAAGGTATACTCAGTTTGTCCAACAGTGGCTGCGCAATCTGCGGAACTATAGGCTGCAGAGCGATTCCGCAGACCCGTAGTGTCTCCATGGTAACGTGAAGCACACAGTTAAGGTGGTCTGCACAATCTGCAGATTTACGCAGCTTCCAAGGCTGGTTTGTTTCAAAAAACTTATTCGCCTCGTGTAGACAAGATATAATCACATCTACACCTTTGTAGTAGTTGAAATTTCCATAGTGTTCTCCGACGAGATCTGGAAAATCGGTTTAGATTAAACTGCTGTTCTAAGTACAGTTTCTGTGTTTGGTGCCCAAAAGACCCAAAATAAAAAATAAAATAGGCTACGCAATCCAACACACAGAAGTATTTAAAATTCAAATCTCCAACAAATATTTTTTATTTTGCACAATGAATTGTCATGTGATGTAAAATTCAGGTAAAACATTAATTCCAATGTTATTTTGGTAGTTCTAGAAAATTACGTTGAATGACTTAACATCAATGCCAGTCATATTTAAGATTGATACTTTCTTTGGAATACAGTATTTTATAATCAGGGATTTGCTTAGGAAAATTCATAAATAATAAAATAAACAAGATGAACAATATTTACAGCAATTTTCTATTTCTAGACATTAACATTTGGAAAAAGATTAAAATGTAATTTTATCAGATGAACCATGGTCAACGTTACGATGCATACATTAAATGATCAGAATAAATTAAATTAGGTACCAGAAACAAAACAAACCTGGTATTCTTTGAAGAGATTCAACTAAACCACTAGCCTCCTTCTCGCAGTATTGCTTGTAATGTTCAGGGTTAAATGCGGGGAAGTGTTGGTTTGCGTTGACAGTTTTACCTGTGCATCGGTTGAGTAGGTTCCCCAAAGTGTCAGCTAACTCAGCGTTCAGTTTACGTAATACTTTTTCATTGCTGTAATCTAAAAAGTTATACGAAATTAACATATTTGTAAGCCATTTACGGGGTTGCTCAATTTCTACTAGTCAATATTTCAATGAGCTAACTTTTTTGCGCTCAGTGTGGAAGGAGGTAAGTACGTAAGCACTAAAGCTGCCATCTTAAACTCTACCCACTACATGTGATTTACTCGAGCCGCTCTTTGTAACATCACAATTGAGCAATATTTGACTATTGACAGAACTAGACTTACCGTGTTAAAAAAATTGTTACCAGTTTTTTTTTATGTAGTTGTTGTGATTGACAGATATCACTGATGTAAGTACTGTTTTTTGTCGCATATTCTGATTTTTTAACAAAGTCAAACTGATATGGTTACTTGTTATAAGATATAGCAACTTGTTATGTCATGTCTAATATCTCAGTTAAGTAGAAAATAGAATGTTATAATGCCTAATTATGCTCAAGCTGTGACTGGCTCACAGAACTATATATTCGTTTTGAAAAGTTGGCAACAGCTGGCGAGTATGCTGAATCACTGGATACTCCATTGTAGAAAGCCCTAATGGCATGATTTAAGTACCTAGCCTGTAGTAATATACTGAACAGTCCCAGGCTAGCTCTCCTAGCAAGGAGATGGGTTTCAGAGTAGCTTTGGCAAGTCAAACACTCCTCCTCCTCCCCCCCTCCCCAAAAAAAAAACATCAAAACACCAAAACATTTCAATTGGGTTTCAAAAGATTACCAGTTTAACAACAACTTTATTACTTACTAGCATCACTGTGTAGAGTTCCCTCTCGTAGGAGGAAGTAGCGAAGTCCGGCCGCCGAAAAGTCCTTAGCGGCCACAACTGGGGACACAACATTGCCGAGGGTTTTGGACATCTTCTCATCATCCACTGTCCAATGAGAGTGGACTACGAGGGAGGAGGGGGGCTCGAGTCCAGCACCAATCAGGAATGCCGGCCAGTAAACTCCATGGAACCTGTGTGTAATGTTCCATTCACTGAGGGGAAAGACAGGTGAACTGAAGGGAGAAAGTGTTGTAAAGATAGATTAACCAATTGCTGAGTTTGTGTTTTAGTTTAATATTTCAATTAAATATTTACCCGGTCTAACAACAAGCGTATAACATCTAATTCATTTTCAGTTTTTCACTGTACATTTGTTTGAGTTTCAAAATGTTTCAGTAACTTTAGCTGATCCTTGAACGATTTCAAAACACAACAAACCTTCTTTGGACACAAATATTTTGACTTCTACTAAAACTGAACCAGTCTACGATAAAAGTATTGACTTTGTGCTGTGTGATGTGTACGGAAAAAGGTTTTGGTGCTTTACCTGTGTACCGTATGAGACTGAAAGTAAAATCGGATAAATCAATACTCAACCCTTAAAGGGGCAATTGTTTATATGAACATCGTACACGGCATTGGCCTCTTTAGTCAAAGTAACGAGTACAGTAGGCAATGCCACTAATTTCTCATGTGTACTCAGTGAAAAGCGAAAAACTTCATTAATCATTGCCAGAATCCTTTACAGAAGAGACATCACCTAAGAGTGCCCAAGTAATGAAATTTACTTGAGAATGTCCTTTCCGAGGATTTGTCTGGTGGGAGGCCAGGAGCGAAGGTCAGGGTAGCCAGCAGCCGTCAAGTAGCTGACGAGAGCGTCCAGCCACACGTATACAGTCTGGTCGGTAGAGCCTGGCACTGGCACTCCCCAGCGCACCCTGGAGATTGGCCGAGATACTGACACATCCTGTAGACAGCTACCTTCCTTCACCCAGCCTACCAACTGCTTGTGAAACTTGTCGGGGTAGACAACTCGTTCTGTAAACAGTGGTAATATTTTGAAATAAAATTGTTGCACGTGGATTATTTAAGGTTGAGACTTGTTTCATCACTTAACCCCCTACTGGAGACCACGAGAGTCTGCAGTTGGCGGCAGCCAATAACAAGACTGGACTAGCTCGGCGTTGCAACATCGCCCGTTCACTAATTTCCGACACTAATAAAAATTTACTAAACAATAAATTTTCAAATCAGCTAATATTATTAGATTTGGCAACAGCGCCTGGCCCTCATTGGCTTCTTCAAAGTCACGTGGTAAATAGGCTCCTCTTTCAACTGCAGACTCTCGTGGACCGTAATGTAGTGGCAGAGGCACAGTGGCGCACCCAGGAGGGGGCTTTGGGGGCTTAAGCCCCTCCCCCCAAGGACCTAGGGTTAACTTTTATCGATGGCCAGGAGTCAGCGGTATATACATAAATGTTTCATTTGTAATTTCAGAATGTAATTTTTAAAATATCATTAACTTTAAAACTATTTTTACAACAGGATTTAAATTACATACAGCAAGGAGCACACGTTTTGTAACGAGTATTTTTTAGGCCTATGCAGACAGATAGAGACAGAACGGCTCACTCGCCTGCCTCATAGTGATTGTCAACACTACTGCCTGCCACCTGACCTGCCACTGCCTACGTGCCGTTGCCATTAGCGACCAGCGCTAGGCTAGACTAGCGCCGCTAGTTACTCCAATGCTCACTTGACCTTGACACGCTCGCACTACGTGCTGTTTTGTTGACATCGTTGAATTTTGGATTTGAGTACTACTACAGTGTTTGTTGTGATTTTGTAAATTCAAGCTGTGTTTGTAGTCTGACAAGCTAGACCAGTTGTAGTGATCGGTGATAAAAGAAAATCTAATATACAAAACTATTTTAAACCGTTGAAATTACATAAAAATGATGCGAGTGTGAGTGATGTGGTTGGTGAATCTGGCAATCTTTCTGCAAGTAAAGAGCTGTCTACAGACATTGAAGCGGAGGATGTTTCCGAAGCCACTACAAGCAGGCCTAAGGCCCAAGTAAGTAAAAATAATTTGGACATTGCTTTGTTTAAAAACAAAAAACTAGCAGACAATGAAAAGTTAACAGTTTTAAATGACAAATGGATTCCGGAGAGTAGTTTCAACTTTCCTTACAGATCATATGGCAATCAACTACGCAAATTTTTGTTTTTGTGGCTGAACAAATATGCTTGGCTTTCATATTCTGGTATTGAAGACTCTGCATACTGTGTTCACTGTATGCTTTTTTCAAAAAAAGAAGTAGGTAAGAGTAATGCTCAACATACAGGCCAACTTGTTGATGAAGGTTTTTCTAACTGGAAAAAAGCGTTAGAAAAGTTCAGGCCCGGTCTGGCTCCATTGAAGGCCCTCGGCTAGATAGTGATTTGAGGCCCCCCGCCAGAAATAAAACGAGGACCATGGGGTCCTCTCACGGCAAATTTTTAATATTTTGGATTAAACTAATAATTGCAAAATTTATTTCAATTAAAAAACTTTGTATTTATAAATCTAATTCTAAGGTATCATTCAATTTAAATTTGATATAAAATTTGCTTGTATTTCTATTCGCCTGACCTCTATAGCTGCAACAAAATTTAAAGGCATATTCTTAAAATTGTTTAAATATTCAATTCAAAAATAAGACCAAAACCTAGTTCTTGGAGTTTTTGCCATAGGCCTACTGTTTATCACACATTTTACTCCATAGTTGTACTTCAGCAACAAAGACAAACAGAAAAACAGTAAAGGTATTTTAAGTTAAGGCTTACGAAAATCTTCTGATGATTTCTGCCTACCTGTTTGCGACTTCTCATTTGTTAGTAGAATCGGAACTGAAACCAGCTAACCATAAGTTAAAACTTTTTTACTTTAATTTGTTTTTATTTCGAAAGATTTCCTATCTTTTTTTTCTTTAACTTGTGCCACTTGGGCAAACACGTTTGATTTATAAACTGAACGATTCAAGTGTTAGTACTCTTTCAAACAATACGTCATAATCCTCTACGTAGTAGGAATTATAACAGTTATTGCTTTACTATGTTACTATGTTATGGCATTATATAACAGTATTAACGAACACACATCGGTGATTGAAACTAGTCGTTCGTAAGCACCCTACTCGACTTTTTGGTATTGAGGCTGACTGGTCGAATGAAATCAGCTGTAGATCAACTGACGTATATGAATTGGGAAGAGTTTTTAGGGATATATAAAATGTAATTGTAATGTATGTATTTTTGTTGATTTAAAAAAATATCAAATTGCCAAATCACTGTGTTTTATATACTCATGATAGTTAAAGCCCATAATAAAATCTGTTTTAAAAACCAGGTAACAAATAAATAGGAATATTTGTTTTACTGAGTTAGAGACATTAGGCCTGAATAATGTAAAACTTGTCAGTCATGTAATAAACTATAAATTTCAAAATTAATTAATTGTAAATATTGTCATTCCATTACGTTTTATACCAAAGTATAAAATATTAATGCAAACGACAACACACAATAGGAATCAAGCGCAAAAACTCCAACGTTTAAAGTAAAATTATAATCGATCATTTAACTTGCAATGACAGAAACTACTGAAACCACTGTGCCACTGTGGTGATTGAACGCCACCAGTTGTTGTAGTGGAATTCACTCAGTTTTTTATTCGACTGAAAAAACAACTGGCTTTAAAAACAACCGATTGAATAGTCGATAATTCTTTTTCCAGTCGGATGTCTCATCACTTTTAGTACAAGTGCTAAGCTGTCTGCTTGAGTCCAGATACTAGATTCAATTGCACAACGCAGCCGCGCGGGCACGGCGATATCGCATCACTATCACCATTGACTATATAACACTCCCTTAACTGTAATACAATAATAAACATGTTATTGTTTATTTGTTTTTGCAAGACTATGTCACTGTGAAACAGTAAAACAAAATAATTTTTCATTTTCTTAATAAAAAATTGCTGACTTGATTTTTTTTGTCTTTGGAGGCCCCTTGAGCCGGAGGCCCTCGGCGATCGCCGATTAGCCACCCTGGCCAGACCGGGCCTGGAAAAGTTTGAAAAGCATGCAAACTCGCAATACCATAAGGAGTCTTCTGTAAGTGCAGCAAACTTTAAAAGAGTTATGGACAGTAAAATGAAACCAATTGATAAATCTCTTTATAAAGGAAAAGATGTTCAAGCAAAAAACAATGTGAAAAGAATTATTCCAATCATAGATACTGTTATTTTGTGTGGCAGGCAGAATATTGCGCTTAGGGGCCATAGAGATTATGGTGAGTTTGAAATAAACTCTAAACCTATCGAAAACGAGGGTAATTTTAGAGCTCTTCTGAGAGCAAGAATTGAAGCGGGGGATCAAGATTTAAAAAATCACTTTGAATCATGTGGCCGAAACGCTACGTATATAAGTTGGAATTTCCAAAATCAAATAATTGACACTTGTAACCAGATTATAACCGAAAAAATAGCAAGTAAAGTTAAAGAAGCAAAGTTTTTCAGCGTTCTAGCAGATGAAACCTCGGACGTTTCAACAATTGAACATTTTTCGTTGTGCCTACGTTATGTAACATGTAACGCTTCAAATGAATACACTATTTGTGAGCAGTTTCTCAAGTTCGTGCCTCTAACCTCTACTACAGGTAGCGAGTTAGCAAAAACCTTAATAAAAGGACTTGAAGATAGTAATATAGATATAAGTAACCTACGTGGCCAGGGGTACGATGGGGCGGCTGCCATGAGTGGAAAGTTTAATGGGGTCCAAGCGTATATTCAAGAAGCTCATCCCACAGCACTATATGTGCATTGCGCTTCTCATAGCCTTAACCTGGCATTATCAAATGCTTCTGAAGTTGTACCAATCAGAAATTGCTTCGGAGTAGTGGAGAAGATATATAATTTTTTCAACACTCCTAAAAGACTGGCAGTTTTACAACAGAGCATCGAGTCTGAGGTAAATATTGAAACCAACAGGAAAAAGCTTCTGCAGCTTTGCCCTACTAGGTGCGTACAAAGACATGATGCTGTTTTCGTCACGAAGGAACTGCTACAACCTGTTGAAGTAGCGTTAGAGAAGATTAAAACCTGGAATGATAGGGACTCTTCTTCCGGAGCTGTAGTATTACTTAACTCCTTATGTCAAGGTGATTTTATAGTTTCACTCTTGGCATCAGAAAAGCTTCTTGGTTACACTGTAAACCTAAGCAAGAAGCTGCAAGGGAACGACTTAGATCTATCTTCTGCAATCACACATGCTGAAACGGTACTTACAAGTTTGAAATCCATAAGAAAAAATGTGGATCAAGAATTTCGTTCATTGTTTGAAGAGGCTATACCCAAATCGCAGACAACTTTGGATCTTCAATCTCGATGCCTCGAACAGTTGGCAGGCAGTTAAACAGAAGCAAGACACCAGCAGAAACCCCTGAAGTGTACTACAAGAGATCTATTTTCATCCCTTGGGTCGACTCTTTAGTAGCTTCTTTGGAATCTCGATTCATCAAGCATAAAGACATATTAAAGGGTTTCGACTGCTTAATACCATCAGCCGATGGATCACATTCAAAGAAAGAAACACCTCAAGACGGAACAAAACGTAATTTTCTGCAGCTATGCAGTTTTTATGAAAATGACATAAGTGAAAGCAGTGGAAACAACGAGAAACTTCTCACCGCTGAGTTTGAATTGTGGCAAAACAGCTTCAAGACCCAGGCTAACATACCAAGAAATGCAATTGATTTGTTGAACTTATGTGACAAGGACTTATTTCCCAATATCCACACTTTGCTGAAAGATCATTCAGTACAGCTGAAAGATCATTCTCTACGCTTTGTCGACTTAAGACCTATCTTAGAAACTCCATGGGCGCAAATAGACTGAGTGGACTTGCAGCTTTAAATATCCATAGAGAAATCGAAGTCACTAGTACGGAGGTAGTTTCCATCCTCAAAAGATCGTCTAGACGTCTGGATTTTGTTTTGTAAATCTGTAACTTTAACTTATATGTAATTTGTTCTAACTATATTTACACTGCTAAAATTATAATTGTATTATTTATTTCCTAAATACCGGTACCAATATTGTTTTTTGTATAAAACTCAAAATCACATGTAAATTAATCAGATAGTTGGTTTTAGGTCAAAACTTTAGCCACAAAATTAAACACACTCACCATCTTTCAGCCAATGCAGCAGATCGTCCTGCATAGAACTAAGTTTGAACTTGTAGTTGGTTTCTTCCGTCCACTCGACTGGTCGACCAGACTCGGCACTGACCTTGACCTTAGTTCCGTCAGGGTTTGTGACCTCAGTCAGCTGAGTGTCAGTAAGGAACGCCTCATCAGCTGTGCAATACCACCCAGAGTACTGTCCCTTGTATATGTGACCTCTCGCCAACAACTGGTTCTAAAATTATCCACCTTTCATTATATTTTTATAACAGCTCGGTTATCAGCATAATTGGAGTTGCCACATGACATGCTTTGGACATAATTTAAAATGATTAGGGTAAAACTGATTTTTTTTAGCGAATTTCCCTATAGGGAAGTAGCTATTACCGTAGGTCTCATGGTAAGACTTAGGCCCGGGACCGATTTACTTTTTCATTTTGATGTCCCCAGAGGCCAAAAACACCATTCGTTCAAATTTTTATATATGTATATATATATATATATATATATAGGTATATATATAGACTAGCTGTACCCGCGGGCTTTGCCCCGTTTAACTTCATATGTGAGCTCGTTCGCATGGCTCAATCACGTCCTGGTTGAAGTTCGTTCGCTACGCTCACTCACCTTTAGGTTGGAGCTCGTTCGCTGCGCTTACACGTCTTGTTGCAGTTCGTTCGCTACGCTCACTCACCTTTACGGTTGGAGCTCGTTCGCTGCGCTCAATTGCTTTCAGGTTAGCTCGTTCGCTACGCTCACTCACCTTTTGGTTTCAAATTAGCTGTTGTCAAATATTAAAAAAATAATAGTGCTGCACTCTGTTGGTAATCCTTGTAACTTTAATGCTATTGAACATAATAGAACACAACCAACTTGTTTAATTGAAACAGCTGTTATGATTCATTAATTCCATTTAAATATGAGTACTCATTAGGTTACCATGGGAAACTCCAGAGCCACTGGGGCGGAGCCCGAGAGTCCGATCAGAATAAAAACCACTTAGTTTTCCTATTTAATGCCTAAAGAATCAGTGTACCAAATTTCAGCCTCTTAGGTAAGTGGGAAGTGGGAGAATTAGTGATGAGTGAGTGAGTGAGTCAGTCAGTCAGTCAGTCAGTCAGTCAGTCAGTGAGGGCTTTGCCTTTTATATATATATATTTATATATATATGTGTCCGTGAACACGATAACTTGAGTAATTTTTATCCGATTTTGATGAAATTTGGTTTGAAGGTGTAATGCGGGATAAACTTGAATGAGTTCGCGATCCAGCATGATCGGACCATGGGAACAGGGTTTTATGGGGGGTTTTATGGGGTAAAAATTGGTTTTTCTCACTTTTGACCCTCAAAACACAAAATTTCCCAATTTTTCTCTAATCCTTCTTAAAGAGCTTAAAAAAACAAACAATTCAGTATGTCAAAGTGTTTTTGTACGGTTATTGGTTACGGAGAAAACTAAAAAAATTGTAAATTTAAAATTCCCATGTTATTCTTATGGAGAATATTGTAAAATGTTGTAGTTTGCTTGATTATGGATATCTTTTGATCAAACTTGGCAAATATATTCATTTTCTACTAAGCAATAATTATTTTACTTAAAACACACACTTTATTAGTTTCCTTGTAGCAGCAAACCTAGGTACTCGTTAAACCTAATGTTATTTAAATAGATCGATTGAAAATCAATTCAGCCAAATGGAAATTCGCTAAGACGGCAGGTTTGCTGCGGCGGGGGTATTTTTAATTTAGTTTGGACTAAATTTTGTTCCTTGATTTGAAATTAGTTCTGCTCTCAGTACAGTACAAAATTGCTGCGGTTTGAGTAAATTGTTGCACCAACAGGCCGAACTATGTTGCTTATTTATTCCTCAGCGGTAAATACTTGTGTTTAATAAATGTTAGCGTATGGTTGTTAAAATAAACAGCAAATGTAAAATATTGTTCAGTCATGTACTTTTTTGGCACTCTCAATTTTTTTGTATTAGGGTCAATTAAAACAAACTGTAACTTGCTAAGGTTTTAATCATTCTACAGCACTAAAAAGGTAAAATATGTAAACTTATCAATATCTTACCCAAAAATGGTGAACAGCATTTATGTGGTTCTTATTCGTTGTTCTTATAAAATGTGAATAATCTACACCAAACTGTTTGAAAAGATCTTTGTACTCTGATGAGATTTTATCACAGTAATCTATTGGTTCGGTTTTAAAATTTGCAGCAGCTTGTTGTATCTTTGATCCATGTTCGTCCGTGCCAGTCATGAAGAGAACATCTTTTTTACACAAAAGCCTTTGAAATCTTTGGGCTGCATCAGCCAACAGCGATGTGTACAGGTGACCAATATGAGGAGCTGGAAATATGTAGAATAATATTAAGGTAATAATAAAAACAATACGGAACAGTAAAATACTTTACCTAGCCTACCTATCAAAACTCATGCATATAAATCATTGTTCCTCCCCTAAGAAAGTTATCTATGTGTTAGTTTAAAATTAACATGGAAACATCAGTAGACCTAACCTACTTTAGTTGTCATAAAGTATAGAGTGGTCCTTTCAAATTAAACTGCTGGTTTCAGATCTCTCTGGAATAAAACCTTACCAACCCAAGTTAAGGACTGTTTCAGGAGCTTAAAAACGGAGTAGTAATACTTCGACCCAGTAACATTTTGACCAAACTCAAATTTCTTAGAAAAACAGTAACACTTTGTCCCACTCGCTTTTACTGTTGATTAAATAAGCTAATGGAGTAACATTTCGCCCCCAACAAAAAATTGACAAGGGTTGAGGAACGCAGCCATTCGTAACCTAGTAAGAGCCCCATGACCTGTGCATCCACTTTGCATCCTACTTTGCATCCACCCTGTGGTTGAATGTCGCCCAACTGTTACCCTTTTAAATTTGGTGGAATCTCACGCCCACCAAACACTTTGTTTACGAGGGACGGCGTTCCAAATTTTTATGTTTATTCCTCTCAAACCTAACCTAACCTTACGAAATTGGTTAAAGTTTAGTTGAAAATTATCTTTGTCAAAGCCTTGCGGAACACAGTTAGTGGTAAGCCAATTATAAATCTGATGCCTTTTGGTACAGTAGTTTTTAAATGTTGTTAGTTTTTTACTATCCTTTCAAACTATTGAAGACCTGTCAAATATTTGTTGAAACAAAGTGTTACTAGTGAGCAGGTAGACAGTTGTGAGCTCTATATAAACGTTAAATTTTTAAGTTAAGTAGGCCTAACTAAAACTAAAACGATTCACAAAGCTCCATTTCTCAGTGCCTGAGACTAAAGTTTTAGGCTATGCTACCTACCATATTAAAAACTTGTTGAGTTGGTAGCGCCGCATGATAAATTAATCCAAGGCAGAAATGTAGTGGGTTGGCTCATGTCTTGCTTTAGGCCTAACTTAGTTGCCCTCCATGAACAGGTCTGAGACCAGTGTGGTGGATGTGCAAATTCAAGATTAAAAGAGCCTAAGCAATTTCTTTACGTATTAAAATGTAGTTTTCCTAAACTTATAATAAATAAGAAATGCAATATAATTGATAAGTTAAGTTACTAGACCTAGGGCTCGCAGGCTAGCCAATATTAAAATTTTTACATAGCTTATGGATGGCTAATCGAAATGGCTTTCACGACAACAGACATGGTGTTTTGTTTGTTTTATTACGTTATATGAATTTCTCAAGAGATTGTGAAGACCACTTTTTTCTATTTTCGCTTTCATTTTAAAAGTAGGAGTTTACGCCACAAGGATAGAGGCCTTTTTCAATTTGTGGCCTTAAAAACCACTCTAGTAAAGTGTAAAATTGTGATAAATAACTTACATGAGTTGACAACAGACATGGTGTTTTGTTTGTTTTATTACGTTATATGAATTTTTCAAGAGATTGTGAAGACCACTTTTTTCTATTTTCGCTTTCATTTTAAAAGTAGGAGTTTACGCCACAAGGATAGAGGCCTTTTTCAATTTGTGGCCTTAAAAACCACTTGTAAATTGTAAATTAACTCTAGTAAAGTGTAAAATTGTGATAAATAACTTACATGAGTTGACATAAAATATAGGAGTTGTGATAAAATAATCGTCTCTGGAACTAATAGCACTTGACCAATTTCTTCTTGAGCCAGGCCGGCTTCTACCCAAAAAAGATTTATTTAAATACAAACCCCTCGAAGACAGTGGCATTTTCGGTCTGATCAATTCTCTATTTGGATAAATAAACAACACTTATATCTTAGCCTTTAGCAATAATAAATGTAGCATTTCTCATAAATCATTTCTTCTAATCAAATAGGTTATGTTTACAATTTGACCACTCATAAATAAACAAATAATTTCGTCAACGGCAACAGCTGACCGTGTAGCAAGCATAGAGAGAGGAATTAAACTGGCCCAAAGAGTAAGATCAGACAATAATTAATTGAATTGATTTTTGTTATGGTATGTTGTAAGTTAACAGCAATAGTGGACAATTCAAAATGTAAATATGGCATTTTAGAAAAGAAACTTTTAAGCAAAATAGTATATTTTGAATTCTACCATTTAAAATGCATTGTAAATTTTCATTTAAAGCTTCATATATGAAAAAAATATATAAAGTATATTAAATGCCACTTCAAGTTACCATTTATGGCTATAACCATAGCCTCATCTATTGGAAGGTAGTGGTAAAGATTAGCTAAAATCCTGTCAGAGATGATATCATTATAGCCCTAAGTTTTGGGCGCGTTCTGGGAACGCATGTAATTGGTGTACCAGTGTACCGACCGGTGCAGATGTCCCGGTGACTTACTCACCGCCCGGTACCACCCCACTGCAATAGTCTTTGAGATCCCAGTACAGAAGTTACTGGTACTGGTAGTAGTCACTGGCTTACGGTACACATCGGATTGTAATTATGTAATTTACACAACAACGTGTATTATTTACTTTATAAAATTAAAATCGAACAAACTTGCCCTCACAAAATAAATTATTGATACCTATATGTATTCCCCTATTACGTAATTTAATCCATCAAACTGATAAACAATTGATAATTTATTCGATGGAACCGCCATATTGCAATTGCCGAAGCTGCAGGCTTTTGTCTAAGAAACTGACCAATCAGAAGCCGCTGGTGCATTATTATACACCGAAAACAATATCTCCGGTGCATGAATTTTGCACCGCTGGAGGGAAAAAGAGGAAATGGCTGTCTGCTAGGTAAACTCACCGGTCAACCAGAACGGCGCATTTCCTGCGTGCACCGGTTAACATAAATACTGTACGTGTTTTGTAGGTACACAGAGGTACAGATATAATAAATGGACTGCAGGTGTCGTGTAGATAGATACATTTATTTGATCATTAAACGTTATACATAAAAACTGTATTCAATTCAACATAAAGCAAAATTCTAGCAAATTGTATAGTGTTATTTTCAGACTTCAGAGAGGGGATTAGGCTACAAACTATTTTAAATATTAATTCCACAGTGTGACTGCTATACAGTTCCTTCTAGGGAAATCCTGACACATTGGTAATAAATTGTATTAGATCATTTTAATTATTTAGCCTAAGGTACAATAATTAGCATTCTTTTGGGGGTTTAGGGGGCTTTTGCCCTACAAGCCAGCAGTGTATTACATATGAAATCAACAAGCCTGATTTGTAGCATGTTTACAACATCATGCAAATTCTTTAAACATGTTGGGTCAGGATTTCAGTTTTGCAGCTTGCAGCAGTCAGTCTAGTGTCTCAGTGAAATCAATTTGTTTCAATTGGAAAGCCTTGCCATTACTTTTAACACTTGAACTAATGTTATGCAAAAATACCATATTTTAGCAAAAACTAGAGAGACAAAAACTACCCTAATATGTTTGTTATAATATTGTTAATAACTTTCCAGCTATCTGTGCAGCAGTGCTTGGATAAAAAGGTTAGCAAACTCTTAGACCATATAATCAATAGAAAAACTGATGGATGACCTAGTTAAAAAGATGTTTTCAATAGATAATAAAACGAGTAAAGTTAACTACCCATGTAATATTTTTTAGAAATAAAATAAAAAAATATTTCTATATCAATCTAAAATGAAGTTGCACAAATTTGTGCCATATAAATCTAAAAATCTATCATTTTGTGTCCAATATTTAAAACTTTTCTCATCAATAGTTATTTATTGAATCCTTACGTGAAGGCGATTCCTACGAAACACTACTCCTCTGTTAATAATGGACAGATTTTTACAAACGATGTGTTAAAATTAAGTATTTTTTGTGTAGACGCCCCCTTTCACCAATTCCTGTAATATAAGTCCTCGGGCTTTGCCCCACATCAAAATCCCAATGTATTTCTTATGAAGAAAATATTTTGTTTACTAAACAGACGAAAAATTTGTATTAATCACAGCTGTTCATAATAAACACATAATACATACAAGAACGTTAGTTTTCAGAATGAGTTTGTTTTTAACTGGAGTGGTGTGATTGATTACAATCTTTTAAGTCATCGGAAATTCGTACTGTTAGTCGTTTTGAAATAACGCCTGTAATACTTTGCAATTGCTCGAATTCGAGCAACAGGTGCACTAGTTTGTACTAATACCTGTTTAATTAATGAAATTGAAATAATAGGTAATTGATTGCCAATATGGGATTTTATCAGAGCTACTTATATATAACTACTTTACCAATTAAGATTCTAGGTAACAGCTTTGACTATCAATACAACAACTTCTGTGTCCAATAGTCAATGGTAACAGTTAGTATAGTCTAACATAACTAACAAAGGTGAATAAAATGCACAAACAAATTTCTATATTGGTGTAAGATACCTACATTTATGTGATCTAGTGCGTTGTGGTATGGCAACCGGTTTCAACTCACTTTGGCAGTCATCTTCAGGCCAGTCAAGATGTTTTGTCTCTTCATATGAATGAAGGTCGTTAATTGATAATAAATAATAATAGATAAGACACGCACACTCACACATTTAAATCTGCACATTTATGACGGTAAAACAAAAAATAATACTACACACAGTACAGGACGCGACGTGATTGGGCGGAAGGTATGTCTAGATATACTGTATGATATGTCCTGTACCGTTGACCGTTTTTGACCGGATTTGAATTGATCTTTTTTATTTGGCGTTTTCGGGTTTCTTGGTTTTGTTGACCTTCATTAGCGACAAGACATCTTGACTGGCCTGAAGATGACTCCCAATGTGAGTTGAAACCGGTTGCCACACCACAACGCACTGGATCACATAAATGCAGGTATCTTTACCAATTTATAGTATTTAAATGCGATCAGGAGGCTAAAATTAATATAATGAAGCAAAAACAAATGTAGATGCCACACATATAAACACAAAAGAACATAATAAAACTAAAACACCTAATATTTATAGGTCTCGATCACTATAAATTTAGAAGAATATGCCGTATCTGATCCAGGGGGATACTCAGAAAAGCTTCTATGGCATGTAAGTATTAAACTTACAATGTATTTTCCACTAAGTACAAATTAATACTGTAGTTTTATATTCAACCAATGAATATTATTTTTTTTGGAGGTCAATATTATTATCTTATTGTTTTATCCACTCTACATTAAGTTATATTATATTGATTATTTTAACCAAAATAGTAAAATTTAGGCTGTAAATAACACTAAAACAAAATCGAACAGACCTGCTGAAAATAAAGCAAAACAAAAATAATTCATCACTACACTTAACTTATTGTAGATAAAAAACACAAACTCGTAAACAAAATGATTACGTGAGAGACAATTATTTAATTTATTAATTAAAAATAGGTATTTACCTTTGTCTACAGCTCAAACAGTTGTAACTTGAGTAAAGGCCGTTTCGGCATTATAATGCTATCGTCAGACGTGGAACATTCAGCTGAAGTAGCGTCATCATAGTCGAAACAAACAACACGAATAACATTTTACAATTAACGAAAATACAATGATGAATAACAGGCCCGTCGCACAAGTTACAACTAGTTTAAGCTGTAGATAAAGGTAAATATCATTTTAAATTACTATCACTGCTCAGGGGCTAAAAATGGATTGTAATTTAAAAAGAAAGACGTTTACTTAAAAAAGTGAACCTTTAATTATTGTTGGTTTGTTGAATTGGTCTATCTGAAGATCTCTTTCTTTTAAAATTAATCCTGAAACATCTCCTAACACAGTATAAATAAACTCTACCACCACACATTCATGGGATTTCGTATATTATCAAATTGGTTATAAAGCAGCAAAAAATAAACTTAGTTTGTCTTGTCGACAGGTGGCAATTGTACAACAAGAAGAGATCGGCGTCAAGTTCTTGTGTAGTGGCACTATTGTAGGACAACACCATGTTCTAACAGCTGCTCCATGTGTGGTGAATGTTGGCATCACTGATTTACGAGTAGTTTCCGGTCTCGCACATCTACGCAGGTCTACCAACACACTAGTGAATCCTCACAGCGTGTTCACTGTAGTCAAGAAATACTACAACAATCACAAAGGTAAGAGTCTGGAAAAATCAGAATGTAGCCAGCAGGTTTGTTCCTGAGAAAAAACCAATAGTTTGTTGATGGTTTTAAACTTGACTCAGTTTTTCTCAATTAGACGATGATTAGGTTTTTTTTTATAAATTAATCAATAACTGGCACCCACTCATGCCATAAAATACTTGTTTTCAGCTTAAAAAGGATACATTTCTTTGATTCATAAAAAAATAGTGTACCTACAACACTTGTTTCCTACAAATACCATAAGAAATAATTGTGTCCTCATCGTAGAAATCAATCCCACTGCAATTTACAGCCTGATTCTTGTTTGATGTATGTTTGATTTATAATCACACCAGAATGTCTTTTAGTTGTTTGCTTAATATTGCTCAATTGTTTAGGAGGTCACACTTTAAGTGTATAGCAAATGTGTTCATGTGTATCTTATTTCAGTTCTTAATTATTGTAGTACACCAGTAAAGGGGGTATATAAGCATAAGCAAAGATATAGTAAGGATACAAGGGAGAAAGTAACCGGGTAAGTTATTACTAAAGTATAACTTAATAATTTAATCCTATCAATCTCTTTTAGGTAATTTAGCAATTTTAAAACTGGAAAACAAAGCAACTTTCATATCTCCTGAGCTGGCGGCATTTGACAAAACTATTAAATATTCAAAACAATGTTTTACATTAGGATGGGGGATGCACAATCAGGTACGTACAACATGTAGAATGGAAATTATTTACCTCAATAAAGTTTTAATTTAAAAAATTATAGTTATACATGAAATCAGAACAGATTATCTTTACCAACCAATAGTTCTGAGATCATTGCCAAAAATATGTTTGATTTGTATCAGAGAGGTTAACTCTAACTTGAAGTAAAAAAACTTGTTAGCTGTTTAAAAATGAAATACACTGCAAGAAAAATGTTTAAATTTCTTGTCCCCAGTTTGCCAGCAATAAAAGGCGCTTTCTTTGATCTTGGACATGGTGGACCACGACCGACACTTAAACCAGCTGTTGGTTTATCGTACAGAGAGATATCTATTATGGTCATTGTAAGTAAGCATTTCTACTGTGCAATAATCTGCACTCTCGAATCAATGCCAGAGTAGTAGCTCTCCGATATTACTTTTATGATGTCAGAACGTTAGGTCAAATTACCTATACTGTACAGTAATATAATCTATCGAAGACCTGTTTGACACCAAAGACCTAATATTGCATTTTATTAATATTTTAATTTTGTTTGAATATTTTTCAGTCCTCTTATTCATCGGGATGTCATAATCCAACTTTTCAAGATTCAATCAAAACTATTGAACATTACAGTGAACAAAGCAAACCAATTCTGAATAAAGTACTGGGTATTCAGAACATCATGGGATTCAGTAGCATGTTTATGTATCAACTGAGTAAAGTATTAGATATTCTTCCAGGTTTCCAGTTGCACAGATCTAATTCAAAAATGGCTGATGTAAGTATATTGTGCAGTTTTTGCATTAGATTATAAATGATTAAATTTTATGTAGCAACCAAGTAATTGACGTGGATTAAATATACACATAAGGTTCATTAGCGGAATGTATTATGTTGACACAGTAATCAGAAGATTCAGAAGTCTTCTGGTTTCATCCCAAAAAAAGTCTAAAGCGTTTTTTTTTTAGTCCAGGTGAGGTGCTTGTAACTATCAATTATTGAGATGAGGACGCCATCTAGGTGCAGGATGGGCGTAGAATGTTGTGAGATGATCTGTTTAGCTTTGTTAATGACCGATAAGCATTAGCCAGGATCGTCTATTTAAAGCCCAATGATCTGGAACAGCTGGGTCCAGTTTCGAACAATGTAAAAGCTACTGACTTTTATCAGGATCAAACTGGTGACCTTTTGATTGTTAGGCGAGCACTAAAACCATTCGGCTACCCAGCCCGGCATCATTGGCTTTTGATAAAAGGTTCTGGCAAAAGAACCAGCTGATCTTATAGGGGAGTGTTGCTGAAGGTCTAAATCCCAGAGGGTCTAAAAGGACAATGAAGAAAACTTATCCACTGTTACTGTTTTAGACCTTGCGGAATTTATGCCTTGGGGACACAACCTATATTTTGTATATACAGTACATGATTATAAAATGAGAGTTGCTGAGGATCAAATCTCTGAAGGTCTAATTAGACCTTCGGTAATTCAATTTGTATTTTGGACTATTAGCAGAAGGTCTTATAATTAATAATTATATTTTAAAGATGAAAATTAAACCTTCCGCCACTGTTCGCCTTTCATCCTCTGTAGCGGAAGGTCAAAAATGTGGGCATTGCGTCGACAGAGTTGAAGGCTGTAAACCCAGTCAATAACGCAACTAACTCTCATGTCTCTTGCGAATGGATAGGTAAGATTAGGTTAGGTTAATATTTTAGAATTCGTCCAATATGCAAACTGTAAGCCGAAGGTCTTTCCGGGACTTAAGACTCTCATCAACTCTCATTTTATCATTTAATTAGAAAATATAGGTTGTGTGCTCAAGGTATAAATCCAGCAAGGTCTAACACAGTAACAGTACAGTAGCCTCCCTCTTATACGGATTCCACGCGACCGAGGCTAGTCCGGATAGCGGTTTTTCCGTTTAAACCGACGTCCCCAAAAACTCGTTAAAACGGACCGTTTAAATGCATACTGTATACAGTATATATTTGACTTAAATTTAGGAGAGCATTCTATTAGACACGTGATCACTGGTCTCAAATTTTTCCCACAAGAACAGTCGTTTCAGTACCGCCCAATTCCTGCCGATCTAGTCCGGTTAAACCGATGTGCTGATAAAAATTGTCCGGATAAAGAGATGTCACTTCTACCAAGTGTAGTCTGGTTAAACCAACGTCCGGATAAGAGGGCGTCTACTGTAGATAATTTTTCTACATTGACTGTCCTTTTTAGACTCTCCGGGATTTTGACCTTCCACAACTGCCCGTTTGCAGGGGTGCCCATCCCCCCCAAAGCTCACGTCGCAGAATCCCCCCCAAATTCGTTGTTTAACCCATGCCGGAAGGTCTGGGGGCTAACCCATAGTTATGTTTATAATGCGGGGAGGGAAGGGGTGCCCCCGAAACTTCTTGAAATTTATGGGAATTTAAGCGTTTGAATCAAACTTTTAACCCAATTTAAATGGACAATATTGCTTTAAAACTCTAGTAGCAAACTATTTGTTAGTTTAGTTTTAATTTAAATGAGTTGGATTTTTAACATGCACACAATTTGAATCAAAATTGGCCATGTAGGCCTAGTTTTTTAATCCGATTTTCCATTAATTAATAGGTTTTAAAAGGGAAAATCACAAAAGTTGCAATAACTTTTGAACCATAATATTTACGGCATAGAGGGTTTATACAATTTTTGTCATTGTCAAAAAGTATAACATGTTAATTTTTAATCAAAATCGTTCGGGCCAATTCTGAGAAAATTTTATTCATCTATTATTTTATAGGGTTTTATGGAATATCACTATTAAAAATCCAAAATGAAAAAAAACATCTGGAGAGACCATGGATTGGTAGGTACCTAAAATACCAAATTTCATCAAAATCGGACTCGGACCACAGGCGTGGTCTGTAGCTCTGTACCATACATACACACATACACACATACAGACAGACAAACACAACACTTCGAAAACCACTTTTTTGGGATCAGGGTTTTTACATAAACAATTATTTTACCATATTAAATTGTAGGGGAGAAAGTACTTAAAGTTATGTCGAGATATTTTCTAAATTGCCCTTTAATCCACTTCTGAGTTTGGTCCTTTTTAAATAAGTGTAAAATTGTCAGTCTCAAAAATATTACTAGGCCTAAACTTAATAGTATATTTCGTGCCTAGGGCCAAAAATGAGGTTTTGCTGGTTCGAGATAGTTTTTAAGTTCGATACGAAGTCGAGGACTTAAAACGATCGAGAACTGCAAAACCATTTCAGTCCGTGGTACGAACGCTATTATTCACCACACTATACCCTATTACCACTAATTCACCTCAATGGTAATGCACTGCACACTGATATAGTCAACACAGCTACAACTTTAAGGTCATGTGGATAAATAATTTGAGGAATCAGCAAAAATAATAATAAATAGTTGCTAGGCAGCGGTGACAATAAAACAACTCTATTGCAATGCTATGGATACTGATTGTGTATTTATGCATTCATGTTTTAAGAAAGTAAGTGGACAGCTGATTTTGCGGCCCTAGGGATGTAAAAACTTGCTCGATCCCCGAATGACGATGACAGCTGGCATGGCCTGCAAAACGTAGCTTTCAGCCACCAATTAATGTATCTACATATATGTAAAACAGTTAAAAACATCATAGTGTGGTAAAATAGTATATTACGTTACTAGTCCTGAATCCCGTGCGAGACGAAGTCGAGTAGTGGTTTTTTTATACGAGTCCGGCCAACACATTTTGGATGAGTGACGTACGATAGTTTACGCCATACTACTAAATCCGTTCAAATCCTTATATATTACCTACCACCAACTAAAGGACTAAAAATCACTAGTCATAACCTCTAAGAGAGGTTATGTTTTTGTTATAACCACTCATTGCCACCCAAATACAGTATAATCAGCTGATTGGTGTCCGGCAAAACTTATTACAGTACAGTAGTACTGTATGAAACCCCATTTGATGAAGCTGGCGACAAACAGCTGTTTTCTGGACTAAATCCTTGCATGGGAAGTTCGTCAAAATAGTGTAGTGTGGCGTAAAAAATAATTATATATCTATTCTAAGACTAGTAAAATTTGTTTGAAGCTCTTTCTAGATTCAAGAAAAGACAATAACAAATACAATTTAATTAATCCAGAATCATGTGTTTCGATTCTTGAAGTTAACGTAAACACATAGCCTATCAAAAACCTTAATTAAATTGTCACAGAGTAGGCCTACTGTATGTCAATTTCTTCCAATGAATAAATGACCCAGGCATAATTATTTGGGAGAGCGAAAATATTATCACAAGCTTTCATGTTGTTGTTCATTTTGTAAAAATAGCAAAATGATTATCATTATCATAATACTGGTTTTTTATGAATCAAGAATCAAGTATATATTATAATAAACAAACCTAAAAAACCATCAATAGGTCCTCAAGGCAATGGGACTATTTGAGAATGAGTTCATAATGAAAGGTAAAACCAAACCCAAATTGCAGATACAATTTAATAAGCCAACCATAATCCTTTGACAGCAGTTGGCATGGAGTTGTTCTCACTGTCAAACATGATACGAGTCAGAAAGTGGAAATCCACATAAAAGTATCTATATATTTTATAGCAATTATAAAATGATTTATTAATCAAAATAAAATGTCAAACGGGATTTTGATTGCATAATTACCCCAGTAATAAATTAAGGATGTCGTAAAAATTATCTGATTAATCTTTTATGTGCTTTTAACCAATCACTGGCTTGAATCCCCCCCAAAATCATAAAATCCCCCCCAAATAAATTTCTGATGTCGCATTTTGCGACATCAAACCCCCCTGTGGGCACCCCTGCCCGTTTGGACCCGCAGCAATAAGTACAAAATGCAATATGTGTGTCGAAGGTTGATTGTAGAACTTTCGGGATTTAGACCTTCAGCTACTGATCCATCTTACAGTAACAAAGCTATTATCTCATTTGTTTCACATTCAGCCATTACTCAACTTCTCTTTAAAACACACCTTAGTGTGTCAGTGTGATATGTCTAATCTAGAAAAAGTGTAATATCTGAGAGCTCCTTTGCAGGATGCAGAACTTGTTTGTCCTGTGGATGAGTCTCCAAGGCTCAAGGCTGTCAAGATGACTACTAAGCATCCTTACAAGTGTTTATGTCGCAACACCAGTCGTATCTGCCTCTACAGCATTGCTACTGATATCATCCAACAGGTATTCTCATCATGTTAGCAATTTGAAGTACTGTAGTATTTCAAAGACATTGGTCACATACAATTATATAAGGCATAATTTATTATTTCATCGTGGGTACTAGGCCTCTGGATAAAAATTGCAACATAGAGGAAGAAATCTGTTATGATTCAACTAGTGAGCTTCATTGACTGACAATAGTAGCATATTTAAGCTTTATCCTTGGTAAAAAATTAACCATTCCTTGGTACTAACATAGACAAAAAGAATTAAATATAAAACGTCAGCTGTGCTGCCATTACTATAGGTTCTGGCGCACACCGCTGGGAGCGCCTTTGTAGTTACGGCATTAGCGCTAAGTAACTACACGGCGCTCCAAGCAGTGTGCGCCAGAACTTATGGTAACCACAGCACGGCTGACAGTCTATATTTAATTCTTTTTGTCTATGGTACTAATAAAACCAACTATCATCGGTTGTTGAACATAAAAAAAGCAAAAATCTAGAAGAGGGTGATTTCTCCCTCTTTTAATAAAAACTAAAATCCCAAATAAAAGGTGGGGAAATGGTCTGAAACTTTATTATTATTAAATCTGTTTCAAGAGCATGCTATTCGTTAGGTTATTTATTTATTCCTTTTGCCCTCAGGTAGATATTGGTTCGCCAGTGTTTTGTAAGGAGAAGAAGTCTAAATTAACACCCAGACACCTCCAAACCACAAGTAAATTTGTTTTAGCTGGTGTAGTAAGCAATAAAAGAACTGAAGAAATACGTTGGCTGAAGTTTGAATCTCCGATAAAAATGATCACTGCCACAAATGTTACGATCTTTACAGACTTTATCCTTGCTGTGATGTTTGATAAGAACTAAAAAGAATTATTATGTATAAAGTCATATATATGATTAGGTTAAATAGTTTATTTTTAATGTTTTTAATTATTGTTGTTGATTTTAATAAATATTTTATCCACCCAGGCATTATGATTTATTTCCGAAGTAGAACTTGTTGAAAAGATGACAAATTGTTTGTGTCAATAATCAAAAACAATAGTTTTCCAAGAAGTTATTTTTAAACATTTTAATTCAAATTAATTATGAAATTTGTACTTTGTCAAACTTGAATGAAATTAGCAAAGTGGGGCCTAGAGTAAAATAGGTACAGTGCACCTATTGTAATATTAGACGTTGTCTATGTCACAATTATTTTGATTAGAGACATTTACTTTTAAAGGGAACCAGTACAAACCTCTTAAATTGTTATGGATAAGCCAGGTGTTGAACCAGGCATCCTCAACCAGAAGTCTGATATGCTAACTGGGCTATAGCAAACAACTCGCTTCCTTTCAAGAGTATTTATGACTAAAAAAACATACTTTTGGTGTATAAGGTTAGTTTAGTGCATTTGTTTTTTACCATTATGGTTCCCTTTGTTTTTTTTGTTTGTTTCTTTCTCCTTGTCCTTTTTCTTCTTCTAACTGTCGAATTGGAACCCAATTTGGAACGTCTTTTGTACCTTGCTCTCTTTTTCCTTTGTTTTTGCTCTTGGTTTTGTTTTGTTGACCTTGTTCTGTATATCACACCCTATAAAATCATAGAAGTAAAAAGTTGAACAAATTCGTGCCATAGGTATCATCCAGGTTTTTCAAAATATGTTCACTACTTCCCATTCACAATTATGCATACTGAATTAGTAGTGACACAAAACTATCGTTGCAAAATACTTTTCACTACACAACTGTGAAACTACCTGTTTTCGTTATATGTTTATCACCTGCGAAAATTCATCATTATAACAACTCAAAATAGTATATTACGTTACTAGTCCTGAAAATAGGTGTTTACCGGACGAATTTGGTCGTTGACGTACGAGACAAAGTCGAGTGAGGGATTACCATACGAGTACGATAAACACATTTTGGACGAGTGACGTACGATATATTACACCATAGTACTCTAAGTTAACTTACCAATAAAAAATCTGTACAAATCTTTATTCCCATCGAATAAAGTACAATCACTACTCATAACCTCAAAGAGAGGTCATGTTTTTGTTTATAACCACCCATTGCCAAATATAATCAGCTAGTTGGTGTGGTAAAAACTCATTACTATAGTACGTAATGAAACCCCATTTGAACAGCTGTTTTCTGGACTAAATCCCTGAGTGGGAAGTTCGTTAAAACAGAATAGTGTGGTGTAAAGAATGTTAAATAAATATGCAAATTTTTGGAATTTGCCAACCCGAGTGACGTGAACAAAAATGTATCATGGTTTCATCAACTGTTTCAATTTGACACAACCAAAACTGTACAATCAATGAAAATCTTATCTTTAAACTGAAGGCTTAACCTAAAAATTGCTATGAGTTTTGTAATGTTTCTAACTGTAATAAAGAAATATCCAATGTATATTTTAATTAAGAAAATAAAAATCCAAGTAGTGTATCAAAAAGTAACGTTCAAAACATAAGTGAAAGTGGCTCTAAAAATATTCTAGACCATATTTAAAGTGCTCAAAACGATAAATCTCGCACTTCAAAACATATAATCTCAAATATATAATGATTTACTTTCTACTCTTGTAATAAATATGATATTTCAACTCATGCATGTGCATTTTAAGTTATATTGCAATAAAAAAAAATCAGCACAAAAATTCACATAAGTATTACAATACCTATAAAAATGGAGATATAAGATGTTAAAATAAAGTTATGTGTTCTTAGGGTACTTTTTTAAAGGTATTTACCCATATGATGATTTTCTAACCTGATCATCCAAGTAGTCTCTTAGAGCTGCTGCAGTGACTTTAGAACTTATATTCTTCAACGGTCCTAAAACTTCCTCCAACAATATGGATTCATACCTTAAAATCCTTTTATACAATCGCAAGTTTTCTAAAATATACTTTCTTGCCAGCGAAGGAACGTCAACTTTACTTAAAATCAGTGCTATTTTCATGAATAAAATTGACAATACCACATTACTCATTAGACTAAACAAAACAATAACAGTCGGTGTTTGATTGCATGAAATGTGATAAGACAAAAACTGTTCTGCCAGTTCGGAGTGTTTTCAGCTCAATGAGATATTAAGTTCATTGATGTGAGAGAAATGCAGAATACATAGGTTTTTTTCATATGATATACCAATAAAAAGGCAGCAATCTACAGCAATTAATATACTCTTCATAAGGCTAGTATAAGGGGCAACTGCATTTACCAATACAGTTTTTTTTTAAATATTACAACCATTAAAAGCCCTAATAAACATTTCCTAATGTAGGTAATTAATTAATTGTTTGGATATTATGTAATATTTTAGTTGTTAATTAAGATAAAAAAAAACAAAATTTTAAATAGGCAAAAACTTATTTTTAGAAACCAAGCCTCCCATCCTCTCCAAAAAATCCTTTCTCTGGTCAGAATAGAGTAAAAAATAAAGTAAAAAATCTTCTTACTGTGTAGATTTGCAGTTTAACCATCAACATTTTATAAACTTAAAAAACACCACTCCTCCAGTAATGTGCACACCACACCTGTCAAGTCTTTATATGACTCTTTCTTTCTATACAGATAGAGAAGGCTACTTCCCTATGGAATATAAGTAAAAAATGGACAAGCAACAGTACTCAACACAATAAATAATTTATTACGTACAAAACAATAAATTATAATCAAACTTCAAATGGCAGAAAACAGAATAAATTACTCCATAGTTTTCTTACATCTATAAAAATATATGACGTAGTAGTAAAACTTTTGAGGAAAAAGAAATAAAAATCACTGATGGTAGGCAATCAAATGTGTGGCTTAAGTTTGGCATAAAACAGGGTGTTATTTTATTTCAAATCTGATAACAATCAAAGCAAATAAAATCATACACTCTTATTTTTTTGGGAAATGGCTACAAATTTATAAATGTAGGTGAAAAAGGGTGGAGAACAACAAGTAAGACAGGAGGGTTTTCTTGATCAGAAATTGATAAGCTCTGTCACACCGAATTACAATGTTTCAGATCAACAATTTTGCACTTTAAATCAAAGTCCGATTAATTTCCACTAGTGAGAGTTTGAAGCAATGGATACTAAACAAAGAAATACTTGAATGTGCTCTCAATTCCAGCATTTCCATTCAGCTGTAGAATTGGCCTCTTTTCAATACTAACACACCGCACAACCAGATCTCCAACCAAGAGCCCAACTCCGCCAGTTCCAGAGCGAGTAGTACAATGGTTGAGCGTACACAACCGGCTGAGACGGTACTAGAGGCAGCAGAGAATAGCAGCCTAGACCTAGACAGCTGTCTAACTGGGTGTTCACCACCTGCTAAACAAATAAAACATCATAAATGATGATTTTTTTAAAACTACTTTTGATTACAATAATTAGGTTATTAGTAAATTAATGTTTGCCAAAAGAAGAGCCAAGAGTACTGTGGGTTATTTTTCCCTGGTTGATTCCAAGGTGGAATTACAATAAAAAATTACCTAAAGCTAAATAAAACATGAATTTTTATGAACCCAAGTATTTAGTGGCAAAAATCAATATACGGGGGCTGTCCAGAAAGTAGATTACGCTTTTCTCTGTGTCCGCAAGAAACGATGACGTCTGTGTGTTTGATGACGACGCACAGCTGCAAGAAGATGTAACCAAGTGGTTGAAGGCGCAGACGGCCGAATGTTACGACAAAGGAAATTCCAAACCCGTCCATCGCTACGATAAGTGCCTTCATTTGAAAGGCGACTATGTAGAAAAGTAGTATTTAAGTGTAACTTTCATTTGTATATAATAAAATACTTTTCCAAGACTTAGTTAATTCTTAACTCCAAAACGTAATCTACTTTCTGGATAGCCCTCTTATGAGGTAGCACTCAAACTTTTGAGGGCAAAAGTGATTATTAAAACATCAATACGCTAGGAAATATATATAACTTAAATTGTCAATAAAAGACTGGAAGGATGTTGTTGTTACTAATCTGCTAACAATTGTAAAGCAAATACAATACATGTAAAAAAAAATAACAACAAAGAACAACTGATTTTGAAGTTAGATGTCTTCCCAATTACTTTATCTAAAAGTCAACTAAAAAATAGTTACCTGAGGTTGAGTTAGGCTGACGCCTTGAGTGTTCACCACCTGCTGAACATAACAACAATGGTATTTACTGTGACAGTTAAATTACTTTAGACAAAGTAGGAAAAGTAATTTCTGTGCTTGGTAAAACTAAAATACAGTATATCATATACCTTATAGCAAACTGATTTGCAGGTATTTTCTGATTAACCTCTACGAGAGTGTGGTTTGGAATGTCCCACTCGGTCAACTTTTGGTAATATGCATTTCAAATAAAAAAATGTTAAATGCTCAAAAGTGAGATAAAAAGTTTTTTAATAGTTAAAATTGGTTATATTCATACATTTTTTGAATCCTTTCTCATTAGCAGTAACAAAAGGGAGACAGACAACATTCCAGTTCTTTGTTTAGAGTAATCCTCTGATTTATGGCCTAAGGGTAGTGGTCGTTGGAGGAGGGGTGAGAGAGGGGGAAAGGTTAGGAAGAGATTTCCTTTATTCTCGCTAACCTATTCACAATCATTTTAATACTTGATGTGTCATAAGCATTTGTAACTATTACAAAAAAATAATTGTCCCGCTCTTGAAGGTCAAAACTCGATTTATTTTTGCCAACGGATAAAATAAAATTGCCTTTAAAGTTGCTTTAAATTACCATCATACGACAAGATATATGAGAAATCCAAGACTTCCAACTAACCGTATTTATATGAGGCCTTTATGAATTAATGAAAAGATCAACCATCTTGTAAAAGCACTAATATTTAGGAGCCTGTAATGATTATGGCTGTTAGTAAAATTGCCTTTTTAGCTGTTATTTTTATCCGAATGTTTTAGGGCTCAAGTTTTTGCTTTCGTAAACCATTAATATACGCTCATAAAATACTTACAAATCTTATGTCTAGAAATGGCTTTATTATCTAGAAAAATACCACAGATTATTTATTGAATTCAGTTGCAACATTTCTTGAATTTGACAGGATACATAAAACCTATTATGTACAGTAAACAATTTGAACTGTATTTGGTTATTTATGGTTGGCTATATTTTGTTTTGAAGGTCAAGACTGAGTTGTTGGAGACTAAGGCTGGCTCAAACCTACCCACTATATAGGACTTTACCTCGCAGATATGTGATTTGATAGATATTTGAAAAGGCTGAAGAGGAAATAATACAATGGTAGTTGTTGCAGCCTGAAGGACACTCCAAAAAGATGCGTTCTGCTTGCCAATAAGCTCCTTGAATCTGCCATTCCATGCCTAGAAATAGTTTGTTTTATCCCGGCTCTCCAAAACCATTTCATACATACTCCAGAGTGATGGTGGGAAGAATTTGTTCCCGTCACTTCCCACTGCACCTCCGACATATGTTTTCTCAAAGTACAGGAGCAGACCTGAAAAAAACGTGTGCACTCTTCCACTCTTAGCGCCACCTCTCTCTCTCCCTCCCCAATCTTTCCCCCACTCCCCCAACGCTAGCAATCACACTTGCTTTCTCACCCCTCCTAGAGCCAACTTAGAACTGACAGGTCAACTGATCGTGATTAAAAGGATTATAGACTGGACCGCATGCCCGGTGTCCCTACACTCGTAACTTGGACACTCAACACTTATAAGTATTGCCGAAAAATATATTGCCAAATATCACTCTCATCACTACAGAAAGTCATCATCAGAAAGAAAAATGTCACCTCCGCCTTCAGTAAACTGTTCTTTGCCATTGATATCGTACAAATAATCTATTACATCGTCACTTCTTTTAAGCCAATTTGATCCATTTGAAAAAAATTAACAGCACATTCTTTGAAAATACTTTGTTATACTACAACATCTTAGCTTACAGTGACTGGATCGACAGTTTCCATAATATTAGACGGGGGAAAACAGGTGAATGGTTGGTGGTTCTGTCCGTATTGATATACCAATCGAATCAAGGTTCGTAACTGAGTATAGATAGCTCACAAAGGAATTTATGATTCACTAGTAGCCCTGCCTATGACCAACATTTCAGAATGTCCATACTCACTCACACCAGAGGCGGACAGGCTGTTCAGCAAAGGCGGTAAACAGTATTTTGCTTTATTCTCGTAAAAAGTAAAACACTTAAAATATATTAAAAAAAAGTTACCTGGGGTTGGGTTATGCTGACGCTGATAGTCTGTGGCTGAGGTGCAGGTGCCACAGGGGGAGCCCCAGGAGCTGCACCACCAGTCGTCGCCCCACCAGGTGCCGGGGCAGGGGCAGCACCAGCCGCGGGGGCTCCAAAAGCAGGAGCAAACGCCCCAGTGCCCGTAGGTGGCCGGAAAGTAGCCGGTGCAGCAGGTCTGGGTGTAGACTGAGGCGTTTGAGGTATGTTCAAAGTTATAGTGGATGGCAATAGAAAACTTGGGATCTGGATGGTGTTACCAGTCGTGTAATAAAGTTGAGAATGCGCTACCCCACACATCTGAAACAGGTAAAACTAATTTTTACAATCAATAAACGAAGAAGGATGAATAAACCGCTTACACGAAAAACAAGAGTTCCAGGCAGTTAAAAGCACACATAACAATTAACTTTTTAGGTAGAGACAAGGGGGCTTCTTTAGAAGGAGTAGAATCAACTAATTTCTCTCTACTGCTTCCTTTCTGAAAAAGCCCTCTCGATTCCTCAGACAAGTCATGTTTTCTCTAAAAAATAAATTTAACTGTGTGATTTAAGGATGCATTGACAATTTAGGGTCTCAAGACTCTCCTGGTTTGATTAAAAGCTTGGTTATCTATAATATTAAAACGAAACAGGGTTTTTTTTTATTTCACGATTCTGAAATAACCACTTGACGGATTTTCATGATTTTTGTGTGGAAAGAAAGATAATTTTGAGAACTAGGGAATGTCGAAGCCATAATATTAGTTTAGGGTTTCAGTTTTTTAGAAATTAAGTTTTAATTTTTAAAAAGTCTAGCAGCCGACGCTAGCAATTTAAAGTATTTTCAATGCTGGTTTAACTAACAGCTGGTTTATAACTGTCATTGAAATGTTTATGTTACGAGTTATTTGTTTACAAAAATATTGTTCGTTGGTGTTTGCCTACTATATACATACTATTTCACTTTAAAATGTAGGTAGTTTTCCCCTACCGTGAAGGATCTGCGTTATCAGGATAAGTGTTATTTTGAACTAAACATCTCAAACACTTGCGTTTAATCAAGTTTTGTCGTAAATGCAATCTGTGTAAGTATTTAGTTTATGCATTGCAAATTTCAACTCATATTTGGGAAATATTTTTTTCAGCAGTTTATCGCTTAATTGTTTAAGATATAAGTGGTTTACGTGTTGATACTTCTTTTTCTGTATGTTTGAATGTGAGTATGTCGGCATACTAAAATTTTGGTTAGTAATAAAAACGTCAATCGGTGTAGTAGGTCTCTATAAAACTGTCAAATAAACTGCAGCAGAAACCAAAGTCGACTCATACCATGCCAACTATCCCCGTAGTACTGATGATTCAGAAACTTGGGCACTGACCAAAGAACCGAAAAACCTTAATGGTGGGTTAGATAATAAAGTGAAGAGAAAATATACAGACCAGTTCAAGATAATAGCCCGGATGTCGAAATAAAAAAGAACAGAGAGCTAAGAGAAATGTGTTAACACCCAAATATAGGGATGCTTTCCAGAAGTAGGTAAAGCTTGGATGGACAGGCTCTGCATAAATTTAAAAAAAAGTATATTCCAAGGAGTACCACACGATAGACGGGAAATATCAAGTTATGAAATGCATCCTCAGACTGGGATCTAAATTTTGAAGAGGCAGGTGATAGAAGAGAAGCCTCATAAAAGTTTCAGTGGTCACGGAGGTAAGATAAGGTACGGTAGGTACATAAGTAGTACAGTATGCAATTAGAGGTGGCATGTAGCTACTCTACTAAAAACCAGTGTGAATCGGTCGCCAATCTCACTTCAAGATTTTTCAAATCGACACAAATGCTGTTTTATGGTGAAATTATCGGATTAAAAATGCATATCGCCATATTTTAGGTCTATATTCGAATGGAATAAATAGGTGGTCACGTTACATTTGTTTATAAGTTGATCTTCCCCATTAAAACTGCCAGAATTTGTGTCTTATGCGTGTAAACTAGATGTTCTGAGTTATTCCGTTTTAGTTGACAACTCGATTCCCGTACGTAGGACGGGCCACCAGCTCGTTAGTATTGAATTTAATTTATTTTGATTTCCCACTGTGAAAACAATAGGTAGCAACAACATTGTGCCAACTATTAAGAGTTGGATGTTAAGTAGACGTTTCCCCATTCACCTCAAACGTTTAAACTGGCAAAATCACAAGCCAAACCACAAACCTAGACAATTATATTACCTCTGGAAAGCTTATGACTGTTTGGCTGTTGAAGGTATGTACCTATTAATCTTTAGAATAAGTACTAAAAACAAATCCAAAAGAAGATAGTTCCTGGTTTCCTAGATTTTCCCTGAATTAGCAATACTCAAATACTTTTCTACAACATTTTCTAAACAAACTAAATAAATATTAACTTATGAAATGAATTAATGTAACTAAAAAGTCTTACCTTCAGAATGATCAAAATTGTTGGAAAGCATGTGGCACCTGAAACAATTGAGATTTATGTATACACCTAAATTATAATTTTCTATTTCTTCAATCTGAATCCCCTCAAAAAATCCTTTAGGAGGATTTATAAGCATGAGAAGTAAAATAAAAAAAAATAAACCAACCCATGATTCATGATGAAATTATGAAGCTTGTACACATTTACTGAAAATATTACGTCTACTATGAAAGTTGAGGAAACTATATAACAGGTGTAAACTATAACACAGTAACAGGTCAAACTATATAAAAACATAAAAAAAGGTGTAAGGGCAAATATAGAATTACAACAATTTTCAAATTACAATTAAAACAATTTTTTTATTGAATGACACCAAATAAGAGTTTTCATATAAATCTCATTGGTTTATAATTTTAACTAAACAAAATCCAATTGAACATACCTAGAAGTACCCAGATGGACCATAAATGTTCGGGTATCAAACGGGCAAACATGTTTCATGGAGAATTTCAAGTGGATATTTGATCAGAGACAACTGAACCATCATTGGCTGCAAGCTGACTAGCAAAACATAGAGACCCAGGACATGACTGTCAAATGAACAATACATAGGCCGTTCTAGGCATTTGTCAATGACAAAGAACAATTAAACACAGTCATAGGATGTGGTAGTGAATTGTGTTAAAATGTATCAGAAAATAAAACCCCCAAAGGACATCTAGTTTGCTGGTTGGTGTGACATACCTCGCCATAACCTTGGGTTTTACCCGAAAAGCAAGACTAATGAATCGATTGCAATTAAACCTGATTGCTTACTGCTTACAACACAGACATAATTGAAATGATAGTTATTTTTCAATTGGATCGATTTTTACTTTAGCTCTTTATTTTCATTCCATGATTTGGACACCATATTGGAAAAAAACTTGACATATTCAGTGTGTATTGGAGCTAAATTTAAATAATGAATTTGTCGTCATTCAAATGGTATGCAGTAAAAAAAAAAAAGGTTTGCAGACAGTCAAACAATTTCTTACAAAGCTCAATTTTGAAAATGTGTAATTCTTAACTAACAACACAGTCACAAATAATGTACACGATTGTTAGCTCAGTTGTACAAGAGATAATAAGCTATGGTAATTAATTTTAGATGACACAGTTGTCTTTAATATTGTGTCCAACATTGAATGTGAATAGTTCTAAATAAAATTGTACAACTTTCTTGTACGATTGGGTTTTTACAGCTGTGAAAAATTCTATGTAAAAAGTAAAACATGTTTGAAACGATCATGCGGAAAACCTGGGAGACTTCTTCAAATGTGAGTGAGTGAATGTAGAATTAGAACCAAAACAAAGTAAGTATAACATTAACAGGGCTTGAGTTAGTTTATACCCATAGATGCGACGGCGATTGCGTCGGTGCCCCTATGTTATTAAATAGCCTATATATTCATAACGGTCGATGTAAAGACCCTGAATTCTCTGCAGTGATCTAGAGGGATGTCTGTCGCATATACAGGGTGATTGATATAAGTGTGCCAGCCGTTTTATTCAAAAACCATAAGGGATATCATAAAAAGTTAAATGGTAAGTGCCTTGGATTTTTTATTTAAAAAATTATAGTCAAGTCAAAAAACTTTGATTTTTCTTATGGAACACCCTGTATTTCATGATGTATTCTGGTAGAAAATGTAATTTTAAGACGATTTTATTCTTGTAATTTTTTTCATGTACAGTAATATTAATGGCATGACTCTACTGCTGTAAATATGTTATGATTGTTCGTCCAATACTTTTGTTAGTAATTCAAGTTTTCAAAAACTCTTTAAATAAAAATGAAAGACAAACAATTTGGTACACTGGATATAATTTTTCCAAGGGCCTATTGGTTACTGAGGTATTAACAGTGCAACCTGTGCACAAGACACTTAATAGAGGGGTTTATATTTGCAAGAGTGTTTTAACGCCATTAGCAATTGCGATGTTGTAAGTAGTAAACAGAACTCTCTAAACCCTTGTATTGTTACTGAACAACATCGACCTTGAAGAAAAGTATCATTAACATTAATCGTGGCATCACTGATAATGTCACAAATGACATCTAGGTTGAGGATCAACATCACTAAGGATCGATCCAGCACCCTGTAGATCTTAAGGCACTCCAACTCAGCTACCCAGACAATCAAGTCAGTTTTGTTGCAAATCACTATAAAATATGAGTTTGAAATGTACTTTTTGTCCAGACAACAACACCTGTCAGTGGTAACAGTGCCATTGAGATCCGTGATGCCTTCATGAGATACGACTCCACAGCAGTGTTCCAAGGCTTGAACATGACTGTCCAGCAAGGAACAATGTGAGTCATATTTATCACTGCCCCACATCTGCATTGTGCACAATAGGTGGGCGTTATTTAACGTAATAGGATAAATAATACTATTACTGAAGAGTAACCTATTACCAGTGTAATAGGTTACTGAGAACACCCTATTATTTTTGTGTCATCTGAATTAAAGGTCACCAGAGTCTGTCCCATTTTTAAAAAAGGTAAAAAAGATATTCCAGAAAGTTATCGCCCAATATCAATCATTCCTGTAGTATCAAAATTGTTTGAAATCATGGTTTTTGACCAGCTGAATTCTTTTTTTGAAAGAAACAACTTTTTAAGTGTATCACAATTTGGATTTAGAAAGGGCAAGTGTACATCAGACGCAATAGATAAATTGATTAATGAGGTACTAATGGTCTTTGAGAGGAAGTCACTTGCTCAGGCCACTTTCTGCGACCTGAGTAGGGCTTTCGATTGTGTCGACCATGATGACCTAATAATGAAATTAAGTTTTTATGGTATCAACGGATCTCCACTTTCTTTTTTCAAATCATACTTAAACAATAGAATACAAAAAGTCAATATTGATGGAGAATGGTCCCAAGAATTAAAAATGAAATATGGCGTGCCTCAGGGACCTGTTCTAGGTCCTCTATTATTTTTAATTTGTATTAACGACCTCCCAGAATGTATAACCAGTAAAACTTATTTGTATGCAGATGATACAACATTTTTAAATATTAATCCTGATCTTAAACAACTTCAAGAGTTAGCTCAAAACTCAATCAATGAAGCTTCTATTTGGTTTGAATCAAATAGCTTCCTCTTAAACAAAGATAAAACTCAAAAAATTGTTTTTAGCCTTAGACCCTGTGAATCAAATATGTTGGATGGTTATGTAGACAATGTTAAATTTCTTGGTATTTATCTGGATAAGACCCTTTCTTGGGGAGATCATATAGATTACATAAGTTCTAAGCTTTCAAGGGTAATTTGTCTTATAACTAAACTAATACATTGTATAGATCAAAATTATATTAAAACAGCCTACTTTGCTTATTTCCAATCCATTTTCAGATACAATATTATCTTTTACGGAAATTGCAGTAGGATAGAGGAAATTTTAGTCTTACAAAAGAAGTTAGTTAGAATCATATCTTGTGAACCCCAACAGGAACACTGTAAACCCCTGTTCATTCAGCTACAAATTCCAACAGTAATTAACATTTATATATTTGACTCTGTATCATATATTCTACAAAATCCCAACCTTATCAAACAAAATTCTCATGTTCATAATACAAGATATAAAAACGTTGCTACCATAGATTTTTTTAGACTGTCTAAAACTCTTAAAAGTCATATTGTAATCTCACTAAAAATATACAACAAGCTAATACATTTAATAACAAAATATCCTAATAAAACTTTTAAATCTAAATTCTACAAATGGCTTTTGAACAACCCTTTTTATTCTCTAAAAGATTTTTTTGAAATGCCTTTTATTAATTTTTAAGTAGAGCTAGCAAATTTATCAAATTACTGTTGGATTTAGTTGGTTATGGGGTTTAATAACTTTTATTATTCTAAATGCCTTGCATTTTTCTGAACAATAAGATTATTTGGTTGTAATATTAAAGTATGTATTGTAACATGTCTCCTTGTGTGTAGTATTCTTGTAAATATTGTATATTGTATTCATTAACTGACTATGCTAGTTTTAGCAGTTTTTCGGACATTGTCAATAATTTGTATAAATTCACAAGACAATAAACACATTTCATTTCATTTCATTGTTAGAACGAGCAAGTAAAATAACGCTGATCGTGTAATCCTATTAATTAATAGCGAGCACTAGGTAATAGTTTACTAAGATTCATATTACTTTTGAACTGTTAGGATGAGTGAGTGAAATAACGCTGACCGTGTCATCCTATTTTAAAAGATCCTTATTTATTAGATACATAATAGACAAGCCTTTTTTTATATGAGCCTATTTATTTAGTTATGATAAATCTTTGCAGTTAAGGGCTAGGAATCCTACTGTTTTGTTAAACTAATGTATCTAATTTAAGGATCGGTTTCGGTTTAGAATAAATCCTACTAATATTATAAATGAGAAAGTTTGGATGTATGGATGTATGGATGTATGGATGTATGTTTGTGACAAGTGAACGCAAAAAATACTGGTCGGATTGGGCTGAAATTTGGCATGATGATAGCTCACATTCCCGATTAACATATAGGCATATTCTTATTTCAAAAATCCTTTCGGGCTCCGCCCCAGTGGCTCTGGAGCTTCCCATGTTAACCTTATGAGAAATGGAATTATTGAATCTTAACAGCTGTTTCAACTAAACAAGTTGGTTCTGTTCTATGATGTTCAACAGCATTAAAGTTACAAGGATTACCAACAGGGTGCAGCACTATTATTTCTTTTACATTTATGACAACAGCTAATTTGCAACCAAAAGGTGAGTGAGCGTAGCGAACGAACTTCAACCTGGAGGCGAGTTAGCGTAGCGAACGAGCTAATCTGAAGGCAAGTGAGCGCATCGAACGAGCTCCAACCTAAAGGTGAGTGAGCGTAGCGAACAAACTTCAACCAGGAAGTGATTGAGCCATGCGAACGAGCTCATCTTGAAAATTAAGAAGTTAAACGGGGCAAAGCCCGCGGGTACAGCTAGTAGCAATATATTTAAAAGATAACTTGATGCTGAAAACCTTATTAAAAGTCTCGCACATAATAATTTAACTCTATTTTCATTCCCATGACCAATATATAACATGACAATAAAGGCACAATTTTTTTTTTTTTTTTTTTTTTTTTTTTTAGGGTGAGGAGGGAAAATGCTTTTACGCACACAGGTAGCCAGCCTGTAGTGTGAAACTCCTGAGTTTATCACAGACTACTCACTAAAAAACCCCCTCTACTCTGTTGGACACAGACCTGGAATTGTTTGTCACATTACTTCAAGTCAGGCCAACATGTGACCTAAGCCCACAGGGCTCGCACCGTTTCTGGCATTATTTATTTTTTGACCTACACCGCATCCCGGTCGAGGTCAAGCTTCTTGGCGCGGAGAACACCCTGGATGTAAAGTGACACACAGGTCCAATTGTCCTCACCCTCCATCATCATCGGTATGACCGTGTCCACCGACAGCAGTCCTACGAACTGTTGAGCCTCTAGGCGGGGCCTTTCCCAATGCTGGCAGTGGAAGAAAGTGTGTTCCACGTAATCGGGAATGCCTGGGCAGTATATGCAATCGGGTGACACGGCTTTACCCATCCTGAACAAGTACGACCGGAAAAAGCCGTGACCCGTCAGAAATTGGGTGAGGTAGAAGTTCACCTCTCTGCACCGCCGATTAACCCAAGGTTGGACCTGTTGTATCAGTCACCTGGTCCAGAGCCCCCTTGTCTCCTGTTCCCAGCTCTCCTGCCACAGCTGGAAGGTCCGGGTGTGTTCCTCAATTCTTGCCTGGTCCTCCCCACGGCGCTGATAAATTGCCTTCCTCTCCGCCGCCAAAAGTTTGACGGGGATGACTCCAGCATTCACCAGGACGGCGGGTTCGGACACTGTTCGATAGGCAGATGCTACCCTTAGTGCTGCCTGACGCTGCACTCGTGCGAGCCGCATCCTATATACCTCCTTATTGAGAGCGTCTGCCCAGACTTCCGCACCGTACAGGAGCACGGACTGGACCGCAGACATCAACAGCCTTCTGCGGCTGGACCGTGGACCTCTGGCATTGGCCATTAACCGACTAAGGGAAGAAACCATTTTAGCGGCCTTGTCCGCCGTACGGGTGATCTGGTCTCGCCAGCTGAGCTTGCTGTCCACCATGACCCCAAGGTACTTTGCGGCACGAGTGGTTTGGACTTCAACGTTCCCCACCATCAAAGGCACGATGGTGTCAATCCTCTTTTTAGTCAGAATCACAATCTCAGTTTTGCTCAGAGCGAGCGAGAGACCATGTTCTGCCATCCATGCGTTAATGGTTCGCATGACTCGATTTAGTTTCAGCTGGGCAAGCTCAATGCTACGTGCAGCTATTAAAGCCGCAACGTCATCTGCATACCCAACTAGGACAGTTTCCTCAGGCATCTCGGATCTCAAGAGGCTGTCGTAGGCGACGTTCCAGAGGTCCGGGCCAAGTATGGATCCTTGAGCAGCACCAGAAGTTACATCCATCGTCCTGGAGCCTTCTGTAGTGTCGTAAATGATGAGGCGGTACCAGAGGTAGTCCTCTATCATGCGCATGAGGTATGCCGGGACGTGGAAAGTGTTCTCCAGTGCGTCGAGCATATCGCACCACCTCGCGGAATTAAATGCGTTTCGCACATCAAGTGTTACAAGCAGCACAACCCGACGAGAATAGTTGTTAAACTCCTCAGCTCTCATTACGGCTCGCTTTACCTCCTCAATAGCGTCAACCGTTGACCGTCCCTTCCTGAAGCCGTACTGACGAGGGGATAGATTCCCTGCAGCAACCACGGCTGAATTCAGTCGGGAACGGATCAACTTTTCCAAGACTTTCCCAGCAGTGTCCAACATACAGAGAGGTCTGTAAGAGGAGGGTAGGTCTGGGTTTCCTTTTCCCTTCCCCACGAGCACAAGCCTAGCTGTTTTCCAGCAGAAGGGAAACTTCCCCTCGGCCAGACAGGCATTGTACGTGCTCAAAAGGATTTGTGGGTTTATTGAAAAGACTTTCTTCAGGGCCTCACCAGGTACCCCATCCGGTCCAGGAGCCTTGTTGTTCTTCAGGGACAGAACGGCCGCCTCCAACTCCTCGAGACTGAAAAGCGGTACGTCGTCCACCCTTCCAAACTCCCGCAATGGGCGCAGTGTGTGAGTCGGGAAAAGGGACTTTACGATCCTCTCCATAGAGGCCCCGTCCATAACGGAAGGTGGAGAGCGGGTGCCAAGCTTCTTGGTTACTATCTTGTAACCAAGGCCCCACGGATCGGAATCGACATCGTCCCTTAATTTCTCCCAGCAACTGCGTTTGCTCCGGTTAATGGCCCGGCGAAGAGACTTCCTAGCCACCTTGTAAGCGTCAGACTTAAGACGTCTATCTTCAGGTTCTCTGGCCCTGGTAGCAAGACGTCTGGCTCTCAATGCTGCCCATCGTAGTTCTGCGATCTCGGTTGTCCACCAGTACACAGGTCGCTTATCGCACCGGGATCTCCTGCAAGGCATTGACTCTTTGCAGGCCGAGACTATCAGCCTCATCAATGATGTAACTGATGTCTCTGCGTGAGCCACGCCAGATGCAGCAGGTACCACTGGCTCTCCCCGTAGTATGACTTCAGTGAATTTGGCCACGTCCAGCTTTTTGGTGTTCCACTGAACGGGCACCTGCCGAGACACGGTAGCTTGTCTCTGATGACTATCCATGACATCAAAAATGATGTACTGGTGGTCACTGGCCGTATAATCCTCTAGGACTCTCCAGGCTCGTACCCTCGGCAAGAGGGACTCAGATGCAAGCGTGATGTCTGGGATCGTTCCCCTCATTCCGGGACGCTGGAAAGTTGGCGTGTTGCCCTCGTTTATGACAACAAGTCCAGCCCTGGCAGCAAAGTCCAGGATGTACTTCCCCCGGGAATTAGTGAGAGTCATTCCCCACTCGACAGCCCTAGCATTGAAATCCCCCGCCACGACAACGTGCCCGGCGGTATCGCGCACGCTCTCTTCCAGGCGGTCTATCTTTCCACGAAAGTCACGGATAGCCTCGTTGGGGGTGAGGTATACACTAAAGTAAGTGACATCCCCGCACCGGACCCAAACGAATCCTCGGCCCTTCGCGTGACTCCTTACCTGCACTTTAGCTGTATTACGAACCCAGAACGCAGCAGTACCAAGTGTATCGGGAAACCAAAGAGATGGGTCCCTGTCCCGGTACTGGTACTGTTTGCTGACCAAGAGCGCGTCAACACCGTGTTCGAGGGCAAGCTGACTGAGAAGCGCGTCAGCCGTCCTGGATCGATCTACATTGCACTGGAGGATCCTTATCTTCGTGGTTGGGCTTTTGCTTGTTGTAGTGCGCCTTTAAATGCACTGCACTGCCCAGACCCAGCTATATGTTTAGCGTTTTTATCACTGAGGCCTTTCTCCTTACAGAGGAAACAGGTCTCAACTTTACAGTCCCTACGAGTGTGACCCACCTCCCCGCATCGAAGGCAGTTCTTGCCTCGGTCGGGCCCTTTGCAGTTTCGGGAGGAATGGCCGAAATCAAGGCATTTAAAACACCTCGTTACTTCCACCCTCCGTCTCAACCTGCAATTAACCCATCCAACCCTCAAATGCTGGAGTGCCAAAACCTTACTGGCGTTTGCGTCTGCCATTTCAGCGACCGCCATCCGCTGTTGACTCCGGTTTGGATTCGTGAGCCACACCGGGACAGCTTTTTTTAGGGCATCAATGACGTCATCCTCCGTTGACACACAATCCATATCCCGAACCTCGACGGATGTCTTGGGTTCGAGAGCACGAACGGTGCCCTGACCTTCCACAGCTGCCTTTAGTTCGGCAGCAAAGGCGGCTTTATCTTTAGACTTACCCAGTTCGAGGAGGACGTCCCCGTCCCGGGTTTGTCTAATCGACCGTACAACCGTGTCGGTTTGCTCTGGCTTAGCCTTGGCCTTGATAACACCCAAGACTTCGGCGAATGATCTTCCCTCCAAAGGCTTGACCAAAATTGCCTCAGTCCTGGGCTTTTTGGGCCGCGACTTTTTAGCGAGTGCCGAGCCAGGCACAGCTTGGGCCACGCCGGTCGACTGCGCCCTCACTGCCACATATGTCTTGGAGCCGACTTCCGCGTGCCTCAATTTCCTCTTCTCCTTTTTCGTAAGGCGCTTTTCCCACACAGTCCCAGATGGTGTTTCTACGACTGACCCTTTTCGGAAGCTACCCTCAATGGGTGTTGCAGGTTGCTGTGGCTGTTGAGGTTTCGCTGGAGCGGCAACTACGTCAGAGAAGGACCTAGAAGTCTGGGTCGCCTTGACCTTAACTTTAGGCTTTGCTGTCTGAACAACCTCTTCTCTTTTTGGAGGGCTTTCTGATGTAGGCCTCCTGCGTTTCTTGGAAGGTCGCGCATTGTCGTCAGGTAGGGACACCACCTTCTCGGCGATCCTTTCCATGGCCGCCTTGCTCACCAGCCGGCAGGCGAAGACAAAACCAAGGTCGTCCTTGAGCTTAGCCATACCACTTTTTAACCACTTGGTTAACTCCTCTCTGCGTCTTAAAGGTTTCAAGCATTGCCTTTATGGTCTGCTCCATGTTTCGAAGCCGGTTTTCAATGTCATTTTCTGCGTCGAGATATTGCTGACGCAGAAGTACCATTCCCGACACTTCCAAATCTAACGCTGCTGTTAGGGATTCCTCCGGCAACCCTTCACCAGACTTAGAGGGTGGTCCACCGTTTCCTTCTCCACTTGTCAAAGGGAGATCCCAAAGTCAAGTCCTTTGTACACCTGAAAGATGCAGGTGGAGGGGACGTCTTCACGCCTTTCAATGTTGGCGATCTCTGCTCTGGACCTTGGAGCTTCGCCCAAAAGGGTCTCGCTCTACTTCCGACTTCTTTTCTTGCTCATCGAGCTACTTATTAAAGATGTGTTCAGGGTATTTGTTATAAAAGCCATCTTGTGTTTACCAGCGCATCGTGCGGCAAGGGGCGGCCCGGAATAGTCAGGAACGGGTATACCCTCGGGGACAGCGCCCCTACCCCAGTTCCCCGAGGCCCAACCTCCGTTTTCCCAGCACCGGATACCTGACGTGCCGGGGGTCACCCGTCACAATGTAGAGCCTGACCTCTACATCCATGCCGCACTCCCTGACCAAGGACTGAAGTGGCTGGTTTCTCACGACTCACTGAGAATACCCATCGGCAGTGCAGAGCACACATCAACCCCTGCAAACACAACAGGGGCACTCCCAAGGACTCCCAGTGAGAGCGTCGGTCACCCTTTTAGTCGCCTCTTACGACAAGCCCGGGAAGGCTGCGGTTCTATTCTAACCCCGAAACCGCAGGGGGAAATAAAAGCACAATAGACTTGTAAAATGAAGTAAAATTTAAAAAAATAACCCTGTGATTGCAAGAGAACGACCGGCTGAAACGTACTGAAAGAGGAAGTAATAGGTGACAAAATAACAGGATTATTTCACCTGTTACCGAAAAGCTGAGGAATGTTCCTTACTATTAATGCAAAGTAACGTTATTTCCCATCTCTAGTGGACAATGTTATAGATGGAAACAATACCATTCCTAGATTCAACATAATCATAACGTGTTAGTCTTTATAGTATAATATTTGAAATGCATTCGCTTGAAAGCATGATAATACCTACACAAAAACTATTCATTTGAACTAAACAAAACATAAAAATAAAATCGTCCTAAATAAAATCAGGGATAAACTGTTGATAAAAATTACTCAGACCTAACTGAATGATAATGGGGAGCGAGCTGGCGTAGTGGTTAGAGCGCGGAACTTCAGTTCCTGAGGTCCTGGGTTCGATCCCCGCCAAGTCACCAATGGATTTTATCTAAGTGATAATGCCGCAACCACTAGGTCTAGCCTGAAGTAATGTGAAAAACAATCCCAGGCTCGTGCCTAGCGTCCTAGGACAAAAAAAAAAAAAACCGAATGATAAATGGCTGACCTATACTCCATGTAAACGGGGTTGAGTAAAGACATTTATTGTCATTCCCTGTATTTTAACAAGCACGGTATGTGTATCAAAGTTACAAACTTGTATTTATAGATATCAAATTTTTGGATCTGAAATGTTTGATTTTATTTAATTTATTTAAAAACTGCAATACACCCATACAAAAGTTTACATAAAGGTAGCAAAACAGTATCAATTACAAGTGTTGATGGTTCTTTTTTTAGTTACGGATTGCTGGGTCCCAGTGGCTGTGGCAAGACTACCTTGCTTAACTGTATCACAGGCATCACAACTTTGCATGCCGGAACTATCTTTGTTAAATGTCAACACCAGAAGCAGATCGGCTACATGCCACAGGTATTTCTGGGAGAAAAAAACAAATTTGAAATTAACATGATGAAAAAAAAACCAAAACACTAATAAACTGGTTTTCAAAAGGAGACCAGGTAGGCATACACAGATGATTTTCGTTTTGAATGTCAGGCTTACATTTGGTTTCTTCTGTATTTTACCTCTTATACTTCTGTTCAACCTATTCCACAGGTTTTAAATTCACAAAATTACCAAACTTGAACATTACTTCTTATATTTTGTGTTACATTCTTAACCAAATGTGTACAATTATGAAGATAATATTATAAAGTACGATTAACATTTTCAATGACTCAACAATGATATAATTACACAATGTGGATTTGTGAAAAGGAAACTGCATTGATGGAGAAGTTCACAATTTCTGAAGTGTTGCATTACTTCGGAAAAATTTACGAAATGGATTGTGATGAAGTGGATCAAAGAGCTAAACTTCTCCTGAACCTAGTTGATCTGTCATTGGGGCAGTTCTACGATTGCTACATTACATCCCTAAGGTAATACAATTGACTTCTCTTCCTATTTTGAATTATGAAACTTATTAGACGGTGAAATGGCAATCTCTTTTAAAACATAAACTACAATTGTACAAGGTATTAATGACAACTTACAACTACCCTTCTAGACGAGAACTACAATTACAGCTAATTTTTAGACTTCATAGTGCTGATATGTTGTGCGTGCCCCCCAGAAAAGCTGGTCATGGGACGCCTATGCTTGGGGATTGGATTACCGAATAGTTATGCGACGTCTCGGTGCCGAATCAGCCTACCGTAATATGAGCAGACCCAGTTGGAGGCGATCGTTGTGATTTGGTTAGCTTGAACTTAGCCTGATTTTTGTTTTGGTTAAGTTTGTTAGCCTGATATCAAAACTACTGTTGTCCATGTCTCTTATATAGTATGTATCTTAAAAATGTCTTATCTATATTTTCTAATCTATATATCTTACAGTGGAGGACAGCTAAGAAGAGTATCACTACTAGTGGCACTAATTCACGACCCAGATTTATTAATATTAGATGAACCAACAGTAGGACTTGATCCTGTGACAAGATGCAGGTATGATGACTTCCCTCTTAATAAAAATTATAGTACGGCTTTCAATTCCTAAAATATCCGAATTGACTTTTGTTCTGTAAGCTATGGGAGATTAAAGTTAACCGTTTCTGGGATGGATTTATGTATTTTTTTTATAGATGAGCATATTTTAAAACCCAATAAATTTTTTATTCATAAGAGATTTTTCAGATTTCATTTTCCTCACAAAACTGCATTGTAAACAATCTTAATTCACGTTTTGAATGTTTAAAACAGATAATACAATTTTTATATATAATTTGCAAAATGGTCTTGTCCCTGATAAATTTAATGAAATAATTTGGATGATTTTATTACGTTACTGAAACATAATAAAATGCTTTTTAAGGCAATCAAGTTTATTTTTCTGACTGGACTCGATTTGAATGTCATGATTAATAGTTGTTGCTGGAAAGGTAATGTAAAAAAGAAAGAATGAGGATTGAGGTTCATGTGAAGTTCTAATGCTTTGTAGCATTTTAGTCTGTGGAAATATTTCTTGAGGGCAGCAGAAGAACAAAACAAGACAATTCTAATCACAACACATTACATTGAAGAAGCAAGAAAATCCCACCAGGTGAGTGGACCTGGTTTGAAAATTATTAAATTTAATTAATGAGTAATGAAAAATATGAATGACTGTATTCTAATTGGAATAATAGATAGTGAACTAGTTATTGAGGAAAAGTACATATTATAAATATGTTAGAGGGAAAAATATCTACCCAATCATAAGAGAGATTCTATCGATGTGGAAGAAAGTTTTTTGTATGAGCTTGCTCAGAAGTTGTTATATTAATCGTGTATGATATTTTTTTTTAAATTTAACCTCCTATTTTTCTTTGTGTGTCTAGGCATAATTTAGTGGTTAGTATAAGTTCCTAGGTATATATATTTTTTAAATCTACTGGGTTGGGGTACAACAATGCTGTTAAGTAAGTAAACAATGCCGTAATGTGAATCTTTTCAATTCGAAAAATAAACTGAAATGGCTACTTTAAAAACCGGTCGTAGGTAAAATAATATAATTACTTTAATTAACTAATTCTACCTTTATAGATCGGATTGATGAGGGGTGGAGTATTACTGGCTGAAAGTCCTCCAGAAAAACTTCTCCAAGAGTTCAAAAGCTCTTCATTGGAGGATGTGTTTCTTATACTGAGTCAACACCAAATGGAATCCCCTGTAAAAAAGGTGAAGTTTTATGTTTATCTGCATTATTATTGGTTCTATGACTAAAACGATAACGAGTAGATTAAGCACAATAAATAAACGGGTTAATACAAAACTTAAGTTATTAATTTTCTCACTAAGAGACCTTTCTGTTTTCTATTGAGGCCAGTTTTGTTAATAAGATTTTATTGCTCAAAAAATAATTGTTCATAACATTAGTAGTAATTTTAAAACCTCTAACTTCTTTTACTAGAGTTTGAAACTGTACTCTAAATTTTTTTTGTCCTAGGACGCTAGGCACGAGCCTGGGATTGTTTAGCACATAACTTCAAGTTAGACCTTGGGGTTGCGGCTTTATCACTTAGATAAAATCCATTGGTGATTTGGCGGGATTTGAACCCGCAGCCTCAGAGACCAAAGTCCCGTGCCCTAACCACTAGACCAGCTCGTTTCCCACTCTTAAAAATAAGAATAAACTGATTTGCAGATAAAAACAAGTATCAACAAGTTTTATCACACATTAGAAATTAGAATATTGTGTAATTGGTTTCTTTAGGTATTTCCAAAATCAAAGACAGCACAACTTCCAAACTTCACAAGAAAAAACTACTTTTGTAACTTCAATAGGCTGTGTGCGCAGACGATGAAGAACTTTTACTGGATGAAAAGGAATGCATGGTATGATCCTATACTCTAATACAAGCTATGTGTGTTTGTAATATATATCTCAAAATCCAGAAGAAGGAGTTTGACTAAATTTTGAAATTAAGGAACGCGGCAGCGTTCCGCCCCGCCAAGTCCCCCAGCGGTACACAGCTGCTGCAGTGAATATATACATAACGTGACAAAGTGGCTTTTTTACTCGTCTATAGCTCTGAAGAAACAAAAGCTATTAAAATAATTATTCATCTACTGGATAGGGGCACTCATTCTTAACAAAATAAAAAAAAAGAATTTAAAAAACGGTTGTGATTGAGCCAGAAAAACTAGTTTGAAAATTCACAAATTTTCCGTGTTCTCCTTCTTCTCCTTAAATGTTGACGGACCTACAGCCCAAACCACTGGCTCAATTTTAATTTTTTTTATGTTGTTTGAAAGCCCTTAACGTGTAGATGTGCCTTTTGAGGGTCTCAAGTCGGTGCGTTGACCCATAAACCCTTGGCAAGCCCTCAAAGTACGATTTTGGCCCATTTAAATAACATGGGATTAAAATAAAAACAAAAGAAGGACCAGCTGCGATTAAATCTCATTTAATTTAAATGTTGGAGAAATTCATAGGAACAGCTGAAAATTATTTTAAAACTTTTATAAAGTATTTTTTTCAGGTATCTATATATTAATTTGAAACTGTTTTTCTTTGTCATAGCTATTTTGAGAGAACGGCTGGGCGGAGAAACTCGGTAGATGTGTCTAAAGAAAGGACTTGGTCTGTAGATGAGCCATCAAAAGAGAAATGTGGTAAATTCCCTTGGGGCTCTGCCCCAGTGGCATATAAATTCCCATCCCATGTTATTCTTATGGGAGAAAAACGGGTTTTTGTCACAGCTAATTTCAGAGAACGGCTGGGCGTAGAAACTTGGTAGGGGTCTCTAAAGAAAGGTCTTGGTCTATAGATGACCCATCAAAAGAGAAACGAGGTAGCCTAAATTCCCTTGGGGCTCTGCCCCAGAGGCATTTAAAGTTCCCTCTTCAGATTTGTTTACATTACGACCATATGCGTAATTTTACACTACTTTTTAATGAACAGCTGTTAATATTTAAATTGTGATTTACTAAATTTGTCAAAATGAAGTATTTGCAATGACTTTTTCTGATTTCTTCTGCATCATGTCATGTTTTGCAATGTAACGTTCTATTACCAAATCGGTGAAAAATCCTAATATCACAGTAAATGTTAAAATTATTTCTTTTATATCTATTTTATGGGTTGGGTTCTGCTCTTTCTAGCACTTCTCAGAGATTGTACATAGGTGATATTCTTTGGCATATTGCATCTGTAGACGAAACTTGGGTTGGTGTAATTATTAAAATGGAAAAGAGCGAGAAATCTTGGACAGTTTGATATAGGCTAAAAATAAAACTGAATTAACTCTGTGCTACATTTCTTGAGCAATAATTTAAATAACCGATTTGCAAACAATGGAAACATAGAAAAAGCCATAGAACACAACCAAGTAAAAGAAATAGAAATAATGTTTTTTTTTTCACTAAAAATACTAAAATAGCTTATTTCCTATATGGGAAATTCGCTAAAAACAAGATCAACTTTTTGAAAAAAGATAAGATATTTACAAAAGATTTTGATTACTGTATATCTAACTGTTGTGTAGATCGTGAGTATTTCCATAATCTTTGAGTCGCCTGTAATGCTTCGCAATTGCTCGAATTTGAGCAACAGGTACACTAGTACCGAATGATTTGAACTACTTACTATACAAAATTACTTAGAGCAGTGATATGCCCCGATACGTTCCATTGAAAAATGCTGGTACAGCAGCTCGTCATTTTTAACAGTTTAATACTACTTATTAAAACATATGAAACCTATGAACTTGAAACTTAGGTTTGTTTTATGTTTTGATACACTAAAACAAATAAAACAATCGGGAAATCACTCTACGTATGACAAGCAAATAAAAAGTGATATGTAAATTTAGGATAGATGAGTTTTCAAAATTTGTTTTGTTTATGCAAGGATTTTTATTTTAACTGTTAATTTTCTACAAAAATAAATAAAATCTAACAAAAAACCACTACGTGGTAACACTTTCCCCGCCAAGTCAGCAATCCAAAAAAGATAATAAATCATTACTTTTTCCGCCAAGAAAAACAATGTAATGTATGTAAGTTTGGCAACTTGGCGGCAGACTTTTGCTCGATCACTTTAAAAAATACCATAAAACTAGTTACACAGCTGCTGCAGTGTATATATACATGACGTGACAAAGTGGCTTTTTTACTCGTCTATAGATCTGAAGAAACAAAAGCTATTAAAATAATTATTCATCTACTGGATAGGGGCACTCATTTTCAACAAAATAAAAAAAAGAATTTAAAAAACGGTTGTGTTTGAGCCAAGAAAAACTAGTTTGAAAATTCACAAATTTTCCGTGTTCTCCTTCTCCTCCTCCTTCTCCTCCTTCTCTTTGAATGTTGACGGACCCACAGCCCAAACCACTGGCTCAATTTTAATGTTTTTTTTTTGTTGTTTGAAAGCCCTTAACGTGTAGATGTGCCTTTTGAGGGTCTCAAGCGTTGACCCATAAACCCTTGGCAAGCCCTCAAAGTACGATTTTGGCCCATTTAAATAACATGGGATTAAAATCAAAACAAAAGAAGAACCAGCTGCGATTAAATCTCAATTAATTTAAATGTTTGTTAGAGAAATTCATAAGAACAGCTGAAAAATTATTTTAAAACTTTTATAAAGTTTTTTTAGGTATACCGAGTGTTTTTTACTACTTACTATATAAAATTACCTAGAGCAGTGATATTCACCGATACTTTCCATTGAGAAATGCAGTGTACCGATGGTACACTGGTACAGCAGCTCGTCATTTTTAACAGTTTAATACTACTTATCAAAACATAAGAAACCTAAAAACTTGAAACTTAGTACTAGTACTAAGGTTTGTTTTATGTTTTGATACACTAGAACAAATCAAACAATCGGGAAAATCGCTCTACGTAGGTTAAACAAGCAATTAAAAAGTGATATGTAAATTTAGGATAAATGAGTTTTTCAATATTTGTTTTGCCTTATGCTATTTCTAACAAACCTAATCTGTTTGATTAAATTTTTACTTCTCTAATAAGGGCTCAATTTACACTAGTCTTTAGATATACGGGTTTAATTATCAGAACACTTATGTAACACCAACGCATTTTATGTTGTTCAAGATGACCATTGATGAAATTTGAAACTGAGTTTAAGCTCAGGGGGTTTGTTAAATAGTAATTTTGGTACGTGTGTCAAAAATTTTTTAATCGGTTTAAAGCAGATAAGATCAAAAATGTAGAATTTATTCTACACAAACAATATTATTGAAATTGAATGAGATGTACTTGTGCCATGGTCTATATATCAGAGAAAAGAGGACTTTTATTTTCACTGTTACTTTTCTACAAAAATAAATCAAATCTAACAAAAACCACTAAGTGGTAACACTTTCCCCGCCAAGTCAGCAATCCAAAAAAGATAATAAATCATTACTTTTTCCGCCAAGAAAAACAATGTAATGTATGTAAGTTTGGCAACTTGGCGGCAGACTTTTGCTCGATCACTTTAAAAAATACCATAAAACTAGTTTCATTGAGCAAGTATCTCTCCCATTAGTACATTGCTAGGTGAGAGATTATTTTACAAAATTTGACCTTATTTGTGCCACATTTCATAAACTCGTAATAGTGATGGTTTTATATTTATTGATTACCTCGAAATTATTATACTTAGTTGGACTAATTAATTAGAGAAGTTGATTTGTGAAATTATCCACGAACGTAACTTCAATAAAAAAAACCATGCAAAAGTCTGCCGCCAAATTGCCAAACTTACATACATTACATTGTTTTTCTTGGCGGAAAAAGTAATGATTTATTATCTTTTTTGGATTGCTGACTTGGCGGGGAAAGTGTTACCACTTAGTGGTTTTTGTTAGATTATTATTTTGCTCCAAAAACCTGATTGGAACCAGCCACTACCTCAGGAAAATTTGTATTTCGCCACACAACTCATAATGGACAATTTATAAATTTAACACTGGCCTCATGGGGAAACGTCTATGGTTTGTGATTTTTCGTAAATTATAGAATGTCTGTTTACGATATTATTTTAACGGTTAAATCCAATTAACACAACCGAGCAAGGCTCGGTTCCCCAAGTACTATTGTTTAAATATCATAAACTTTGAATTATAATAATATTAGTAATAATAATATTTAAAAAAAATTGGGTTATAGCATTGCCTATACACAAAGTAGACTTCTCATCCAATGTAAAAATTATTTGAATCCAAGAAAATAGATGAAGTTCAGGACCATCTCACCAGAGGGTACTAGTGTATTGGGTTGAATCGTTGACTATTGGATACTACAGATAGCACCATGTATTTGCTTCAAATTTTTACATTGGATGAAAAGATAACTTTGCGTATAACCCAATTTTTTTATTTTTTTTTTATTATCATCATCAATTACAATGGGGACTTGACTAGTGAGTCTTTCAACCTAAATATGAATTAAGGATGAGTGTAGAATGGAGTGTGATGGCTTACTTTGTTACTGACTAATCAGCTGTTTCATTAGCCAGGACCATTCATTAAAAGAATTATGACCAGGACAGCTGGGTCCAGTTTCGGTGGCTTGTCTGATGGAATTTTCACGCTACCAGATAACATTTTGGCTTGGCTCACATAAAATTGACGAACCGAATTGAACACGTTCAGGCTTCAAAAACTCAGAACAGTGCAGAAAATAGTTTGAGGAATAATTTTAACAGTAATTTACAGGTTGTTGATATACATTCTTCTTCTTCCCGGAATGATGTCTTTCTTATTCTGCATGTTGCACACCAACAATCTTCGAGGCTTGCACATTGCCTTAGTTCCAGAGGATTTTTGCGCAAATCACATAAGTACAGAACCAAATTGTAGTACTGACTACAAAATCAGCTGCGCTTTCGAACAACTGATGAAGGATAAAGGCTTTATTGTGGTATGAATACTAAATTAACTTTTTCATACAAGATTTACTTTTCCGAATATATATATTTCTTTGTGTTGAATGATTTCATGGGTAATATTGGGAGAAGAAAATGCAGGATATGATCTTGTACATAATCGTTGTATCATTTCAATGTTTAAAAGTTTTATTAACTTTTTTCATTGGGAGGAATAATTTTCTTGTAACCTTATAAAAGTTTGTAAATTTAGATTATCAAATGTTTTGCAGACACTGTAGCTGAATGAAATTTTTAATTTTTCAATTCATAAATTGTTGGGAAATGGTTTACAAGGTGCTAATTGTGTTCAGGGCCGTACTAAGACTGGTTTTTCCGGACAATTTTACTGGGGCCCAGGCCCCACCAAACATATACTTCAAGGGGAGGGGGGCCCAACCTAATATTTGTACCGTGGCCTGCCAAAGCTGGGTACAACACTGACTGTGTTAGTGTATACACTAGCTTGGATCAGTTAAAAATTTGTGCAAATAGTTTCAAAAAGCTGTATTTATCAATGTTTGAAGCTGTAACAAATTTTCCTGATTTGAAAGGATTTTATATTCTTTAACTATCAACTAACACAATTTTTTGGCGAGATTCTTAGGATTTTTTTACTGAATCTCCCCTCTAATTGATGCTTATTGTATTCAGTCAATTGTGCCATTGGTCTGAAGGTAATCAGCTTTATACAACTTTTTCCGCAAACTGTACATAAAAGAATGACACACAGTAATTTATTTTAGAGACCTAGTAATAGAAAAATCTCAAAAATATGATTCATTTTTTGACTAACAGAACTTGAATTAGAAACGACTTAAACGGTAGTAAATTCAATATCTTTCACGTTTAGAGACCTGTATTGTAAAATCTCAAAATGACGAGACTATTGAAACAACATACTCAAAATTGAACAAACCACTATACATTTCTGTTCTGTCTTGTCAGAGTGAGTATGCAGATCTAGAAACTGGCATGAGAGCAGTGGAAAGAGGTCACTCGCTAGCCGTTCTCTACTTCAGTCATAACTACACCTCGGCCCTGAACGATATCTTCTCTAGTTCCTTCCAAGATCCACCGACCAACGAGACTCTGAACGACTCTCAGATCCAAGTCACAATGGATATGACAGGTAACAGCTTCATACTTATATTTCTTTTTCTCTAACTTCTAAGATCCACCAACCAACGAGGCTCTAAATGACTCTCAGGTCCAAGGATTCTCATATAACAATGCATATAAGGTTCATCATACTTATATGTATTTTTTCCTTATCTGGGGCTGTAAAATTGGATCAAGAGATGAAAATTACACAATTTCTTGATTAGAATCTCTACCTTTTATTCTATACCAAAGTTTGAGATGTTTACTATTGTGAAAGCTCGACATTACAAATGTATTTAATTTCTTAAAAATAAATAACATCAATAAATAAATTATCAAATATATATGAGAAGACTGAATGTTCCTCTTTAATTTTAGGGCAGATTTTACAAATTGTTCGTTACTCTTCATAACACCAGAGGTGAAACAACAGTTGATAAAAGATCATTATTTCTAGTTCATGTTTTTAAAAAGATAATTAAGCAACAATAAATGATTAAAGAACAAGCCCCCCAACAACAACCCCCCCCCCCATAATCCAGATAAAAACGTAATCTAGAACTGTCTTAGCTGATCTAAAAGGATAAAAATCCATAAGGGAGTATGTTTTGTTCATTCATCGCTTAATAAATGTGTTTGACTTCAGAGAAAATTAAAGCAAGGCAGGTGGTATCAGCGGTGGAGGAGACGTTCAATGATGTACAGACACAACTAATTAAAGGTTGTGGCTACAAGACAGCGGCTTATCAAAGTTTAGTCAGGGTAAGTCCCGGTAACAAGGGCTCTTCAGAAAGTAACAGAGGTTTCACATCTGCAGAAAGGCCATAATTGCCACCTTAGCATCGGAAAGTTCTCACACTCAGTATACAAACAGTAGCATCCGCATCACAGCTCTTGTACTTCATCTGCAGTAGTGTCATAATTAGTGTTGTTGCAAATCCCACCAGTTGTAAGGTGCGGTGCACTCGGTTATCATATTTTTGTTGGGGAAAAATCATAACCTTACCTATGTGGCCACTCAAACCTCAGTAGGTGTTTTGCCTCGCCAACAACCAGTCGCCACCTCTCTCTGTCTTCCATCCATTCTGTCTCTGCTCTTAAATTCCCTATGTCTCTTCGCACCTGGTCCTGCCATCTTAGTCAAGGTCGTCATTGGTCATATTCCCCGAGGGAGATTTTTTGACACCATCTTCTTCTCTTCTCTTCAAATGACTCAGTCTCCTACTTTTTATTTGTGCTATTATGTCTGGGTCTATATAGATTTCCCTTAATTCTTTTTTTGTTCTGATTCTCCACACACCATTTTCGTTGATGGGTTGGCATAAGCCAATTGAATTTTTTTTCAAATTTATTGTGATGTTTTAAATGAGTGAAGAGTGAAGGCTGAGTAAGACAGAAGAATGCTCTGATGCTAAGATGGTGGTGATAGCTCCACCCCAAGAAGTGCTAATGCAATACGTCTGTTACTTTTTGAACGGCCCTTGTAAATAAGTTTTAAAATAGCTTGCAGTGTCTCTTGTTGAGCATTTTAGATTTAGGCTAACTATTGTTTTTTTTTTAACTGTACATTGCCAGTGAGTTTTAAAATTGTATATTTGGAAAACCAAGATAATAGGTTTACATTAGGAGTTTACCAACTGTGTGTTAAGCAGTTACAACATTCAGAGCAAGGGAAAAAGTTGTCTCGATGTACTGATCTGATACCCGTATAGTCATACCAACCGAAATAGATAGTAGTTGGACAAAAGGTTTGATAATCAATTCTACTTATTTATTTCTCATTACTAATCTTGAAAGTGACATGTTTTGAGGTCAAACTATTACCTACTTTGATGTAAGCTCTCCTTATTGTATCTGTGGTGAAATTATCTATGAACATTTCCTTTGTTACCAACCACACAATTATTACCCAACAACAAAGTTTGATATTCTCAATTAGGCTAAATTTATTTTTGGTCAATCTAAAAATACATAAGTTCAAACAACAAAAACTTTCCAGGAACCAGTAGAAGTTTATGGAGCCGACTCTATAGACTTTGTTCAAAATGCTCTGCCAGGTTTCTTAATTCCGTAAGTAAATATCAGTTTAACTGCTACACTTGTAATTACTTTATAAAGTCAGGGCTATATTTCCTTAACAGAGGACACAGCGGCCACCGGGAACTTCAGCTTGGGGGCTTCACTTCGGGACACACACCATATTTTAAAAGCGCCTTCAACAAATGTAAGATCAAAAATTTAAAAATTGCTGCATTGTAAAAGACTATTATGAAGTATCTGTAATCCAATAAGATGTTCAAGATTACTCCTAGACCTCAGGAGACATTCATGTTTTTCCCACGATTGTGGGAGATTTTTACAATTTAGCTGTGGTTGACGGAAACATTTTGATGATATCTACACAACCACGGATTAAATTCACCATCTCAGATCTCAGGTGACTAGTAATGGGCTACTTCATAATACAGAGAGAAGAATAGGTCTAATATGACTCTTTCACAGGTTGGTGTTTTTCATGGCTACTTCATACACGTCTACAGCAGTAGCATCGGAAAAGAATACAGGAGTTTTTCAGCGAAGCCTTGTTTCTGGTAAGTACTGCTGTGGCTGGCAATTTTGTTACAAATAAGGTCACATTACCAAGAACCACAAACTTTGCCAAAGCTAGCAATAATGCCAAAGTTAGTGATATAGATGTGCAGACGTTGAAGATTCTAGCTTTATGATTTTCCTAATGTCAACGAATGTTGCTGCAAAAATCGGGGATGTTGCCAGAAATTTCTTTGAATTAAGTGATGATATTGTTAACGTCAAAAAAGCAATATCACAAGGATCAACAAAATTAATGTTGCTGCCATTAGTGGAGAACCTGGCAATGATACCACAAATGTTGACAAAGGTACTGTAGTAATATTACTGCAAACTTTGTGGAAGTTAGATAGGCTATATCACCGCGAACAAAAGGGAAGCTTTTAATACACTTAAATGTTCAAGCAACATTGCTATCGTCTCCTGTGATTTCTGCAACATCATAAATATCTCTCGTGGTTGTGGCCAAAAACCTTTTGTGCAACAATCAATCATTAATAAAATCCGCTTTTTCTGAATTCATGCTAATCTGAACAGGGTTTAGTCCGAGTTAGTTTAGTATAGCAGGGCTCACGCATATGTTCGATTGTTTGGTATACACAGAACATTTCATTGCTAACTGCAATAACTCATTCCTTTCTAAATCAAGTTTCACCTGAATATACTCTAATACTGATTCTAAGAATATGTATAACAATAACGAATAAAGATGTATTTTTTATCAAATAAATCCTATCACAAGCTCAAAAACAAAAACTGACGTGGAAAATTAAAATTAAAGATAACCGGTACAATTCTGAAAGTTTTGCAGGTGTAACCAAGCTGGAGATGAATCTAGCACACACAGTGATCCAACTGTTGGTGTTGCTGGTGCAGAACTGTGTGTTGATGGTGATCATTTACACCAACATTCACAACTTTATGCGAGGCAACATACTGTTGGCATCTTTCCTTGTCATATTGGCAGAACTCCAGGGGATGTTATATGGTTAGTAACCATTTAAGGGATGGAAGAGACTAAAACATGAATTCTTTGTTCTGTGCTACTTTTATTGCAAAATATGTTATGATTATTGTATTGAGGATAAAGAACTGTAACTGCCATATCAGTTTAAATGTGTTTTTTGTGTTCTTTAAACTTCCTGGGACTATTTCAGGTTAGTTGTCTATACTTCCTATCTCCTTAACCAGTTTTAAAACGAAGTTACCTTTTCCTTTTCAAAGATTATTGAACGATGTTTTGTTAATTTTTAGTCGGAGCTGGATGGCGAAATTGCTGATTTTAGACACACTTTTTTTATCAAATTAAATGGAGCAATATTTGATAGAGTTACAAGCGTAAACAAAAACAGTAAATAATGGACTAGGCAAAAGACATATAAGCTTGTCAAAATATATCAAGTCTGTCAACATTAAAATTCTTTATGGATACTGTTTTTGTTGTTTTACCTTATTATTTTGTAAGTATTAATTTAAAACATAGGCTATAAAGTAATGTTAAATCATAACAAAATTTTCCTCAGTGACTGTTTGGTTCATGAGAGATTTCAAAAGATTTTTTCCCTTTGATAATACATGGCTACTTTTCTACAGGTATTTTTCTGGCTTCTATTATAAAGAAGGAGAACCACCTCACGAACACAACAGTGGGAACAATTATGACACTTTTTCTCACCTCAGGTAAAGCTGTATACGTGTATTAATTTTTAAAAATTTTAGTAATTTTGGATTTATTAAATTTTTTGAATCATGATATAAATACCTCCTGATTAACAACAGATCAACTAATGAACTACTACTCTATTTATTAAGTTTTAGTACTTAATGATTTTTTTTTTAAGTTTTGTGTTGGCAAGTAACATAGGCCTAAGGTAAGCAACTGACAACTCTAAGAACATCAGTTTTAAAAACTGCCATTGCCATTTTATTACTTACAACTGAAGTCCAGTAATGGGCAAAATATCGATTTGTTGTTAACTTTTAATGTAGATCAACTGCCATAAACTCATTCCTCATGTTGATTTTTGTATCCGTCCTGTCTTTCTTAATGAATTCCTAACTAAACCAAATCCTTTTTAATATAACAAATATTCTTTTACATTTTAGAGTATCTAAGTTGCACAGCTTACTTGTTATAGGAATGATATGGCCAATAGAAGGCATGGTTCCTGCACTCAAGTTCCTTGTTGACTACTCTCCCCTGACAATCGCAGTCGAGGCTTTCCGCAGCGTCTCCATCCGAGGCTGGGGTTTGGATAATCCCAGAGTGTTTTCTGCGTTTCGATACAATTTGGCAACCATCGTAGTCATGATGATAGCCAACATCTTGTCTGCCAAGAGAAGCCAAGCTCATTGAAATTTTATTCTTGTACTATAAAATAATAAAAATTGTTTAGTCTGTATGCCAAAACTAAAGAACTCATAAAAAATGTAAGCTCCAACTCAAACAATGAACAGACTTATAGTTACAGAAGCTAGCCTACTTTTAACTAAGTCAACTTCTTAACTGCCTATTGTATTTTTTTATGCACATTACAAAACAAGGTTTAAATCTATCTTCTCTCGTTAAACTTTTTAAATTTTCTTCAAAAGCCCTAATAATTTCATTTATATAAAGAAAGTGACTAAGTTATGTTTAAAAACTAAAAAATCTATAAGTATGTTCCATCCTTGACCATGTAAAGGTAAAAAGCCTTAGCTTTGATACAAGTTTTTTCCCCTTAAAGTAAAGCCTCTCGATGCCCTTTTCCTGCTAAACAAAGTGGTTCAACACAACCAGATAAGGTGACCAATATGAGAACATCAAACTAGGTACCGGTAACCTATCCATAACTACTGCACTCTTAGTACAGAAAAGTGCAGCTGATCTCAATTGTTTCAGTAACCTTGGAAACAAAATTAAAATTTACAAAATCTAAATACAAGGAGCCTTTCAAATTCATATATTAAAAGTTTGTTTCATCATAAAGTAAATATGGACAAAGAAGGAAAAACCTCAGGTTCTAAAATCACCAAAAGCATGGTCCCGAAGCCCACGAGGATGCCATACATAAATTTTGTGCAAGCCTTCCGCAACTCTCATCCAGGCGAGTTTGGTCCAAAAGAGATGATCAGTGAGGCGGCTGCGGCTTGGAGACAACTGTCCGACAGTGAGAAGAAGCCATTTGTAGATCTAGCGGCTACCCAGAAGGCCAAACAGCCTCGACAGAAGAAAGTCAAGCGGCTCAGAAGACGAAGAGCTGACAGTGAATACTCCTACTACTAAGTTGTTAAGGCTCTTATACCAAATTTTTAGTGAATATGCGTCTGATTTTGGGACATAATGTATGCAACAACTTTTAAAAATTAATATTTTTTTTTTTCTTCAAAAGTGGTTTTATTTTTGTGTTGGAATTAGTCAAAACCAAAATGTAGGTCTTGGATGTATATCTGAGATGTATTACACATGTTGAGAATATTAGTGGAGATTTGACAGTAGTAGATCTACACGATATAGATAACGATCCCAGACAGCCATATTAAAATTGGGTAATGGATTGTGAAATCCTCTTTCTTTTTAGCCGTGTTCTCTTAGCTGTCCTGAAACATCAGTTATGTCGAATGTCACGAATACGGTGAAAAAAGCCACAGCAGCCACAGAAGAGTGCCATGTTAACACAAACAGACAGGCCGCTTCCCCGCAGAGCCTTTTTAATGGGTAGCAGAAGACCTCATGATGAGGTTAGTTGTTGTTCATCCGCTGAGTTAATCGTTAAAGCTAAGGGTCGCTGCAAGCTCTGGTAAGTATTCCTACCTGCAAGAGAGTCCAAGCAGCCTCGTCCGCTTATCTGCTAGAAATCCTAGCAATTCACTTTCCTGCTAGAGTAATCTAATCTGTCCCTAGATGGCGATGAGAGTACCTTAAACTGGTTCACTCTTTGCAAAAACTTTATGGTCCATTTGGGACAAGAATTGATCTCAGCATGGAACCACCTCCTGACCACTGGAACGTTCCCAGCACACTACTCAAGCTATCCATCACATGATTAGGCAAAATACACGACAGATTGTCATAGTTATAAGGAGCTGCATTTGCTAATTCCATTTGGCATCTTTTAAGGTGAAAGAAATATCCCAAAGTAACATAACACATATAACAATATTAAAAACACCTACCTCAATAACTAAGAATATTTTCTGCAGTCAAGTAGGCCTATTGATGGTTCAAGTTCTTTATATTCAGCTAAGTGCAGAACAGCCACACATCTGTCCACACTCCTGGTAACTATTCCACACACTGTACATGTCTGCCACACTCAACTGTATGGTGTTACAGCTGTGTGCGTGACATTGGTCCACACACGCCCAGTAGCATGCATCTCCTGTGTGGCGTGTAGGCTCTAATCCCTCGAGCCATATACCCATTGCCACGTCCTCTCCTTGGTATTCCACTGACAGTGTGTCCAACCTACAAAAATTAATTAATCCCAGTGACACATTTCTCTCTAATAAATTGGACTTAAGTGCCAATCTTTACTGTTTTAAATTAACCATAAACCGAAAACCTAATACATCTAAACACTTTAAGGAAAGACACAGTTAACAGAAGAAAAACCAAAGAGTACTACATGAAAACAATCCATTATAAGCTATGACAAGGGGATCGAACTGGTCTAGTGGTATAGCACGACGCATTGGAGCTCGAGGTCCCAGTTTCAAAACCCGCCAATCACCAATAGATTTTATATATGTGATAATGCCGCTACCCTCTAGGACTAACCTGAAGTAATGGGTAAAACAGTTCCGGGGTAGAACCTAGCGTCCTAGTATGTTAAAGTGGGATATAAAAAAATAAATAAAAAGTTACAGGCTATGACATAAGTCATATTTTTAGCTAGGTAAGGATTTATGTAGATTTGTTTATTTTTGCTAGAACTGTCATGTTTTGTAAAAGTTGGTACTGGTTATAAAATATACAACTAGGCCTAAAAAAAGGATGTTTTTTTGGGAATTAATTTTGCATACCAACAATATGCTTTATTGGTTTTTGGCTCTCAGAATAAAACTACAGCTATGATAATTCGACTAAACAAGATTACCTGTATCTCAACCAATCTAGAGCCTTCTCAGACAGGACATATCCAGCACCAGTTGGGAACGGAGGGTAAATTTCTTCCTTGTAATTGAACGTTTCCTGCCATTTCCCGCCTCTCTTTACAGGCCAGTCAATTCGAAAACAAGACCACCAATCCCACTGGATCTGCTTCTCTATTTCTCGTTGTACTTTCAAAATGTCAACAAAAACATCATCATCAGTCTTCAAAACATAGTTGACATTATAATTCTTAAAGAGCCTGAAACAAAGAATTTCCCTGCATGTTTTGGTTTTGTAAAATATAAAGAAGGCCTACCATTCCAAACATACCTAAACATATTTAGTCTATTTGGACTTTTAAATTAGAGACACCTAAATAAAATTATGAAAATGATATTCTACTAACTTTCCTGGAAATTTTAATCAAATTTGTTGATTTAACTTTTAGCGTTGACTTGCATTTCCACTAATCCATTTTCCTTCATTTTAGTTGTGTTCATTCAACTTACCACTTATAGAAAAGAAACATTTTCTGCGGTAGATTTCTGTAAACATCAACCATGTCAAGGAATAGAATGTCACCATGTTCAACAGACTCTCTTTGTAACTGTGTGTATACTTTTTCAACATATTTATTCCAGTCTTCTGTTCTTTCATTTGTTTTATTTATTCTTTTCTCAAGTCCTGGAATATCTGAAAAATATTAAGGAATTAAGAGGGTTATTGACAATTTAAAAAAATAGTACCTGGAGACCGAGCTTTGCTCGGGGAAAATCATTCCCCCACTCTGCGATGCCAGCCTTTACTACTTCCCTCACCATTTCCTACGTTATTGTTTCCCTCCCTTCTCATAGCATTTAAGTATTAGAGATGCATTAATCTAACTGACACAAACGGTTCCTACACTCTGCGATGCTAAACTTTACTACTTACTACGTCGTGGACATGTTGTCATCTCTTTCCATTGCATTTTAGTATTTTAAATACATTAATCTAATTGCCAACAACATTTCCCACACTCCGCACTGCTAGCATTTACTAATTCCTATGTCTTGGACATCTTTCCATCCCATCTCATAGCATTTCAGTATTTCACTTTCAGATACAGAAATCGAACTGTTACAATTGGTTTCCAGTTCCCAGACTCCACAGTGCTCGCCTTTACTACTTCATTCACCTCTTCCACAATCAGGTCTTGGACCTGTTTCCCTCCCTTCCCATTGCATTTTAAGATTGCAGATACCTTAATCTAATCCTTATAAACAGTTCCCACACTCCGGACTGCTCGCCTTGACTACTTCCTTTACCACTTCCTACGTTTCGGACCTGTTTTCCTACCTTCCCATAGCATTTTAAGATTGTAGATACCTTAATCTAATCGTCGTTAACAGTTCCCACACTCCGGACTACTCACCTTTACTACTTCCTTCACCGCTTCCTTCGTCGCGGACCATGTTTCCCTCCCTTCCCATAGCATTTTAGGATAACAGATACCTTAATCTAATCGTCATTAATAGTTCCCACACTCCGGACTACTCGCCTTTACTACTTCCTTCCCCACTTTCTACGCCGTGGACCTGCGCCGCTTCCTTCGTCGCGGACCATGTTTCCCTCCCTTCCCATAGCATTTTAGGATAACAGATACCTTAATCTAATCGTCATTAATAGTTCCCACACTCCGGACTACTCGCCTTTACTACTTCCTTCACCACTTCCTACGCCGCGGACCTGTTTTCCTCCCTTCCCATAGCATTTTAGGATTGTAGATACCTTAATCTAATCGTCATAAACATTTCCCACACTCCGGACTACTTACCTTTACTACTTCCTTCACCATTTCCTACGTCGCGGACCTGTTTCCCTCCCTTCCCATAGCATTTTAGGATTGTAGATACATTAATCTAATCGTCATAAACAGTTACCACACTCCGGACTAATATTTACCACAAAACTAATAACAACAATTAAACGAAATAATCTGCTTGGAATAATTCAGTAAGGCCACCAGAAATTATGTGAATCGGTGTATTGTTAATCAACGCTTAATGGTATTCATCGGACTCCTTTTCTTTTGTACTGTCTTTTGTAAATAGGCCATATGTGCATACGCAAGCTGAGGTGCCCGTGGGTACAGAACGTCACGTTATGTCTTAAAATGTAAACAAAATGACAATAATGGCGGAATGTTTTCTCATAAGGCCCATGTTAAATTTTCAAAAGTTTGTACTCATATTATGGCGATAATAGATTTTTCCTGGCTATACCACTGGTCTAGAACTTATTTTTGACACAGAACTTAGTTATTCCGTAAATATAAACGTTTTTGTTAGAGCCGATTCCCAGATCGAGTTGACAAGTATTCAAACTTTACTCGTATTATATATAGGATTGATCCAAATTTAGTTAAAGCATGTTGCGACTGATCCACACCAGAACAAACATTTTTGAATTTCTGTTCCTATAGGACATGCTTTGTACTACAGTACTATACATTGGGGAACGAGCTGGTCTATTGGTGGTTCAAATCCCGCCAATCACCAATGGATTTAATTTATGTGATATTGGCTTGACCTTTTAGGACTACTTTCAGTGGCGGTTCTAGGACCTTGTTAAGGGGGGGGCTACCGGGGGGTTTGGGGGGTGTGGAGCACCCACCAATTAGGCAGGGGGGAGGACCCCCGGGAAAATTTGGAATTTTCAAAGCCGTTTGGTGACTTTCTAAAGCCATTTTTAACACCTTAAACCGTGCCCAACTGTCTAAATAAAACTCCCATTTCACCTGTTGTTTCTCATGAACAAATAGACATTAAAAAAATTAAACTATGACGATTGCATTCATGAACTTCAAAACGCACTGTAGACTACGGCCATATCACAGACAATGGAATAAACCTCCATACTTTAACGGAATAAATTAAAGTATTATATTGTCTGTGGCCATATACTCCTAAAAACCGTTGGGTGACTTTCTACAGCCAGTTTTAACGTCTAGAACTGTGTGCAAAACCTCCCATTTCCCCATTTATTTGTCATGAATATGTACCGGTAGACATTTTTAAAACTAACTGACGATTGCATTCATATATCTCAAAACATATTGTGGGCTACGGCCATATCCTCCTAAAAGCTGTTTACTGATTTTCCAAAGGCATTATTTATGTCTATTATATCTGTGTCCAACTGTCCATAAATCTCCCATTTCATCTATCATTTGTCTTTGTCATAAGTAGACATTTTAAAAATCTAACTAGGCCTATGACGAACTTGCATTCATGAATTTCAAAACATAGGCCTACTGTAGACAACGAAGCCAAATCTCCTAAAACAGTTTGGTGACTTTCCTAAAACCTTCCATTTCACCTGTTATATGTCATGCAAGCAAGTAGACACGTTTTTTAACCTTACGTTTTTCTCCATTTCATAGATCTGTCACAATATTATCGAATTCAGTAATAGTATTGACTATTTCAACTTTAACACTAGTGTTTACATATAGTCAATTGTAATAAATAGGCTACTGGTGCTACATTGCTGATTGATGCCTGTGTAAAGTTAGTGGCTAGCAGACAATTTGACAACTGCTATGATGAAACATCAGGAAATCAGCCCTGTCCTCGCTTGCTTGCGCGCTCGGCGCTCGCTAGCCATTGCCCTAGCATGTCAACAGCTGACTGCTGTAACAATTGGATGATGCGTACAACCATTGACTAAGGATACAACTTTCCATAACTAGCGTTTATTCGATTGAGGTGCTATTGTCCACAAACTCTATGTGGAAGTTCTATGTGGAACTTAATACTACTCCTGCCATCGCTTATTAAGTTAAAAAAAATTTACATTGATGTCTGTTTTATGACATTGCGTGTTTTAAGGACGAAATGTACGTTTAAATTTATTTTTCCAGGGTCCAAGGGGGGGGCTTTAGCCCCTATAGCCCCCCCCTTGGAACCGCCACTGACTACTTTTTAGCTTTTAGGATGTGAAGGCAGGATAAAAAATGTACAATTGGCTGATGTAATCTTATCAAGACTCAGTCATTTTTGATGTTATAAAATTTTTGCTTTGAGTTGTTTGTTCATAAAACCTAAATTTAGAAATTGAACATGAAAGAAAAAAAAAACTTTTAATAATTTAAAGTATTAAGAGTAATACTAATTATAGTTTCAAATTGGCCAAAATACCTTTAATTGTGAAGCCAAATGAAGACAATACACAATACTTTTCCACACTAACTTCAATAGAACTCTTAGTGACTACATTTGAAATTGTAAACAGATTTCCATGTTTCCAAATGGTTGATTGTTCACAATCAAAATAATCATCTTGGATGGATCCTTTTTCCACCAAGACCATCCCTTCAAATCCTTGTGCCAAATGAAGTGGATTCGATAGCTTCTTATATACGTATCCTGAAATACAAAAAGTAAAAAGACCAATTAGTAAAGGTACTTTTGGAAAAACTTGTAGAGAAAATCAGCTGACAGAAAAAATACTGAGAAATTTGCTGAAAAGTGCCCGTTTGGGCTATTTAAGATTCTTTGTGGCCCATGTTTTTTCCCTTAAAAATAAAAGTAAAGTTAAGCATTTTTTCGCACAATTAATTATTGTTCCCAGACAAATAAGAGCAAGAAAATGTAAAAAAATTAAAATCAACTCAACTAAGCCCATTTATGTCACAGGTAACAGTAAGTTAACTGTAGAATAAAATTATGACGGAAAGATTTTCAATTATATTCTTGGATACTTACCCCTATTATTTTCATCGTCTTGGATCAAATCGCCATGAAAAGTGACTGATGCAATTTTAGTTGCTGGGTGAGTTAGATTTAAGTTAAAATTGTTTTGAGAGATATAATGAAGGGCAATCCTTATTATTTTTTCCTTTTCCGAAGCTAGTGCAGACCGTTGTATTCCCAGGGTCTTAATTATCACAGGATGATGAACTGTGAATATAAATCCACGACTCGGTTGGACTGGTTTAGCTTCCGTCCTCAAAGAGTTTACTTGTAGATCAGTGTTTTCTTGAACATCTAAAAACAAATATCAGTTAAAAAGTAGCCTATTAGGCCTATGTTTACAAAAATAGCTTTCAAACATCATAACATTTTCTGTCCATTTTCTCAGTTACAAAGAGTTCAAATCGATCTTTGCTATGAGTAGAAACAGCTTTTGGTATTTTACCAGATAACAACCAGGACACGACAGTTCCAATTTTGGTTCCTTATGCCCGTATTTAAGCCTATGTTAATCCAGGAGGGAGGGGGGCAATGTCCCGATTATTCCCTGACCTAAGGTGGCAACACTGATTTAGCCTAATTTAACTTAATTTTAGGCCTAGGCCTAAGCTTACTGAACAAATTTTAAATGTTGGAAACTTACGTTTAGGAAGTGAAATATTTAGGCTCTCACATAAATATTCCGATCTGCGATTTTCTGGGTGGATATTGCACATGCTTGAACCAACTATAAATTTGTATTTTAATACTTTCGGGACACTCTGAAGCCATGTCTCTCTGAGACTTTCCCGATGCTCAAAATGTTCTGGACTTGATGGTATTGCGATAAATAGAACAATATTTTCCTTATTCCATTGTTCTGAAAAACATGATCATATAAGAACCTAAGTTAGTTACATTTTTGATCAATGAAGACTAAACTTAGGCCTACCTAACTTAAGATACTGATATGAATTCTCGTAAGAAATTATTTCTGGTATAGTACCACTAAAGAGCTTTTAAAATAATTTAACTTTATACTTCAATCTGAAATGGTAACCATACAAATGAAGGTAGGCTACTTTAAGCCAAATATGAATGGAGATGAGTGTAGGATGAGTGGCGCGATCTTGTAACTTAGTCTTGTTAGTGACTAAGGTCGACATGTTCCTTAGACACAGCTGTTAATTAATAGTCCTTAGGTACAGACAATGGCAACTAAGGCATCTACAGTTTATAGCGGAATCCAAATCACATTTTTGCCTCGTAATTAACGATTTGGTCTAATTATCAGGATAGTACTGCGGATAGTCGTAGTACCGGTAAGTTACACACTAAGTTAAGCCTAGTGCAGACAAACCACACTAGGGAGTATTCTTAAAGTACCGGTAAATTAAAATGTGGTTAGCTAGCCTGCTTGAAAATTGCTAGGAAAACCCTTCTGAAGGCCTAGGCAGGCTACCTTAAGTTCTCGGATTTGTCAAAAATTTGCACTAATTTTTGAAATTAATTACTTTTGCTGCGCATTTTTGAAATTATTGTTTATCGTGTTTGTAGTAGGCCTACTTTTTACAAAGTGCAAAAACAGTCTGGAGATAACATAAATCAACAACTCGATTCATGATAACCTAAACTTTACCTTCCTAATCTAACCTAACAAAGAAGGACTAGAGGCAAAACACATCTTCATCCTTCAAAAACGTGCAATTAGAAGAATATGTGGAGTCCATAGACGGACACATTGTAAACCTTTGTTCCAAGAACTGAACATTCTCACACTTCCGTACCTTTTTATATTGGAATCCGTATTGCTTGTTAAGAAGAATCCTAATATTTTTGTAACTAACAGCATGGTCCACAATTACAATACAAGAAGAGCAACAAATCCACATGTACCTCAAGTAAATTCCACCCTTGCAAGCAAGAGCCCTTACTTCAATAGTATAAAAATTTACAATAAATTGCCTCAGTATATCACGCAAGAGCCTTCAATCAACAAATTCAAGATCCTGCTAAGTTAAAACATTTTTAAGTCAAGCGGCCTACTACAGTGTTGATGAAATATATGTCTCGGCCATGTGCATCCCTGAAGAGGAAATGAATCCATTTTATATAAATTAATAGCAAGAAAAGTATAAAAACCTGACGACCACATCGCTGATGCGATACCAGTGGGAATTCTCCAAAAATTAAAAAAAAAATCTTAGTAAATTCAGTTTTTGTGGCAGCAGAAAAATTTATGCACCATTATTTTCAGGTAAAAATCTAGTTTCTAATGATATATAAATTACTATAGAACTCTTGGTCACCCTCATCACAATAATTTCCTTAACAAGTTAGGTCAAGCAAGGCCTAGAAATAACAATTAGCCTATTGCAAGAATAACTTATCCACAATCTAAATTACAACTTACGAATTAATTCAAAATGTTGGTAAATTAAAGCTGTGGATAAAATTACAAATGATATAAAAAATATAAGTTTCCGGATATTTGAAAATTCCATAACATAACCTAACCTCTTTTACTTGATTCAAGAATCAAGACATTGACGTAAACAAAAACAAAAACAACTTGAAGCTTGAAGGACTGAAGTGAAGTGAACGAAACGAACTGATTCAATGAACTCATAATTCCAGTCCACGCTCCTCTATTCTTTTCTATTTGTGACTCCAGTCCAGTCCAGCCAGAACAGAATCGTCCGGGCCGCTGCCGTGTAAACAAAAACAAACACAAAAATATTAGTGTGGTGTGACGGTGTGGTGGTGGCGTAGGCGTAGAAAAGAAGCATGTGTGTGTTTTAACAACTTAACCCAACCTTGTGTTGTAATATTCCAGAATTTTTCTTGAAATCAGATCCCTAGGGAATATCTTGTTCGATGGTATGTATCATCAATTAGTTAAAACTGTTCCAATCCTTTAACTCTAATCTTGAAATTCCTGGGAAGTTAAGTTATAGGCCTAAGCATTGTTTTTATCGTCAATCTGCTGACTTTAGTGTCTTTAAGACTAATTTTTATTATATTGAAGCCAAAAACGGTAAGTTAGTTTATTGGTTTAGTTATACATAAGGCTTAGTTCACTAAATGAAAAGCCAAAAAAATCTGTGGGCCTGGTTGTGTTGTCGGTATCTATGAGACCTCTAATAAAATCTTTTAACACGTTCAGTGCGGCATACCTTCAAACAGGCGCTCGCCAATGGCGGCGAGGCCCGGGCGAAGTCCCGCCGCGCAACTGAATCGGTGAACGCAATTGGCATTCAAATATTTCAGTCTGACGAATAAAAATAGAGCAGTGGTGATTGTGCTGCGTTAGCCCGAGAGTGGACGTAGGCTAGTTCACTGAAACACCTAAAGGTAGCAGCACTGCCTGGATCCGTAGCCAGTGTCTTTGTAAAGTGGCTCGAAAAGAGAAAATTGCCGAAACCGTGACAAAAGTATTGCCAGACGGGATTTTTTGGGAAATTTTAGTACCAACCTACACCAGACTAAAGCTTATATTCTAAGCTACAGGCTGGCAACGATTATAACGTTCCCGGCAATGGCTGAGCTCACATTGAAGCAAAGTTGTTGGTATTGGAGAAGGACGACATTTCCCGCTCCGCGTCAGTGGTGCAGGTACAGCGGGGCGTGAATTCCCGCCCCTAGCACCGAACGTGTTAAGCTATTCATCCAGAACTTAGTTTGGCAGAGGTGATTGGCATTTAGATTCAATCATAGTTAGATTATGAAAGGTGGAGAGTGGGGTTTCGGGAGTTACCAACTAAGGGTTCTATATTCGAATAGGCCTAAGTTACATGAAGCCATTGTATCATACAATAGGCCTAGGCCTAAAGACTTTGGTGGAAGCTTGTGGTGGTCAATCTTAAACCAGGGTCAATAAAGTAATAACTGACTGCTGATGTGCGTATTATATATGCTTACAGCCAACCACAATAACAAAAAACTTTGTTGACCCAGCTAAGTTAATGGTGCAGATTTTTCTTACGCCAATAGGCGTTAGTGGTGAGATATTTGTGCCATATCAACTTACCCACTTGTTCACCCGTAATCATCTATGTATAATAACTCCCTGGCTGGATTGCACGCTCAGGTTGAAGTAGGGCTCTAAAACGGTCCATCGCTGCCACGCTCTGTCCGCCAGGAGTGGATTTAAAGGCATGACTCACCCTAGTGCCGAGCGTCGTGCCCGCTCTTCCGCGTATTGCTATGTTAGTTTTGTGGAAATATTACGAGTTAAAATTGATTGTAACGAACTTAAGGAGCAGATATAGTTTAACGTTTTATAAGCAGATATAATTAATCTAAGTACTTGTACACACTTTACAGACTAGGCCTAACTTATGTAACTTATCACAAATTTTTACTGAAGAAATTTAGTGATGTTATAAAAGAGTTTGATTTATTTATATTTGAACATTGGCCAGAACATAATATCACAATAATTATTTGATCCCAAGGATGTCATAATTAGCTGCTGTGGGCCTCAATTATTATTGAGAGACTTTGACACATGTAAGAATATACATTTTATTTATATTACAGTATGTTTCTTTGTCATAATGTGATTAACGTGTTTGAAAAATATATTATATGCCGTTAGATAAAAGGAGTGTATACTATTTTATGCCAATATCTCCAATTCATTGGTTATTCTCAGTGAAGTATATTGGACATATATATATATATATATATATATATATATATATAAAGGGAAGAAGGCAGAAGGGGACCCCACAATTTACACATTTCAAAATCATCATCAACTACAAGCAAATTTCTTTTTTCATTTGTCATTGCCATCTATACTTCATATACAGCCATATTTAGGCATTCTTATTTTGGTTAAACATTTATATGCATGTTCGTCAGTATCTTGAGTTCTTTCTTATTGTTCAAAAGTGAAAAAATGGAGTTGTCCGTTGAAATGTAAAATAAAATAAAATAAATGAAGTAAAATAATTACAACATATTTTCTCAGGTTAATATTAAATAAACTACTTTAAATCCAAAATTTATTCTTTGATTCTACAAATTTTTTTTAAGCTAAGTTATAGACTACGGTAAGCAATAAAATGCATATACAAAAATTAAGTTACCCATTCTTCGCAATCTAAACTTAAAGCCTTGTTTCTTTATTTTGCAGGGGAAGAATGCAAGAACTCGTAAATTCGCTCAGCAGCGCTTTGCCCAAATGAAAAAGATGATCAGTTCCAAAGATGCAAGAATGTAGGTAACTATTATATTTTATTTTATTACATTTTTTTATATTCGTTACCACGCAAAAGTGTTTACATTTTACAAATTAATGATATCAGTTAGTAGGATTAACCCTGCAGTGGTGACATGATTTTGTGGTTTCAACTGGTGATGTCGGTCTGAAAGACCAACTTTTACATAAGTATTTTTTACATAGGCTAGACTAAATATTAAAATTATGTTTTGAACAAAAATTCGAATACCGTAATACTAAAGTATTAAGAAGCTATGTACATGGTAATACAAGTGAAAACACATTTAAAGTGAGGGAACAAAATTTATTGCATTGCATGTGTTGTTTTTTTTTTTCAAAACCTAAGAATTAACAGAAAAGTAATTTAATATATATCCCTACAATTTTTGTAATTATAAAGGGTTAATCTTAAAATCGTGGAAATCAAAAAATGTGTTTATTTGTTTTTGAAAATTGGGGAAAATGGTTAATATTTGTTAAATATGCAAAGTCCCTTTTTTTTTTGTCGTCGGTTTGTGGGACCGTAAACCTATATTATTAAATGTTCTTAAAATTAGTAGTATAGTGATGTCAACAATGAAAAAGGGTTTTCTAAAACTTAAACAATAAAAGCCTAGGCCTACATAGTAGGCCTAATGTAATGATTGATTGATGTATTTCAATGTACAATGTATTTTGCCGTTAGGGGAAAATACATTTTAAACTTTATATACAAACCTATAAACTTTACAAACAATATATTTTCCACTAAAGGCAAAATACATTTGCCAAAACGCATATGGTGAAATCAGTGCACCAGTCCGAAAATTATAATATTAAAAAAACCTATAGTGACGTCGGCGAACCAGACCGCTCACACTTTCGGTGACGTAGGTGCATGGGACCGTTGAAAGCTGCTGCGCACTACCACTTAACCTGCAAAATTCCATCCCAGCAGCTGAAGGCACACTGAAGGGAGTATAACTAACTTGGAACGAAAAAGTTTTTAAAGAGACTTTTTTAAAATTAAAACTTATTAATAAATCAATTAATTTGTTGTTTGCAGAAAACCAGAACTTCGAGTTGTAAAGAAGAAAAAAGCAGATCCACATGAAATCAAAGTCAGAGAAGTGTAAGTATTATGTTAAAAAAAAAACTTTCTTGTTATTTGTTAGTAAAACACTGGAATTTTCTTGAAAATAAATTTTTAAATATGTTTTTTTTTATTTCACAGCTTTGTCAGTTTATTAATTGCTGATGAAATGAGGTGTATTTTTTATCCCAGTGCTGAGGTTTTGTAGTTTGTTATTTGAAACTGGTGCAAGCGGGAAATGTGTGTCTACCCATGCATATCCAGATTTAAAATATTTTGACCCCTTCCTCTTTGAAGTGTAGTGTTTTCCTCAATAAAATACCTCTGGTGTAAAACTAAAATTTCAGTTAATTCACTGTTATTTTTTAATAAGCTACGTATTTTAAGACACTAAAAAATATTCATCAATGATAGTTTAAATGAGGGCTGGATTATGTTTTTATCTCTATCCGCAGGGGCGGTCTAGCACGGCCATCTTGGTGTCAGTTCATTATGCAGCTCAGTCGGCATCTAGTACTGCTAGAGGTTTCTGCTGTACTCCTCTACTGTGACAATTTAAAATGTCTGTGTTGATTGAAAATGTAGCGAACTGTGAAGTGAGTGCGGTACAGTAATAAGGTTTTAACTGCAAAAAACTGTAAACCGATGTAAATCTATTGGCAACTTTGTGAAGTTTATGGGGAAAACATTGTCACTGAAGGGGGAGTGCGTCAGTGGGTCATAAAATTTAAAAATGGCTAAACTAGCATTCACGACGAAGAGCGAAGTGGAAGATCCACCATAGTGACTGCCGTTCTTGTGAAAAAAGTCAGTCGATGCTGAAGTCCGTAAAACTTTACTTAACTCTCTGTGAGTTTTCTACAAATTTTGCCAAGTTTTTTGCACGAGATCATTACCGAAAAGCTTAGTTACCACAAGTTTTGTGCAAGATTTGTACCGAAAATCTTGACAGAGAGTCACAAAAATCGGCGGATGGCCGCAGCACTAACGTTTCTGGACGCTTAAGATAAAGATGATGGCTCATTACTCGATCGCCAAACTCTGCAAAACCTTAGAAGAGCGATACATAACAAGCTCAAAGATCCTGTTTATTCACGACAACCCACACGGCAATTGTCACTCGCAAAGTTCTTGAATCTTTTAAGTGGAAGTTGTTTCCTCATCCGCCGTACAATCCCGACCTGGCACCGAGCGACTTTCACTTATTCTCATCAATGACAATTATTCTCAAATACAATTATTCTCATCAATTGTATTTTTCATGTAAAAATGGTGCATCCGTAAACAAATAAATAAATAAATGACAAAGTGGCTGACTATGCAGCGTTTTGATGACGACACACAGCTGTTATAAGAGGTAACCAAGGGGTTGAAGACGCAGACGCCCGTATTCTACGACGAAGGAATTTCCAAGCACGTCCAACACTACGACAAGTGCCTTAATTTGAATGTTGAAAAGTATTATTTTACTGTGGCTTTCTTTTGTTTATAATACAATTTTTTTTCAAAACTTTGTTCACCCTTAATTCCAAAACGTAATCTACTTTCTGGATAGCTATCGTAGTAACAGTTTAAAGTCAAGAGTAATTTATTACACCAGATTGACAAATATGTTTGCATTGGCCAAGTCTTTACTATAACTACATTTCTTAAAACTTAAATTAAAAATATAATAAGCTGTTTAAAATGTAATTTACCCAGGCTTAGTGTATGTGAATAGTTTCTCAAACTACTGGATAATTTAAAAAATCTTAACTGACTAGTGTAGTGACTAGTGATGACTAGGAAAGATTTTTTAACAAATTACTAATACATTTCATCAGCCATTGAGCCATTGAAACTTCCTTACTTGATTTTATATTTTTTTACCCTCTACCATGTTAATAAAACCTTTATTGTTTCAGGCCCCAAGTGTCTTCTGCTTTGTTCTTCCAGTACAATACGCAACTTGGCCCACCCTACCATATACTGGTGGATACAAACTTTGTCAACTTCTCTATAAAAAACAAGCTTGATATCTTCCAAAGTACGATGGACTGCCTGTATGCAAAATGTAAGCAACACAAACTGGTTTTAGATGTTTTAAATAGGGAAGCCAGATATCTTTGAATTTTATCTGGATATATTTTACACTAAAAAATGTAAGGGAATATGAAGGTGCTGGTTTCTCGGTTAAAAAATAATCTTAGATCCTGGGAGAATGAAATTCTAGTTCTTTTTTGTTAGGTTTTTGTTCCTAGTTACATTTTTGTTTGGTTGGTCAGACTGTTTAATCCTCGATTTGATAATTAATTGTCTAGGTTGTTTAGAAGACCCAGATAAAAATCAACGAATGGTTTTGGTTGTGAACTAACAAAATGAATAGCTGTGTATAGTTAAGATTGTGCATTTTTAATATCCTTTTGTGTGTGTATGTTCATTTAGGTTAACCATTAATTTTGGTAACATCCATACTTGCGGGAAACCCTAACTTGGGTTTATCTAGTAGAGTTTTCTCTACGATTACACAATCCTAACAAATTGTATGTTTAAACAAATCTGTAACAGCATTTTGCTTATTATGGCAATAGACCTACAATATCAACGCAAATTTTTAAGCTGTCTTATAAAAATACAAAAAATGTAAAATTTTTGTTTAGTGAAAGCCTAATGAACTGCACAGTAAGACAAACAATTTTATTCTTATGAGCTAAGTGTCTTATATTATCTCTCATTTTCAGCTTCAGCTTGTGTTAAAAAAACCTCTGGTGTAAAAAAACACTTTAACTCAACTTTTCATTACTACTTAAGGATTTTTATTTATTAAAATGTGGTGTTTACCTAGGCATTCCGTACGTGACGGACTGTGTGATGGGAGAGTTAGAGAAGCTCGGGCCGAAGTATCGAGTGGCGTTGAGGATACTGAAAGACCCGAGGTTCGAGAGGCTTACTTGCACTCACAAGGGAACTTACGCTGACGACTGCATTGTACAGAGAGTCACTCAGGTTTGTCAAAGAGAAAGTAACTGCTACACGTTAACATGTTAGACAAGTTAGCTTTTATACAAATTCCAATTTATGTTGTAGGTATGTTGAAAATTTACATTTTAGGACTTTGCACATTTTAACATGAACCAACTAGTTGCATGGTCATTCAGGAAATAGAATTTTTCACAGAAATTGCCTATGTCTATTTATTAATATTTTCGTGCTAGCGTGTAAGTAGCCCAGTGTGAACACAGTTGCTTGTACTTGTGCACATGTAATTCAAAGATGTCGGTGTTGATTCTAGTGGGAGCTGTAGTTGTAGCGAAAGTGATAAAAAATTAATTGATTAAACGTCAACATGAGAATCGGAAAAGGAGGAAAGTGTAGGTGAGGCAGAGGGTAGGAATACGTATACCTTATATGTCTAAATATACTAATGAATCAATAAATAGATGTTATCCTTGATATTCCAAAATGCTGGGAATATTGGTACACTTGTAGGAACAGCAATATGTTAGCCACAGTAGACTTAATTTTAAATGTACAAAAAAGCCAACACAAAACCAATTCTACAAGCCGGCGAGTCGGCTAGTAGACAAGCTCCATGTGATTGAATACAAGCACACTCCCCGACTCACCGGCTTCTTACACACAGGCGTGTAGCTTGTAAACTGGCCCCATGTGAACAGGGCGTAGAGTCATGAATTAACTGTACTAGTGTTTCTATTTACTATATTGCAAAGATAAATTCATCTTGTATGATTATTATTTAATTTCTGCAGCACAAATGCTACATAGTCGCAACGAATGACAAGGACTTGAAAAGAAGAATCAGAAAAATACCAGGTGTACCCATCATGTACATCTCACAACACAGGTTAGATTGAATTTACAGTTTTTATTCAATAATGTTAAACAATGAAAATACTATTTTGTCAGTAATTGATATGATATTTTACCTTTTTAATTCACTAAGACAACTGTGTTTGTCTAATCTAATAGTAGAAAACACCATACCTGTTGCATTGCTTAAAACCAATTATCTAGTTGATCTTAGCAGCAGAGGATGATCCCACCAGTTTGGAGTAGGTAGTAGTTTTCTATAACATATTGCCATGGTGTGCTAAAATCTATCTATAGTACCTAAATGTTTTAAGTAAATCTCCAATAAATTGGTTTTAAAACCAATCTCCATAGATTGGTTTTGAAAATTATCATTCTGTGTTTTTAAATGGCTTATTCACTAATAGCTTACAATGTCTATGGATGAATAAGTAAATTCGTTAGGAAAGAATTTCAAAATTACATTTTTTTAAATTCTAATCTATAAAATAACTGTTGGAAAGTGTTTCTGATCAAACAGTCTAAAAGTCTAATCTTTAAACATTGATTAAAACAGAATTTCGTTACTATGTTATGTTGAAAACTTCTGTTTTAGGTACACAATTGAGCGGATGCCAGACGCTTATGGTGCCCCAAAGACGTGACTACAATGGAGCATTTAAAATAAAAATATTTTGATTTTACATTTCTGTTCTGTAATTTTGTCTCAATTCCTTGGCACCCACAAGAGTTTGTCCTTTTAGTTAGGCTAAAATAGGAAACACACCAAGTATCTGTTAAAAATGTGTGCTACATATTAAGGAGAACTGTAGTAACTAATAACTAATATAGTAAATTTGAATCATTTTTGGATAAAGCTTATGTAGAAAAAAATTTTGCAAATATAATTTTTCACTTGAGGGAAATGGTTGTAAATCCTATATAAGTGCTAGGTAGTTTATACTATATCAGATTATCACTTAGAACAATAAATCTTGTTTCATCAAAACATTGCATTTCTCTACTGTCAGTCTACTATCATCCTCATAAATTGTTTTGATAATTTTGGATACTTAGAAATGAAGTTGATTCATCAAGTTTTCAGTTGATTTTGTTTTGTTAACAGATAAGTGCCAGTGATGTAGTGGTCTAATAAATTTAAAAAAAATTATAATCTATTAATTCTTATGAATTTTGGTTGGAAAGTTAATTCCCTTTAAAATTTAAACATAGCCATTGTGGTGAGTATGGACAACGTGACAAGTGACAGTTAAAGGTTAACATATAGGGTTGTTAAAATAAAATCCAGTGGATTTACTTAGATCAATTTATACTTCAGTGACTATTAGTGATGTGTCAAAACCCAATCTCAAATCTCAAAACCATCAAAACTTAGGAAAAGTTCCGGTTTCGAGATTCAATCACCATGTTTCGAGATTCAAAAGTTTTGAAATTGAAGATTTTGTCAGTTTTATTTTTGAAACTGCTGAAATTTTTTTGTGCCATTGTTATTGTTTTTTACACTGTTTCAAACAAGCTGGTAGCAATAGAGCAAACATCACCATTAACGGTAATGAAACAAGTAAATTTTATTCTGAACTTGAAAAGGTATCTTAAATACTATAACTGGTACAATTCAGTTTAACATCAATATTTACTAAACACAAAGAAATATGGACCACTAAATGTTCTAATTAATCTAATATTCATGTTTATGTTGGTGTTAGAAGTTTAATTTATTTTTTTTGTTGGTTGTTCATGAAAAATTATGTTGTATCTGGGTTTTAAGATTATCAGTCACATTCACATATTTATGTTATGTCACGGTCAGGAGGAGTCAATCTCTTTCATTTTTGATTGTATACTTAACATTTTATGATTATGTGTAATTTTTTTAACCCTTGACCTTTGTAACCAGCTAAGTAAAAAAGTTTCTCGTTCAGGTTTTGAGATTCGGGATTAGATTTTTTTAAGTTTCGGATTCGGTTTTGATATTCAAAATTTCTGGTTTTGACCATCACTAGTGACTATATCAGACAACTTCTCATGGCACGACTGTGAACCTAAACTAATAGCCACAGCAACCAATTGGATTGCTGGTAATACAGATATTTTAAACCACTTATAGTACATCTTGGTAACAAGAAAGCTACCCATCTTGAAAATCAATTTATTTGCAATATCTTTATATTGGTGTAATTGTTTCAGAATTCCCTTGTACACTATAGTACTCGGGCAAAAATGCTTTATAATTATAAACGTTTTGAAATACTGCAACGATAAAAAAAAATAAACTTGGTAGGTTGTTAATCATTGGCGGAATGGAGAATGATGGATTGAAAATAATCCACTTCAACACCCAAGGATTCCAGAGTAAAGTGCAAAATATAAATAAATTCGTTAAAATTCACAACCCAGACATACTAGTTATTACAGAGCACTTCCAGAAAAGTAAAAATCAACTGGAAAAAATCGATGGATACAAAATAGTCAACTCATTCTGTAGAAAACACAATGAACGCGGTGGAGTTGCGATATGGGCGAAGAACACTATCAGCTGTGAACCTCGTAAAGATCTAGACAAACATAGGAGAGAGAGAGAGTTTGAGTTGGTCAGTGTGAGCGTAGGCGATGTCGTAATCACTGGAGCTTACAGACCTCCAGACACAAGTATTACGGAGTTCCACAATCATCTGACACGATATATAAACAAGATCAACCAAGAAAACGTCAAGCATGTCTTGACCGGAGACTTCAACATTGACAACCGTAGAGACAATTCAACCAGGGACATCCTGAAAAAACACAATCTTACCTTCAACATAACAGCGCAGACACACAAAGCAGGTGGCAGTTTGGACAATTTCATCACAAACTTTAAAAAATCCAAATCTCGTGTTATAAAATCTAAAATCAGCCAGTTTTCAGACCACAGCCCCATAGAGTTGGTAGTTGAGGCAGAAGTGGACATGATTGAGAAAAGAGAATCCTTCTTCTGGAGGATTTTCAGTAAGATATTTTTCTGGAGAGAAAGATCCGGCTCAAACAAGGAAGCACCATTGGAAAAGAACTCTTCATTTTTTGAGGGCTGCAAAATGTTTTTTAGTAACATTTATCATAATTTCTTTGATACAACTTTTGACAATGCCAGTGATGTGAACAGTGCAGTGAAGGAAAAGAAAAGCAAACAAAATCCAAATAGAACTCCAAATATGAATGAATCAAACTCTTTATTTTCCTTACTTTCTGGGATGTTTACTTCACAATCATATAGTCCCTCTGAAAAACCCCCTGAAAGTATTAAAAACGATAGAAAGATGGATTTAAAAAAATCAGACTCAATACTTACACGGTTTTTTAATTTTTTTAAACTACTGTTGGTATAGTATTGGAATTAACTGTTCACAGTGATACCAAAGAAAACATATGTTTTCTGTGGTGCGATACTGATAAATAAAACTACTGTAGTGCAAGCAATGTCATGCCTGGTATTGTTGTGCAATCGGTATCTCAAGAATTGGTTTTGTTTAGTGTTTTCTACCCCTAGGGAATCTAGGAAACATGTCAAGTCATGTTTTTCAAAGTAAGTAGGATTTGAAAGTTATTAAATTGCATAGATAATAGATGTAACTAATTTAATATGCTACTATGTAAGGTATATAATATCTAGATAATGTTTTGAGGTTAGAATTGAGATTTTTAATTTATTCAATTTATTTGCTATGATAATTTCAATGTTTTAGTTTGGCCTTGATTGTAGGCATGAGGTTAATAAGGTCGTAGTATTAGTATTGCATGAATGAGGTGATAGATAGCCTTGTTTTTAGTTAATAGTTAATGGTTCTCAGGATATATTGGCTGCCTTCATGTATTTGGGTGTGCACTAGGCTTATAACTAATTATCTATCTAATAATACCAACCTAATTCTTATCAATTTAATTGAATAATGCTGTTCTATAGTTTAACTTCTACAAATATGTTTACAATTAAAGATAAGTTACTAGTTGCTCTTGAGAGCTACAAGACAACCCATTTTCAAAACTAAGAAAAATAAGTTAATTATTAGATAGACAAATCATTATTTTAATTTCATTTATCTTATAACAAATATTTACTGTAGGCCTACTCAACTCATTATACCGGTACCATTAAATTATATAAGACAAAATTAATTGCCTTTTTGTATTGTGCCTTTTTTAAACATTCTTGCCACCAAGACAAATATAATGTGTTCTTGGGAAAACAAATAGAATCAAATTTTACAATGCTTTGATTCTCTTTTGTCGTGATTGGTTGCTGAACAAAGGACACAATACAAATAATGTAAAGGTTACAGCCTCTGTCCGTCTTCAGTCTTAAAAATAGTCTGGGGATGACTAGTTTTGGGTCAAAGACCCATTATCAAATCCGCATAAAATTGAATAGTCTATAATTTGACGGAAGTCTTCGTTAAAACGTTTATACAGGTCAACACACATTTATAAAAAAATTACTGAAAAAAATTAAATGAAAAATCTACTTTGTGTTGTTCAAAAAAGTTATTGTAAATTATGTTATTTTCTCATAAAAACCCCATAAAATAACAAAAAATAGGATTTTAGAAAAAAGCCGGTTTTGATTTAACTTAGTACGGTACCTATGTTAGTATGTTATGGTCCTTAAAATTGTGAAAGTTTTTTTCATTTTTTTTTAAATTTTGATTTTTAATGGGGATTTTCCCATAACTTTTCTCAAAAATGGCCTGAACGATTTTCTTAAAAATTTAGTATGTTATAGTCCTTTTAATTCTGAATAAAATTGTACAAATCCCATTTCCATAAATATTACGGTTCAAAAGTTATTGTAACTTATGTTATTTTCCCACAAAAAACCATAAAATAACAAAAAAAATCTGATTTTTGGGAAAAAACTGGTTTTGATCAAAATTAATATATTATGGTCCTTATAGTATAACACCCCATTGCTGTAACTATTTTATATGGTTCAAAAGTTATTGCAAATTTTGTTATTTTTAACCATAAAATATCATATTTACTCTCACCGCTTACCCATGATAGAGGTTTTTGACAAGCTTATGGGAGAAAGTACGTGTCAGAATGCTGATACCATTTATTCTTTATGTTATTTTTCCCCAGAATCAATAGTTACAGCAACATGTAACATATGATATAAGTGAAGAAGATCTCAAAGAGAACCAACATTATAATTTTGTATTTACTTCGATAGAACTCGTGATTTTGTTATTTGACTTGTAATTGAAAATAATAAATTAAATGTTAAAACAACTAAGGGTAATATGATTTATGCAACAGCAGAATAAGTTAAATGCATTATAATGATAAGTTTCTATTCTGCATATACAAGTGCTCTTAAACAGGAACCTATTTGTTGCTGACTCAACTGCTAACTTTAGATAACAGAGGGGTCAAAGGTTACTCAAGCCTGGTTTCACTGAATTAATCTTGTTCAGAGGTTTGGAGCTCAACTACTTGTGTCTTATCAACACACAGGTTTATCTGCATAACCATTCTTTTTCAAACCAAATATTAATAATTTAAAATCAATTTTTAAACAGTGTGTTCTTTGTGGTTCTCAATTATAAAACAATGTCTAGCAGGAGACAGACCAGAAGATCAAAACAGGAACAATTGTTGTCTGCTATTTCTTATTTCAAGGATCGCTTGGTAGTCAATGGTTCAATTGTAAGCCCAGACAATGACGTGTTTTCTAAAATTTCCCGGAAAGTGAATAGCGAAATGTCTGCAACAGCTGTTTATGAATTTGTAACTCAGAATAAGGTAGCTTTGGCAAAATATGGTGAATGGGGTGTATGTGATGAGTCCAAAGAAAACAAAATACCAGTCTCAAATTGCAGTAGCTCGCAAGATGCCGAAGGTAGGTGACGTTAACTAAGAGTAGGTTTATAGAAG